AAGTATGCATGCCATCCAAATACATTGTTAAAGCCTTCTAAATCCAAAATGTCTGTGTTTTCAAGAAGTAGCCATTCTTTCAACCAGCAAAAAGCTGCTGATTCATAGTAAAGTTTAAAGTCTGGCAGGGCAAATCCACCTCTTTCCTTAGCATCAGTTAATATCTTAAATTTTATTCTGGGCTTCTTGCCCTCCCAGACAAATCTAGAAATATCTCTCTGCCACTTCTTGAAACAGTCCATCTTGTCCACAATTTGTAGTGTCTGAAACAAAAACAACATTCTAGGCAATACATTCATCTTTATCACAGCAATACGGCCCAGCAGTGAAAGTTTCAAATTTGACCAGATTTCTAAATCTTTTTTCACTTCGGTCCAACATTTTTCATAATTATCTTTAAATAAGTTCCCATTTTTGGCTGTCATATTAATCCCCAAGTATTTCACTTTCTTTACCACAGTCAATCCTGTCTCATTCTGAAACCTCTCTCTTTCAATCGGTGTTAAATTTTTCTCTAAAACCTTAGTTTTTAGCTTGTTCAATTTAAAGCCTGCCACCTGACCAAATTCTTGAATTAATTCTAAAACTCTTTTAGTGCTAGATTCTGGCTCCTGTAACGTCAATACTAAGTCATCTGCAAATGCTCTCAGTTTATACTGTTTAGCTCCGACCTGTATACCTTTAACCAACCGGTCCTTTCTAATCATGTTTAGCAGAACCTCCAGGACCGATATAAAAAGCAATGGGGAAATTGGGCACCCCTGTCGTGTCCCTTTTTTCTATCGTAAATTCTTCCGTGACCACATTATTTACAATTAATTTGGCCTTTTGTTCAGAATATATTGCACCTATACCATTTTCAAAACCTTGGCCTACCCCCATCCCATGTAAGTTCTTCTTCATAAAACTCCAAGAGATATTATCATAGGCTTTCTCCGCGTCCACAAATATCAAAACTGCTTTAGTGTTTATATTCACTTCTAATTTTTCCAAAATATCAATTATGTTCCTCAAATTGTCAGACAAATGTCTCCCCGGAAGAAAGCCCGCTTGATCTTTATGGATCTCTTCCATCAATACTTTTTTCATTCTCTTGGCCAAAATATTTTGTAATCCACATTAAGTAACGATATAGGGCGGTAGTTCTTAAGCTGGGTCTTTTCAGTCTCTGTTTTCGGTATGTGTAATATACGCCTCTTTCCACGTCTCTGGCGCCCTTTTCCCTTCCAATATTTCATTGCAGACTTCCTTCAAAGGTTGCAATAACCACTCTTTCAGGGATCTATAGTATCTGGAAGTCAGCCCATCCAGTCCTGGAGATTTGCCCAGTTGCATGTTTTGTATGGCACCTTCTACTTCCTGTTCAGATATTTTATAGTTCAGCATTAATTTACTTTCTTGAGAGATTTTTTTGTAGGCCATTTGTCTTCAAAAATTGGTCTATGTCCATTTCCTTTTGTGGCCCTTGTGTATATAATTGTTTAAAGTACCTCTGGAAGCAATTTCTGATCTCAATTGGGTTATGTATACTCCTTCCTTCCACTTCTAAGTTTGTAATAGTATTTAATTTTTGTCTTTTTTTCATTTGCCAGGCCAACAATTTCCCACATTTGTTAGCTGATTCAAATGTTTTTTGTCTCATTTGTTTGATTTTCCATTCTATTTCCTGATTCATCATTTCCATATATTGTACTTGATATAATTTTATTTCTCTCAAAATCTCCTGGGACTTTGGTTTTGCTCTCAATTTCTTCTATATAACATTTTGAATGTGTTGTAAAGTGCAATATATAATTGTGATACTAGAAGGCGAATGTGAGCTATAGCAAATTCAATGCAATTTTCAAAACCAGTTAAAAGAAAAAGCATTTTTTCTTCCGGGGTGGCGCCATCGGCAATGGCGGACTCCCTCTGAACTGGAGGGACCAGCTCCGCGCGAAACGGGTCTTTTCCGCTGCGGCGAAGCGGGGACCCTTTTAGAAATCACAGGCGGATGAAGCCTGTGACCGTGGGACTCGGCGGGCACCTTTAGCGCCCCCCCCAACTCGCAAAGGAACCCACTAACGGCCTCCGAAGCGAAGAGGGGGAAGTGGCGCGGTGCTGTGAGTCAACTGCTATTTCCGTGGAGCGAAGCCGCATAGCCGTTGCCGGAGAGCGCTGCTTTTTTCCTGGGACAATTTGGACTCTAAAATAAGCACCCGTGAGTACTTAAACATTGAACAATTGGACTTCAAATAAGAACTGGCGATTAGAAAGGAATTGGACTTAAAAATTTACCTTAATTTGGTACTGAAACAGGAAGGTCTAAACAGGAAGTCAGCCTTCCGTTTCCTTGTAGTCAGAAGAAAGCAAAGACAACGTAAACCAGAGCTTAGAAAATCACTTTCAAAGGATTGGTTTTCACCATTTAAAATCGTTGAACCCCCCTTCGGTAGCAGGAGAAGAAGGGGGATCTTTTTTGGACTGTTTAAACCTGCAGAAGTGAGTTTAAAGTAAAGTAACTTTCCACCGTCCTGATCCTGGAGCGGGGTGTCAGAATTGACGTTTGAAGCTCATTGACCAGAGACAAATGTTTTTGACAGACAGTTAAAAGAAGAGTAACATTGTGATTCCACTGTTTCCTTTCACATTCTAAAGGAACAAATATTGACAAAATATCTTAAAAAAAGAAACTTTGTTGCTATTGTCCTTAAAAGAAAGAACAACCAGAAGTTTTCCCCCTAGAGGGGGACTGTGAAACTGTAACTAATTCTAGGGAGCTTGCAGCTGCCACAGATTACAACCGTGGGAAAGGACTTGTGACCTTGCAGGACAATGTTTTCAGAAGCACTGTTGGGTGCTTTCTGTAAAATAAATGCCCTATTGGATCAGTTAAGCCAGAAGACGGATTTGATGACTAATGCGGCCAGAACATTTGAAACTATATGGAGCCCACCCAGGAACTTAAACAGGAGTGTGCCATGACAGAACAGTTGAGAGAAGAGGATGTTGCTGAATCTTGGGCGCCAGAAAGGGAGGAACTTTTGGCCCTGCAGGAAAATGAGCCTTTGAATTTGACAAATCAACTTGGAAAAAACCAGATTTGGAAAGATAAAGTTTGGATTGATTTGGAAATGGGGGGTTGGACTCACCCCCCTATGCAGAGATGTTTGGACTTTCTGAGTCTGGCAATGGGCCGTCAGATGTTTGGAGCTGTGGGGGCGCCCAATTTTGGAGGGAATTTGAAACATGTCTTAAAATACCACATGGAGTCTAGTCTGGACTATGGGAAAGGGGCTGATTTGTTGAAAAGGGTCAAAAACACTACCAAGCTGGAGTTCCCACGAGTGAAAGGAAAATATGAAGAAGAGCTGCGGAAGGGACATGGAAGAGACTTGAAGGCTTGGATATAAGATCACCAGGTTAATGTGCCAGACTAATGGGATAAAAAGGACTGACAAACCCGGGACCAGGAGGAAGGGACGCTGGAAGAAGATTGGATTGTTCTTATTTCCTTTTTCTATCATTAGGAATGTTTTATAAAATTGATGAATGTTAGGAAAATGTTGAAATGAAATTACTTGGCTCTTGTAAAAATGTTTAAAGAAGTAGGTAAAAAGGTAATGGTTATGAGAAGTTGGTAAAAATAAGATTTAAGTCTTAAACTTTAAGGTTTTTTATAAGATAAGATGAAAATAGAGTAAGGTAATGTAATGACAGAATACTATGAATTATGGAAAGGATTTGCTGTGACAACTATTAATCAAGATACAAGAAAAGGGAGGAGGAGGAGGTCATAGAAAGAAGGTAATGAAAGTGGGGAATTTGAAAATGATGGTTTTATTTTTTTTTTCTGTTTTGTCTTTTTTCTTTGTAATTTTTTAAAAAAATTCTTTTTTCAATAAATATCATTTAAAAAGAAAAAAAAAGAAAAAGAAAAAGCATTTTCACAACATTTTTAACATGTTTAGGATGCTGTGCACCTAAACAACAAAGAAAATGCAGTACTGTACAGACCCAATAACTTTTTATTGCTAAGTAATTTTTTATTGCTAAGTTACCTTTACCTGGACTGGAACCTGAGTGTTGGGCTAGAGATACTTGCTAAGTATCCTGTGAACAGAGGAGAAAAGGTAAAGGTAAAGGGACCCCTGACCATCAGGTCCAGTCGTGGCCGATGCTGGGGTTGCGGCGCTCATCTCGCTTTATTGGCCGAGGGAGCTGGCGTACAGCTTCCGGGTCATGTGGCCAGCATGACTAAGCTGCTTCTGGCGAACCAGAGCAGCGCACGGAAACACCATTTACCTTCCCGCCGGAGTGGTACCTATTTATCTACTTGCACTTTGACGTGCAACTTTCAAACTGCTAGGTTGGCAGGAGCAGGGACCGAGCAATGGGAGCTCACCCCGTCACGGGGATTCGAACCACCAATCTTCTGAGTCCTAGGCTCTGTGGTTTAACCCACAGCACCACCAAGAACACTGCTAATGGTAACATACCTCCTGAATGCTGCGAAATCAACCACACACCCGTGAAAGAAATTTCTCCAGCTAGTTGAAACTTTTCAAACCTCCATGCACTGAAAGAATATCCCTGTGCCATGAGAACACAGGCACTTAAGGTCCATCTGCACTATACATGTAAAGCAGTGCTATACCACTTTAAACAGTCATGGCTTCCCCAGTTTGTGAATATGCAGATATACAAATAAGCAGAGCCATTTCTTCATTATTATTAATTCAGCATTTATTTGCTGTATCCATCAGCTCAGTCATCAACTCAGCGCGGCCATTGGGCAAAATACTAGCTTTGCCTATTTTGAATACAAAGCTGCTGAATTGCCACAAATACCCAGCGAAACTATTGCTGCTTCTAGCATGCAAACAAAAGTTCTGAATCGGGTGGGATTTGGGCAACTATTTTGTAAAGGAAAGACCGGGTTTGGATAGAATGCTTGTGGATTTCCATATGCGGTGTTGGTGTTGTTTTCCCGAATGAAGGACAGTTTGTATTATCCTGGACTAAATGGCAGCGTGCTCATTGCACTCCATGTTCATCACCAGGTCCTTTGTGTCGCTCGTTTCAGGGGTGGAGCTGCTATTGAAATAGAGAGAGTTCTCAAAGTTGTCATCTGTGAGGACGAGCCGGTTCCTTTTCTTGTAGAAATAGTAACATGCAATGGCCGCTACCATCACAATCAGGAGAGTCACGACAATCGCAGCGGTAACTTTCCTGTTGGAAGGAGCAGGAGTGTCGTCTGTCTTTCTCGGTTCTGTAATTAATGCACAGCAGTTACAACAACAGAATGGTGGAAATTATTATTACTATTGTATTTTGAACTCGCCCATCTTCCCAGGAGCTGTGTGTGGCATTCAAGGTCCTCCCCTCCCCATGTAACCTTTACAACAACCCTCTCATGTAGGTTACACTGAGACCAAAGGTCACCTATGAGCATCGTGTCAGTTTAAATTTGCTGAAATGGGAATGTTTAAAGTATACTGCCGTGGATATTTACAGACAGCCCTTTGAGTTTTGATTGGTTAAATAGCTGGTCCCAGTATGTTCTCTAGTAAGCTCTCATGTGGTTGGTTAACTTTGGTCACAAACTCCTTTTGTGTGCTTGAGTTCTCTGTGATGAACACAGGGAGCATAGGAAGTTGGCTGTGAGTCAGTAAGATGTTATAAATACTGCTGTGAGAGAGGGCTGTATAAAGAAGATTCTCTGAACAATGCTGAGAGAAACAGCATTAATGTTCTTTTTCTGAATAAAGAAGACAGAAAGGTCTCTCTAAAGGAATAGAGGGGGAGAGAGCAGTGCCACAGTTAAGGAGGTCTCTGAAATTAAACACTGAGAAAGACTGAAAGAAAATGGATTTAGTCACACAGCTGCATGGCCTATATGGAGTGCAAGGCTGGAAGAGGGAGACAGAAAAATAAAGCTTCTGATTTAAAAAACTGTGAGTGAAACCTGGATAAGCATATGTCTTGCGAATCCATATATATTATTCTTTACCATCTGTTCTGCAAGTAAAGCTTTTGAATATTTAAGGAATGTCTGGACGATAATGTATTTCCTAAAAGGGAGTGGATCTCATAAATATCATTCCTCTGCAACACATCATGGCTGAGGAAGCATCCTAACATTGGTTCTCCTCAGTTCTTGTATGACACTGACACAACCTCCCCCAGCCTGGCATTTGCTCAGTGTTTTGGTCTTCAGCTCTTATCATCCCTGACCTTGACCATGTTGGCTGGGGATGATGGGAGCTGTAGTCAAAAACCTCTGGGCGGCACTAGGTTGGGAAAGTCCACTTTAACCACTATGCAGCACTAAGAGACTAAGAGTCACTCAGGCATAGGAATCATTAGGGCAGGGCTGGCTAATCTGTGGCCCTCAAAATGTTGAACTACCATCAACCCCCGTCAGAATGGCTAATGCTCAGGGATGATGAAAAATTTGTCATTCCCTGCATATTCTAAATTAACTTATTCTTTTATTCATCTGTTTTGATTATATATTCTTTTGAAACTGCCATTTATTACAGTAATCCTGCCAATGTCTTTATCTGTTTACAATTTGTTTGTAGATATTCAATCAACCATTTCCATCCTTTTATTAAAAAAAAGTTTGTTATCTTGTTTTCTTATTCTTCTGGTAAGTTAGCTCAACAACATTTATAAAGCACAGCTCCCCCATCTCTGCAGTAGGGGATTAATAAGGGAGTCAGTTCGGTGTAGGAAACAGTAGGGGACCAAATATTATTTACTTAGGTCATTTTCTATCTCCAGAATATAAGGTGGTATAAAGGATCACCATCCATTTTTGGCATTTCATTTTTATTTTATTTTTTTGAGACAAAAAACCCCAAAACAACAACAACCAATATCAAATGCCAATCTAATTATCGACTGAAAGATATTTAAATTTTAGACAACAAGTAGAAGTGGATGAAGGGAGGCTGAAATGAAAATGTTCTCTTCTGCTGGAAATATATTGGCTTTTTATATAAGATACTCAAAAGATAAATTCCACCACGGTATATCCTTAATTTCTCATTTTATTTTTTCTTTATTTTGATTTTATTTCAAAACCTTACCTTTATTTTCTGGAGCCTTCTCAGTAGACACAATTTCAATAACTAAAAATTGGAAGAACAAAACCAAATGACCATGTGTCAAAAGCCTTTTTATTGCATATTCTGATTCAACTGAATTATTCAGCAGGGTTTGAAATGATCTTGGGCAATGTTTTGTAAGGGTATGGGAGACTCCCTCTGGTTTTAAAGCATTGGTTCAAAGAATTAAAAAAATATCATCCAAGTTTGGTATAGTTCATTTCTGGAATCACTCTTAACTTCAGAAATTGCCTGTTAACTCCCACCACTCTCTCTCACCTCAGAAAGCCCCCAACATTTCCACAACCTCCTTTCCCTTCCCTTTAAACTAGTGATGGGAAACCTCTTCTGGCCATTGGGCTAGATCCTTATCTCCATGAACCCGGTGAGCCAAATCGGAGAGATGGTAGAGTTTCCCACCTGTCAATCTTCTGGCACTACTGTTTGAGCCTTGGTTAGGGGAACAGTGTGGGGCTGTTTGAAGTCACTTTTGCAAAGTGCCCCATGCTGCTCTTTAAACGTTGAAAGCCAGAGGTTAAAAGAGCACTACAAGACTGTCAACCAGCTCCACACTATTCTTTGAACCTTGTTCCAGGAGCGGGTAAGTGCTTTCCACTGAAACTAGAGTTAAAATGGGAGGAAACATTCTCCCATTTCAGCAGCAGTTTCAATGAAAACCATTTTCCTCTCCTGGAGCAAGGTACAACCATCATGATGGGTGGGGGAGCATGACTTGTTCCAGCAAAGAAATGATAGGAAGCTCGCTGCTGGCTCCTGGTTGTTCCTTTAATGCCACACCAGTACATACCCCACCACTGATGTAATATATGACAATAGGTGTGGGGTGAGTGGACATGTTTGGGGAAAACGCCTTGTGGGCCAAAGTGAGAAAGCTGATAGACCAAGATTGGTCTGTGGTCTGGAGCTTCCTCCTCCTTCCTTAAAACTCTTACATATTGGCTCTACAAACTGGCTGAGCAAGCTATGGGGGCAGTGGGGGCAGCAGCACTAGCCCCTCTGTAAAGAGAGGGAAGGAGGAAAGCCCACCCCCTGTTCCCCAAGGAGAAAGGTCCCAGCAGTCCTTGGGAAATGGAATTTCCCCAAGGCCTACTGCAATGGAGATGGCACTCCTTTAGATTGCACTGTGGTCAGGAAAAGACCTCCAGTAAAAGGCAAGAATTGATGCTTTTGGTGCTGGGGGAGACTCTTGAGAGTCTCATGGACTGCAAGAAGATCAAACCTATCCATTCTGAAGGAAATCAGCCCTGAGTGCTCACTGGAAGGACAGATCGTGAAGCTGAGGCTCCAATACTTTGGCCACCTCATGAGAAGAGAAGACTCCCTGGAAAAGACCCTGATGTTGGGAAAGATGGAGGGCGCAAGGAGAAGGGGACGACAGAGGACGAGATGGTTGGACAGTGTTCTTGAAGCTACCAGCATGAGTTTGACCAAACTGCAGGAGGCAGTGGAAGACAGGAGTGCCTGGCGTGCTCTGGTCCATGGGGTCACGAAGAGTCAGACACGACTAAATGACTAAACAACAACAACAAAAGGCAAATCTCAACCCCAACCAAGCAACCTCTTGATATACAAGGTCTCTGAGGAAGCCGGACACTTCAGCTTCATTATAGAGTTTCAGGCATGCAGTGAACTCCCCTCACTTTTCCCTGTGGGTGCTTGCCACCTCCACTTGGTTTTTAAGAGATGGCAACTGGGTTGTGGGTGGGGGGCAAGCTGTGAATCTTTCTCCAAATTGGATTTCATTCAAGATCAAAAAGAATTTGGGCTAAGGCTAAGGTTCACTGGCATCGCTTTTTGCAATGTAATGAATATTCCCCAGGAACTACTAAACAAAGTAAAGTATAATAACTGTATTACATACTTTTAGGTCTTTTGCATATATACGCCCTGTAGGAACTGCAGTAAAAATTATTCCAAGTCCCAGATGAAGAATACATTTCCACACAGTCTTCATTAGTTTGAGGAGAGGGCTCTCCTTCGTTCCAGTTAACAAAATCCACTACGCTGTTGTCGAGCCATAACCAATTGCCTACGGTTAAGTTAGAAAATAAATGAGAGAAAGAGCTCTAGTAGGTCTGCTTCTAGTATTTGTTGAACAGGGTTTTCTGAACAAGGATGTGGAATTTTCACTGTGTATAATATATCGGAACTGCTGGGCATGCTCATTGAGAACTTGATTCTTAATGATGTCAATACACTAAAGTAAATGGGTGTGTGATTTTCAAACAAAACACGGGAGCAGGTGATTTCCTGGCCTTGTACATATCTGTGCCTGGAGGACATCATGCATGATGCAGTGCTTGGGCTGGCCACCAGATTTTGCAGATTTTTATATCACTGTGGCAAATTCAGCTGCTCCCCCCACCTCCGATCACTTTGGAGCCTCTTCCTACAGAATTCCTCAGCAGACAACTAAGCAAATATAAAATGAAATTGTGCACAATATTGATTTGCTTCTTCTCTCAGCTGAGTTACTTGCCAGTAAAGATGTTGGGACAAGATGGTCATGATCTCATTGGTATAGGGTAGGGGTGGGGAACATTTTTGGCTCAGCGGGTGAGATTATCTTTTCCATATCTTGCACAGTAAGCCATCCACCTGCCAATCACCTGATGTCACAATCACGTTAGGTGATCTTTTCAAAGCATTATTTTGTGCAGCGCTTTGAAAGCGGCTCCAGAAGATCAGCTGATGGTATAGCCCTTTCCAGGATGTCTGTACACATCCTTTCAGCTGAGCCAGGTTTTTACCTGCTCCGTATCTGGTGACATATATGGCATCAGGTATAGGGCAGATGGGCACGCCCTTTCTAAAATGGCCTCATGGGCCAAATGGGGAGGCATATGGAGACGCATTAGGCCCACAGCCTGGAGGTTCTCCCACCTGGTACAGGCCTTCAGAGAGCCTAGCATAATTGGTGGTACAGTCAATAAAAGACTTATTTAAATTGTAAACCCAAATGTCTACTTGCTCATCTTCCTTAATAACTTTCTATCTGTTTAAATTGTCAGTTAGCTAAGCAGGATATACTTCAGACTTGAATTTTGTAACTGGTTCAGCATTAAAGCAGTGCAATTTGTAGAATCTGATTTTTTAAAGAAAAGCTTACATTTTGGGCTGTGACCAGGATGATTGCAAATACCAGGTCATCTACCCTGGTTTCCTCAACTTTCACTTACAAAGGATGATGTGCTGGTGAAAAAGTGGAGTTTTTAAGAAGGTAGAGTTAAATTTCTGTCTTTGGATTTGGCCAGATATGATTAACATTTAGATTATTTAAGTGTATATGATAAAAACATTCACTGATTACATAAGCATACACTAAAGATGAAACAAAAAATGTACCATGTATATTTCTGAACATTCCTGTCCAAAACGTTCGCACTTTACTTTCAAGAGGTTCCACATTTTCTGCCAGAAAATGTGATTCAACTGCATCAACTACTGAAACCAGACCAGCACCTGCAAAACATGAGTAAGAATTTAGGTCATTAGAATGGCTAATTTCTAATTCTCATGCTCTGAAGACTAACTCCTGGGTGGGACTGTTACTCGGGCAAAATGAATTTTTGCAATTCAGAACGCTAGATAATATTTTGACATTTAAGGAAAAAAGATAATCTCCTTCCCTATGTTTGATACTATTTATTTTTCAAACACTTGCTGACATCAAGATGGGCTGACCATGGCAGATTCTACACACACCACTGAAGTATTTTTATTAACCCACTCACTGTGTTTTCTATGGAGTTACGTATATTCACAAACCGCTTTTTCATATTCTAATCTCTTTTATGCAAGACATACTCTCTTTCACTAAGCTGAGGTTTGCAATACCTCCATCACTTGTCTCTGGGGGAAACTGTTGTAAACGTAAGGATGGGAAAGTTGGCAAATTAATCACAAAGCTTTGAAAGATGCCATATATACACTAAAGTGTTCACCCAGCACCTGCACAAAGCACTTCAGGTTTTGTTGGGTGTAGTGAAGGGTTAACCTTCTGTATCTCGTGCTTGAGGGGACGGGCTTACAAGGGAAGTAAGCCAAGACCTGACGTAAACAGCTTGTTATGCTGTGAACAGAGTGCTTTCGATTTCCACAGATCAGTCGCTGTACTGAGGGAGAAAGGACGCAGAGACGATGCAGCTGGACTCTGATGGCTGCTATGGATTGTAAATACGCTATTTGTTTCCAATAAAGAGATAATAGGATAGAAGTAACGTCTGGACTTATTTACTGCCCTTTCTACACAAAGACGCTGTGCAATTCTGCTAATTGCTTTACGACGCTTCGAAGCTACACTGTGTAAACAGAAGCTGCAGAGGTCCGCAAGGGAAGTGTGGCTGGGCACCAAACAATAAAGCAATAAATCCATCCAAGAGGTTTAGAGTCTGCACTCATCATTTTTCAGCTATCCCAACCTTCCTCTGTTGTTTTTCTCCCTACTTATCACTATTGCTGTTTGTTGGGACTCAGCCTTTACAATGGTCTTCGGAATTAAGGAATAGGCCTTAGACAGCTGCTAGAGAACAGTTAGGGCCAGAGGTGCCAGCTTGCGAGGGCAGTTGGAGCTGGGGAGGACGTCACAAACATGAGCATTGTGCCTCCCTCCCTAAACCAGGCAGAAGCTTCCTGGGCTTTGGGAAGGAGATGCCAAGCTTTAATACTCTACTTTACTGGGAACATTTAGGGGACTAGCCTAGTCCCCCTAGTCCACTGATTGCTATTAATCCAAGGTTTTTGGATACTCAGGTACATATTTCTCAGGTCAAGATATACCAAGTCCCACCTTAGGTTGAAGTTTCTGTATGTACTAGATCTCTCTCTCTTTCTCTCTCTGATCAACAGAACGAAGCTTTCTAAGATGCTACAGTTTAGTGTATGATTTGCTACTAATCTTGCATTTTGCATATGCCTTTTGCTGCTAAAAGCCAACTCACTCCTAATGGAAAGGGGGAGATTATTGTGTAACTAAACAAGATGTAACGTCTTGTATCTTGCATCTAAATGGAAAGGTACTTACCTAATTGTAAACAAGCTAAAGAAGCCTGAGGCCAAGATTTTTTAGATGACGTCTCAAAGTGGTAGCAGTGGCCACGGAAAGGAATCCACGGTGTCTCCAGTGATTCTGGGCACTTTCCAGGTAGTTGAGGTGGCTCGGTAGGTGCCTTCACTATTTTGCGGGGGGGGGGGGAGCAGCAACTTGTAATTCAATTAATTTTCCACCAGATTCTCTATGCTACAGCACTGATGTTTCTTGCATGAGGAACTTAATAGAAAGTCTGCTGGCGCAATTGAGACAGTCCTATAACTGGTTATCAAAATGCCATTTTTAAATTAAACCGTTCATAGTGCACAGGTACCAATGAATTACTAGTAATTCAGTGAACTGGAAAATCCAAAAACAGTGATTCAAAAATAGAGGCAACTAACATTGTATTTCAATATCTATACTCTGTTTGGGATAGTAGACTTAAAGATAGCTGTAAATAGATTCTGAAAAGAGAAATTGGTTACCTGGCAAACTCCCTCCCCCCAAAATAAACTAAGGGTACTTCCACACACTGTCTTTTAATGTGGAATTATCACTCTTTGCCTTGTAAAAAGTGAGGAGAGATTGGCATGATATTGAATAGGGAATGTACCTACCGAAGTGTAGAAAACAATGCAGCTTACAGTAAGGTAAAGGTAAAGGACCCCTGGATTGTTAAGTCCAGTCAAAGGCGACTATGAGGTTGCGGCACTCATCTCGCTTTCAGGCTGAGGGAGCCGGTGTTTGTCCACAGACCACTTTCCAGGTCATGTGGCCAGCATGACTAAATCGCTTCTGGCACAACAGAACTCCTTGATGGAAACCAGAGCGTACGGAAGCGCCATTTACCTTCCTGCCACAGTGGTACCTATTTAACTATTGGCACTGGCATGCTTTCAAACTGCTAGGTTGGCAGGAGCAGGGACAGAGCAATGAGAGCTCACCCCTTCACAGGGATTTGAACCATCAACCTCCTGATTGGCAAGTCCAAGAGGCTCAGTGGTTTAGACCACAGCACCACCCACATCCCTACACAGCTTACAGTGGGAGACCAATGACTGGGCAATGCTAAAAACAAAAAAACCCAATCCCAACCCAGTATGGAAACATTCAGAGTAAGAATGGAAAAGGCATGTCCTCTTTGAATGACTCATGATATTTCCCCCTCTGGCTCATGGTAATGAGTCAAGATATGACAGGCTGCTTTCCACCATGTGACATGAGCAGGAAAGATTGGGCACTCACTTCCCCTACCCTGTCCAACCACATTCAGCCAACCTTCACCCTTGGTTTAATGTGGGAACTTCCTGGCCACCAGACTGATGTTGAACCATGCAGGAATTTTTCCTGTACCAGGCCTCGATTGGACCAAGGTTTTATGGAGGTGGTGGGTTCTGCCCCACTGAGTGAGGTGGGAGGGCATTATTAATTTATAAAAGTATTTATATAACCCCATTCATAAAAAAAATCTAAGTGGATTACAATGACAGTACTTAAAACCACACAATTAAAACCATATAAGAAGCTTAAAAACATGCATCAGTTAACTATTGTGGAAAGATGTATTCTTAATCTCCTATTTAGGAGGAATAAAAAAGTTTTCAGCAAGTGTTTAAAAGTTGAAACGGAAGGCGCCTGCTGAATCTCTGTTGGTGGAGTGTTCCACCATACTGGGCTGATGACACTTAAGGTGCCATTACTTGTTGTTGTCAAATAAGCCTTGCCAATTTAGGGAATGGCATGTGATGCTCCTGCAGATGGATCTCAGTGATCAAGCTGGGATATAAGGGCTCAGGAGGTCCCAAATGGGTAAGTGGGATAATCTTAAGGAATTAGCAGGTAAAAAAATGCTACAAATTGAGTCCTTTGAAAAATGGCTCAAGTTACACAGGGGTGGACCTTTCAAAATATTTTTGTTTATATAAACGTATTTTGAAGCCATGCAAAAGCCATGCTGTTCACTGCAAAAAGGCTAAATTATCTTGCCTATGAGGCGGTGCTTCAACCTGAAAGACAAGTAGTGAATGAGAAGTGTTGCTCTTCATTTGCTTACCATCAGAGTGTTTACAGAGTGGGAAATAATGTTCATTGCATGATCCTGTCTTCCAGGTTCCATCCAAATCCAGATAAACACAACCAAAATTTTGTTTTGGTTCCCCTGGAGCCCATTTTGTGAACTTCATTTTGAACTTGTCAGTCCATGTATATTGTCCATCGGTCTGAAAAAATTAGCATATTAGCAAAATGCATTGAGTATACAGGTTGAGACGCAGACCATTACAATGGTGTCAAGAGTCACTGCCGTCCGAAGTACAGTCTCTAGGTTTGTTCTGGTTGTACATTCTATATATAGAAGGAGAAGATGAGAGGTCAGAGGACAGGAAATGCAAAGGTACAGGCAGTGATATCGACCTTTTTAACAATGACTGTTCTCAAAAAAATCCCCAGTGACTGATAATATAGAACTCCTGGCATTGGTAAGCCACTTTACACATGTAGTATGATATAAATCCATTGTGTCAATTCATCCCACAACTGATAGCATTTAATATCTTGATGTATTGCAATTCAGTGGAACATAAAAGATAGTTTGGTGTCAACAAACCCTGTTCTCTGCATGTGATTCTCACTGCATGTGATATTCTGAACAGGGCTTTTGTCCTTGTAGCATAGGACAGGAAAATCTAACTGACTCAGTATATTGGAAAGTGAATTTAATATTAAACTCCCTCACCTAGACTTCATTTGGATTGAACTTACTTACTTTGCCAAACCTATATTAAGCATTACAAATATAAAGGTAAAGGTAAAGGTACCCCTGCCCGTACGGGCCAGTCTTGACAGACTCTAGGGTTGTGCGCTCATCTCACTCTAGAGGCTGGGAGCCAGCGCTGTCCGCAGACACTTCCGGGTCACGTGGCCAGCGTGACGAAGCTGCTCTGGTGAGCCAGCACCAGCGCAGCACACGGAAACGCCGTTTACCTTCCCGCTATAAAGCGGTGCCTATTTATCTACTTGCACTTAAGGGTGCTTTCGAACTGCTAGGTGGGCAGGAGCTGGGACCGAACGACGGGAGCTCACCCCGCTGCGGGGATTCGAACCGCTGACCATGCGATCGGCAAGTCCTAGGTGCTGAGGTTTTACCCACAGCGCCACCCGCATCCCTATTACAAATATAGGCCATCATAAAACATTACAAATATAGGCCATCATAAAACATCCATATGTACAATTTCAAAATATATACAAATAAACAGCCATGTAAAAATATGTAACTAATGATTTTCATTGGAGTTTCTTCCTGCTAAATAGTGCCATTCATTACTCGGAGAGATACTATTGATAAAAAGTCAGCTTCCAGGTTAATATCAGACAGATAGAATGTTAGACTATTCAGGAAAGGGGATGGCATGTGTTTGTGTAGCTTGTTGTACAATGGACAGTAGAAAAGAATATGTTCTACTGTGTCCGGCACATTCAAAAAACATCTACAATGTCTATCTTTTCTGGAGATGTTTAAATATCTGTCCTTGACAAAAGCTGAAGGGAAAAGGTTCAGTAGGGCTATCATTAAGGCCCTGTGTTGGACTGGAATTATTAATTTTGAAATATGGGACACTGTTATCTGTTGTGTTTGAATCATAAAACTTGGGGGAGCAAATTTTATTTACAGCTGACTTGTTTTGTTTTTCAATGTCCCTTAATCTGATTTGAATATTACAATACATATATTGCTCACTTGAATTGTACAAGAGTTCCAAGTCAATACCGATACGATTTTGCTATGTAAGAGTTGGAACCACCTGGGTTTATAAGAGTCCTTAAGTAAGCTAGAAAGCAGACTTGAAATGTTGGCTGGATTGAACTGAATGTGTATTGTAACCTATTGTCCTATTTTAATTGCATGCTGATTGAATGACCTGAGATAAACAAATAACTAGAAACAAATAGAAGCATCCATATTAAGGCCCCTTCTAGATAAATATGTGATGTACTTACCACATTAGTATTGAGGCCAATCCACACTGGGCTTTTATACTTCAGCAGCCGCAACCAGAGGAATGAGTGGGTGAAAGGGTCTAAAATGCTAGCAAGGTTAAAGCTTTGCTGTTCACAACTTTTCTGAGCATCTTTCCATGCCATTTTGCTTTCAAAGAAGAAGTAGGTATTGTTATTGTAACGGATACGATATGCTGTTGTGGGTGTTGGAAGAACAGGAGTTTTAGGGTCTGCAAAAGGGAAAGGGAAATTAAATCCAATGCAGTGTTACTGTAATTTAAAGAAAAATATATAAAGGAGAAAAATAGGTTTATAGACATGGGGCACTATCCAACTAACTTGCTCCATCAATGCAGCTTTCCACTCGTGCCACAGAATGTCCCCCTCTCTTCCCCCATACGGCCTCTAAACCAATTCCGGGGGTTCCACCAACCCTCCAGTGCAAATTTGGGGAGGATGTGAGGTACATTTGGAGAGAGGGGAGGGGACAGAATCCACTGCGCAAATGGAAATACATGCGCTGACAGAGTAAGTCAGTTGGATGCTGCCCATAAGCTTGTGACGAGATGTAGATTGGATAAGCTACATAGTCATTGCATGGAGGTAATGGGATGGAATGGAATGCAGCGGCCACTCCTTTGAACTACGATACGATACGATATCTTTATTGTCATTGTCCCTTGCAGAACAATGAAATTGAAAAACTACATAAAACTACATAAAAACTACATAAAACTACATAAAAACTACATAAAACATTCAAAACCCCTAAAAACTCTAAAACCCCATTTTAAAATACACTATACTACAGAGACCCCTTATGCTGCGTTTAGAACCAGAATTGCATTAGCGTAGAAACTGTTTTTCAGGTGGCTAGTCCTGGCCTTTATAACCCTATACCTTCTTCCAGAAGGCAGAAGCTGAAAAAGATCATTTCCGGGGTGCGTACTATCATGTGCTATCTCTGCTGCTTTCTTATGGCACCTGACAGCATAGATTTGATCTAAGGTGGGAAGAGTGCACCCAATAATTCTCTCTGCAGTCTTTACAACCCTGGATAGCATTGTTTTTTCCCTGGCCGTGCAGCTCCCAAACCACACGCACAGACCATACGTTAGTATGCTCTCCACAGTGCAATGGTAGAATGCCATCAACAGGTCCTTTGAGAGATTGTTTTTCCGGAGGATTCTCAGAAAATATAACCTCTGCTGTGCTCTCTTCACCAGGTCTTTGCTGTTCTCTCCCCAGGTTAGGTCATCTCTCAACTCCATTCCCAGAAATCGAAACACTGAGACCTGTTCCACGCACTTCCCCTCAATAATAAGTGGCTGAATATTCAATTTACATTTCCTAAAGTCCACAATGATCTCTTTTGTTTTCTTTAAGTTAAGCAGTAAGTTGTTTTTCCTGCACCACTCCCCCAACTGCTCAGCTTCCTTCCTATAGGCTGTCTCCCCCTCTCCAGCCGTAATTAAACCAACCACCGTTGTATCATCTGTGTACTTAATGATCTTATTACTGGGGTATTTGGGGGCACAGTCAGCTGTATAGAGCGTGTATAAAAGCGGGCTCAACACGCACCCCTGCGGCGTCCCCGTATTCGTGATGAGATCCGCAGAGACGTGGGAACCCAACCTGACCCTTTGGGAACGGTTTGATAGAAAGTCTAATATCCACCTGCACATGGTGGAAGTCCCAGGTCTAATAATTTGGGCACCAATCTATGCGGAAGAATAGTATTAAATGCAGAACTAAAGTCTACAAATAACAGTCTCATATAGTTCCCTTGCTTCTCCAAATGAGTCAGGACAGCATGTAAAGCCATTGCCACAGCATCCTCTGTGGATCTCTTTGCCTTGTACACAAACTGGTAAGGGTCAAGTCCCACTGGCAGACAAGATAAGATGCGCTTCCTCACCAGTTTTTCGAAACATTTCATTATAATGGGTGTCAGCGCCACAGGGCGAAAATCATTCAGACTGTCTATCTTTGATGTTTTTGGCAGGGGTATAATGGTAGCGGATTTCAGACAGGGTGGAACAGTGGCTTGGGCCAGAGACTGGTTAAAAATCTTCGTAAAGATTCCTGCCAGTTGGTCCGAACAATCTCTTAGCACCCTGCCAGCCACCCCATCCGGGCCCATAGCCTTCCTCATGTTTACCTCCTTTAATATTCGCCTCACTTCTCCCTCTTCCACCCTGGCAGCATTTCCTGTAGGTGGTGACGCCAATAGCTCTGGCATCCCTGTTGGAGTCACTGTTGGTGTCACCTCAAATCGGGCAAAGAAGGTATTCAACTCTCCCACCAAGGAAGCAGTACTCTCTACCACTGATGAAGTCCTTGATTTATAACCAGGATATCATATGCAGAAATGTACGTAAGGAAACGCCACAGCTCAGTGGTAAAGATGACTCAAACACAGAAGGTCCCAGGTTCAGTCCCTGGCACCCCCAGTTAAAAGATCTCAGGTAGCTGAGCACTGCAAGAAAGACCACCACCTGTGACCTTGAAATAGGATGCCCATAATATTTTTCTGTACGCATATTATACAGTATACTATATCACTGGGCCAGAGGTGCAGAAAATGACCATCGCCATGCATTGAGCTATACCTCCAAGATCCGAACTCGATGTGGCAAAAAAGTGCTCTAAAACTGTTCCATGTGTCCAAAGGTCACCTTGCTATCTGGGCCACTTTAAAATCATCGAAATGTAGAGTTGGAGATTACCTTCTGCAAAGCCCTTTACTGAAGTATAGAGGAAACCATAAAAGCTTAATCGGGGCTTGCATGAGATTTTCTTTTAATGTAAGCAGGGGAAACAGATTAGCAGAACTACCCACCTGTATCTGTCTGGCAAATGTAGCCTTTTTTCTCAGAACAGTGAAAATGTCTCCATTTTCCCGATTCTTGAAGAGGCCTGTTTTTCATTGCGACACAATCTTCCTATGAAAGAAGAAGAAGGAGAAACAAATGCTAGAAATAGTAGTGAGATATTCAGAGCATCTTTGATTTCTTCCCGAGCTATATAAATTTAATTGCAGAGAGCCACCAGGAGTAGAGTCGGGACATTTCAGATCTGTATGCTGTTGCCCCTTATGAAACCTCTTATTTATTCCCATGCTCCAGGGTGATTCCACTAACCCAACAACCTATTCATTTTCCTTAATATCATCGGGCTTCTGGGTCGGGCTTGGGCTGTGGCCAGGCAAAGTGACAGAATTGCCCTTGCCTTCCTAGCAGCTACCATGGGATCTTGTTTCCCTACCTACTAGATGTCCCTCTGCCACAATTCCTTCTTGGAACTCCTGCCTCAAGTTCAAAATACAACTTGCAGTCTGTGGTGCGTAGGGCCTGGTTTTATGGCAAAAAGTATCTGAAAAATACTGATTTTCAGTATTATATTTTTCCAATTCAGTATTGCTGGCAATTTTGCTGTTCCTATTAACGATTAACTTACTTTTTGCTCCTTCACATTGCCTCTTTTTTCCTCACGGTATGGTTCTGACTTGAGGCCACGTACAGGAGAAGCTTGTGGGAAAGGAAGTGTTGTGGGGATGATATGGAGCAGTCTTCCAATTAACATTTGCCATATTGTGCATTCATCAAATACGTACCCTCTCTGCATCGTAATTAGATGATGGGAAGCCTTTTACCCAGTTGGTGTAACTGACTCTACTTCCATCTGTCCAGAGGTACATCTCTTCTGAATTGATATCATTGAATCCTATCCATGCATCCGTTGGGAAATTGTTCAACTGGGAAGTAAGGAAAGCTAAGGAAGGGAAAGGAAAAGTGGAAGGAAAAGCTGAAATCTCCAAAAACTGAGACACTATTCAAAACCAAACAGCCTTGAAAAACACTGAGTTTTGGAATGAATGAAAGGAAAGGGGAATGCCTTGAAAATTAAATATATACATTATTATTATTATTATTATTATTATTAAACACAGAGGACTATGGGAAATGTTAAAACCACAACTGTAAGTTTTAGATTCTGCTTGAGAGTCCAGAGAAAATTTCAGTGTTTCATAACTTCAAATTTTGAGCTTTATTACACACTCAGGCATCAATTGTATTCAGATGGTATTTTGAACACAGGCAGACTCAAGCCTACATGCATATATATTTGGTTTGCACATCTAAAGATGTGAAGGTCCTTCTGCTCCCCACAAAATGGAAAAATTGTTGAAAAACCAAAAATGGGAGGATGGGGTTTCCCACATTTCAGAAACAAATGGGGGAAGTGTCCCCCCCAAACATACCTGGGGGAAACTCATGGTTCCCCCCCTCCTGCTCCCCTTCCCAGGTGTCCCCATCCCTACATGAAGAAAAGAGCTTTGGAATTTCCATTTTTGGCTTGTTGAAATTGTTGCTTTCTATTCCCAGGTCCCTGCAAACAACAGTCTTTACAATGTTTGTGCAAACAATATTTGCCTCAGGATCTTAAAGCAGGATCAAGCGGTGATTTGGGATCCAAGCTCACAGGCAAAGTATGGTTTGCCATTAGGTTTAAATGAAGTAATGGGCAGGTGCCCATGCTGCCAAAGACGTTTTTGTAGGCTTTATTGTATCATTGTTGCATTATACAATTCACATTTTGTTTTATAATCGATAGAAGTTGAGTATCAGTATATGATAATACTACTATTACAGCCTTTCATTGCATACTGAAAGAGATGGGTGTGCAGACTGATGGCACATTAGTTCCAGAAAATATAAAACTGAAGTAATATTTTGCAAGTATTACTTGTGCTTGAATCTACAGATGCAAATGTGGAGTACCTTGAACCCTTTCACTAGATATGGTAGCCAGGTTTCCTCGTAAGCCTTTGCAAACTGTTCGTGCAGAATCCCAATTATTTCGGTCTTCATCTGCCAACCCAAATACTTTGTAGCACTAAAAAAAATTGAAGAGAGAATGATTAAAAAAGAAAGAAATCTGAGTATAATCTAGGTCTAGGTAGGATTGTCATCTTCGAACCCAGAAAACAGACATTGGCCTTTAATTCTCCCTTTACTTTAAAGCTGTGTCCTTTTTTGCACTTGAAATATGAACATTCTGAAATGCTTTCAGTTGCTTTCCTCCCCTACCCCTCAAGCTAGTGAACCAACCATAAGAGTTGGTTCAGATGTCATGCTAAGCCACTGCCTGGCACATGAATAGGCCCTCTGTTCACATGCTCCATCCTTCCATTTGTAACTTTCTGGTCTCAGCCAACCATAGTTTGCCATTACTTCCAAATCAGCAAACTGGCCCCAAACAAACCAGCATTAGAATCAAACTATGGCCTTATGTTACATCTGGATTAAGGGTATGTTTACATTACTGGTGGAGAAGTAAGATCTGAAAACATCCAGAAATATTTGTAAGAAGAACTTTCCCAAAACTCAATATGGAATTTGTTTTTTTAATAAAACTCTTTATTAAGCATTTTCTTTGTCAAAATAATTGGTGAAATTAAGTTAATTGTACCACAAATGTGGTTACCTTAAACTATGTGTGATAAGTTATTGAACCTCATATTGAAACTCATCTTAGCTCAAGCATGCAAAGCGTGTTCTCCTTCATGGAGAGCACGTGTTGCGGTGGGGTCTGCTGAGCCACCCCTCTGTTACCAGGCAGGGTCTCTAAAGATGGCCTGGGGCAGTGATTGGTTCACTGGGTTGCTGGGGTAAAAGTTATGTTGCAATTTTGGTGGGAGGGGTAAAATGTTTAAATACTCTGCACGCAGCCTGGAGCTTTCTTTTTGCTGCGTGCAACGGATCACCCGCCCACCCGCCCTTGAGTAAGGGGTTGTTGCATTGACCTTGCTATGCCTGTCATGGGGTCGTCTGCCGTTGGGGCAGGGGCCTGGTAGGAATTTTGTCCATCTGGCTGATTGGCTGGGCCATTTGGTTTTTGCCTACTGCGTAGCAAATCGTCACAACTTGTAAGGTTGCGGTTAGGCATTGGTTATAAATTGGTGGAGGAGGGGTTAGGATAGGCTGGGCCTGCCCCTCCATGGTTGCTGCGGAAAGGGAATTCCGTTAAAGGAATCCTGGGGCTTGCCATCTTTTCGTCCAATCCCTGGAATGGGACTAGGGCCGGCAAGCCTTCGATGAGAATTGAGGGTCTGTGACTCAGCTCAATTTCTCACCGACTTGCTTTCCCCGCACTGTCTTTCGGTGGTGCCCGGAAGTCAGTTCTGTCCCCAGGCGGGGGACAGATAGTCTTAACCAATGCCTAAACAACCACTCACGGTTTTGTATTTAAATAAAGTTGTGGCCAAAATTATGCCAAAAACCTTAAACAAAAATTAAGTGTGCGTTGTGAGTTATTTGGGGGGTGGCTTGGGGACCTCGACACGCAAATACTATTTCAGCTTCAGATATTTAAGAATCCCAGCTTTTTCTCTGTTTTCCTGGACACGATAAGTCAGCAAATTAACCTCTGATTTCTTTTGTACACTGTAGCTATTACAACTCAAACTTTAGACATTGTCAAACTGGGGTGAAGACGGAAACGACGATTCACAGGTGACATCACTTTCAGTGCAAGATTGTCAGTAGAAGTAGTATCTAAAATTTCATGCAGAGCCAATCTGTTGCCAACCTTGTGCTGTGAAAGGCACAACATTCTCACATGCTTCTCTATTAACACAGAACGCAGGAAGTTGCCTTAAAAGGTAAAGGTAAAGGACCCCGGACAGCTAAGTTCAGTCACAGACGACTCTTGGGTTGTGGTGCTCATCTCGCTTTACAGGCCAAGGGAGCCAGCGTTTGTCTGCAGACAGTTTTTCCGGGTCATATGGCCAGCATGACTAAGCCGCTTCTGGCGCAACAGAACACTGAAACCAGAGCAGCACAAGGAGGTGCCATTTACCTTCCTGCCAGAGCGGTACCTATTTATCTACTTGCACTGGTGTGCTTTCGAACTGCTAGATTGGCAGGAGCTGGGATCGAGCAACGGGAGCTCATCCCTTCGTGGGGATTCGAACCACCAACCTTCTGATTGGCAAGTCCAAGAGGCTCAGTGGTTTAGACCACAGCGCCACCCACGTCCCGTAGGAAGTTGCCTTATAACAAGTCAAATCGCCTAGCTCAGTATTGTGGCTGCTGACTGCCAGTGACTCTCCAAGGTTCAGGGAAGATTCTTTCCCAGTCCAACCTTGGGGACACTAGGGATTGAACTTGGGACCTCTTCCACACAAAGCATACCACTGAGCTAAAGCCCTTCCCCAGTAAATTTATATAAATGTATAGAGAGATAAGAGGGGGGAGGGAATTATTAATATTACAGGCACAAGGCTCCTTTTTATTGTGCATTCCAGATGATTTGTGCTCATAAAGCTGTAGGGACTATGACACATGATGCTGCTTTCAAACTTTTGCAGCACTCACACTGCTTCATTTTCAATTAGCACACATCCTATTGAAATCCCATACCCTTTTTCTTTTTTACCACACATGTCCTGCTTCATTTCTATCCCACTTCTCTTGTTCTATTGCAACTCCCGGCAACAATAATGTGGTAGCGCTGGGGAAGCACCACAGAAACAACTGAAGCAGAATGAAGCCACCACTCCTGCACAATTATACTGTCCATAACATGTTGGGCCACATACCCACAACACCAACCTGGAGGTGCCCCAAGCAAATGATACCCAGCGCAGAATGGAAAGTACCAGCTAAATGAGATCCGTGCTCATTTTGATAGTGACCAGCTGCATGAGCAGAGATGCATTATGATGGGGGTCTGCCAATATACATTTTGAGTATACAAAAAATAAAAACAGACAAAGCCATGTGGGGCAGCAATGTACATATTTATGGCTGTTTCCCAGTGTTCCTTTGAAACAAGAACATTATAATGGTACCTTGTTTTCAAATGAAAGCCATGATTCTGGACATCCTCCTGGAACAGAAGGGGCTGTAGGAGCAACTGTTGCATTGATTGAACTGTTGTGTCTTTCACATATGAAAGGATTGGGGTGGCCACAGTTTATATCATTCCAAAGTCCTAAACAAGAAAGAATAAGTGATCTGTCATAAAAGTTAAACCACGCATTGCATTTCGGAATACTGTTCACCCTGTACAAATAAGATGCCTTATTATTTTTCCTGGAAATTTCATGTGCACGATGTGTTGCCACAAAAATAAAATGTCGACAATCGGCAGACTACCCACCTGTCCTTCTGTAAATGACCACACAGTTTTCATCGTTGTTTGCAAAGTTGGGTTCATGCGGTGCCCAGGCTAAATACTGCACGGGGGTTCCGTCCATCCAGCTTAAAGACAAATTATTCTGTTATCTTGATTTGTTTTCAACATGGCTTAAGGTGCAAGGGAAATTCAAGGGTAATCTTTAGGGAGCGGGGAACCAATAGCAGCTTCGCAATGATGACTGTATCTTAAAAATCCAAGCTGTGGCTCTGAGAGCTGAACTAGATACGAAGGAAAAACACTGTGTTTGATGAAGATTCCTTGTCAAAGAAATATAAATCAGGATTACGAAGTCCGGTGAAGGATGCTCAGGGGTTGGTGTGGATGTGAATCCCTCCTCTGCCTGCAACCTCTTCCTTATCTGCTTCTATCATAATTTGTATTTCAGTTCCACTAAGCAGCCCAAATATGACCTGGTTTGGAGTTTGAGGGCTGGGTGTCATTAGGATGTGAATTCCATGTTAACTTCCTTTAGTCTGCCCATGAGTCAGCTTCACTGGATCAGTGGCAGACTTTGGACTTTAATATTTCAGCGGTGCCTTGTGCAATGCCAAAATTCACCACCCCTCCATTGTTCATAATTTTTGCTGCACCCCCTGCAGCACCCTCTCCGCTTGATCATGCTCCCCTAAATCTGCCTCTGGCTGGAACTAGAACCTTAATTCTAGTATTCTAAAAAGAGAGGGAGAAGGACTTCCCTCTACTTTTTTTCTACATCATACATTATTTTATAAACCTTGATCTTGCACCCCCTCAATTCCATGCCCTTTTCAAAATTAGAAAGCCCTGCATGTTGTATCTGTGTTTGCACCATACATTTAAAGCACATGCAAAGCATATACCCCTAAACGCAAAACCTTCAGTTTACCACTTGCACAGCTACCCTTCCCAGCTACAGTTCCCCAGGATGGGAATTGGGGAGAGGGTTACTTTAAATGTATACAGCATACACATTATATACATCCCCACTAAGTTGCTGCAGCCTTTTTCCAGCTCTGCAATATGTGTGTACGCACACAGATAAGTTACAGAATATACTGCATTGGGCTTGATTCTCTATATAGTACTATGCATATTTGTCTAGTATTAATAAATTGAGTTGCGTAATAAGCTCCAATGTTTTCTGTTTACTTACCTGACGTCTTTATCAAGGCTCAGTTTTAAGCCAATGTAGTAAGCGTTGGTCCAGTCGTTTTTTGAGATCTAAAGCATGAAGATGAAAATGCTATGTCTGAGGCAAACATTAAGTTTTTATACAACAAATGACCATTGTAAATGTAATCCCTTCAAAAACACATTGAGAATAACTAAAGTCCCTAGCTACCCAGTTAACTGGGCCTTCTGAAACTTATTTAAAACACTGAAAAGAAAAGAAATTTGTTATTCCAGGTCTCTTTCTATTACTGAATTAAACTCTGTGAAGGCCCCTAGGCAGTCGAAACCTCGGGGGGGGGGGGGGCACGTAAAGTATCTCCTAATATGTTTTTGTTTTTTAGGGAGAAATCAAGCAAGCACCTTCACTGTTCTCTTTTCAGTGCGTGCTAAAAACATTCTTGTTTAGACAAGCCTACCCAAATACTTAGAAAGCTGAGGCAATTTTAATCTGTTTTAAGTATTTAAACTTTTGTATGTTTGAAAGTACAGTTGTGAATTTTTCTTGATTTTACTGTTTTATCTTTCATAAACTGTTTTGAGGTTTCTTACAAATCAAGCGGTGCATGAATCTTACAAAATAAATAAATACATAAATAAAATAAAGATGTTTAATTTAAATGGCAAATTGCTGTTACTCGGGGATAACAACATGAAAGGGAACAAAAGGTATGCCGAATTTCTAAAGCCAAATTTCTAGAGCAAGTGTTTCACGAAATGAAATTTCTGAAAAGGCATAGTCTTTTATAACAAAGAATGCTTACTACTCTGAAGTATTTATTTGAGGAAATAATAAACTAGCACCTTACATATTTTGTTAAGAATCTTCTTTCAGTGTAGCTTTCAATGACTGCAAGATCTCCAAAGTTCTTCTTGCAAAACTCACGTCCTGTTTCCATAGGAGCAGTGTAAGTGCTGAAATAATACTGCTTGTCTCCATTGATGAGCCATCCATCACTGCTATATTGAAATTCTGCGAGAGAGGTGGTATGGATTAGGGGGCGTGCATCGCTAACCACCCCTACCTGGGTCACTTCCTGCATCAGATCTGGGCTTTGAATAAACTTCTTAAAGCAATAGGGCACAGTAGGGTAGAGCAATGAAGGGGTGTGTAAAAATTATCTGAGTAGGTCAGATCCATAGATGCCTGCCCCATCGCGTCTAGTTTTGGACTCTGAGCAACTGATGTGGGAGAAGCTGTGCTTGATAACCTTATTCCTGAAGTGCAGCTCTCAAAGAAATTGGAAACCTCCATCTGCCTGGGTGGAAATGGCAACACTCACTTAGCTTCAATCCCTAGTTATTGACATGACATGATTTCTTCAAAGGAAGCAATGCAAACTTACTTGGTAGAGGTGGTTCTGTTGGTTCAGGCTTTGGTTCTTCTCCTGGGGGGGGGAAATGTGATCCACACATGCATTATCCTGTTAAAACCAATAATTAAGCAATGCCTCGGGGTGATCAAGGCAGCAGGAGCCCCTTGCTGGTGGAGTTTGGTGAAGAGGAAGTTCAACAATATCTTTTTTAAAAAATATATTCTTAGTTTTTAATTTAATTATTAGTACACATATTCCATTTGTTCTTCAAAACATGTTATCTTATTCACAAATGCAAACCAAAATAAATCAGTATTTCTTCACATGTGAGTTCCCTCCACCTCCTTGCGACTCCTTACTTCTTCCTTATCTTTTAACTGTGGTTTTTTCCTTAGTTCACTTCTCTTACATAAAGTATACATTATCTATCTATTATTTACTTTGCAAAATTTAGTCAAAACACATCAAAGATTTTGTTGGAGAACAATGTTTTTCCAAGTACTCTTTGAAGCAGTCCCACTCCTTTTTAAACCTTTGGTTTGGTTGATTCCTGATCACCTCTGTCATTTTTTGCTAATTCCAAATATTCGCACAATTTAATTTGCCGTTCTTCCTTCGTTGGTGTCCTATCCCCCTTCCAATTTTTAGCAACCAGCATTCTTGCTGCTGTTGTAGCATATAATAACACCCTCCTCTTATCAATTGGGAGAAAAATTATCCAAAGGTTATTCACTAGCAACGTAAGCAATATTTCTTTTGTCTCTGATCAATCAAGACTCAGGGCCGATTCCACTTGCTTTGCTGCCAACTGTGTTTCAACTCTGCTGACGCCTGGTAGGAAGTATTTATGGCAGCTTTCACACCATAAACAGCCACAGATTTATTATTGTCCACATCTTTGAGATATGTGTGTGTGTGTTGAATTAATCAGAAGGCTGATTTATTTTAAAAACATTTTTAGTATTTATTTATTTTTAAATACCGTAGTATCACAAGCAATCTTCTGGTGACGTTACAGCTTAATAAGGCAAGAAATCTTACCTTTTTTAATCTGACAAATCCAGTTGTACAAGTCCTCACAGTGTATATCATTCCAGCGCATGCGATAATTTGCATTCAACTCTCCGCAGTGCTCAATTTCATTGTAGTTATTGGGCTCTCCATACTCCCAGTTTGTATATCCAAGCTGAGTAGAAATAAGTTCATTACATTGCTTGTCTGGAAATAAGGTGGTTTCATTTTAATGAAGGGTGCCTTCACACAGCAGGTTATTGCACACTCACCACTGATCAGGCATGCAAATTCTTTTGCAGTGTCCACACTGCATTGTCCTCATCAAAATGCCATCTACAGCCTAGGACCCTCGTACCTACAGGACCGCCTCTCCTGGTGTGCCCCACAGAGGACCTTACAGTCCCGGGCCTCAAGGAGATTAGACTGGCCTCGACCAGGGCCAAGGACTTTTTGGCCGTGGCCCCAGCCTGGTGGAATGCTCTGTCACAAGAGACCAGGGCCCTGCGGGATCTGACATCTTTCCGCAGGGCCTTTGGTCAGGGTTCAGTCTGACTCCCCTTTCCCCCATAAGAACTTGCATGAAAGTGGCCTCCCAACTTTTCGCACAGGCTCATCTAAGTTCAGCACAAACAGCTGGGTGAGCATTTAAGGTCTAGGATGATTCTAGGATGTATTTTAATTCATTGCTTGATTTTATCTTAATGTGTTATATAATTGATGTTAGCCGCTCTGAGCCCGGTTTTGGCTGGGGAGGGCAGGGTATAAATTATTATTATTTTATTATTAATTATTATCTCTCCCCATTTTAAGATATATTTACAGTGCAGGGGGTTACACAACAGATGGAAATGTTAAATCCAGATGAAGTAGGAAATTAATATGGGATGGCATTTGGTACAGATGATGCAATGTAAACGCTGTGCAGAACCTGCATAACATAAACAGCACTAAGTCTGCAATAAAGTGCCATGTAAAAATGCCTATTATTATTATTATTACCCCACCCATCTGGCTAAGTTGCCCCAGCTACTCTGGGCATCTTCCAACGCATAAAAACACAATAAAACATTAAACAATAAAAACTTTCCGATAAAGGGCTGCCTTCAGATGTCTTCTAAAAGTTGTATAGTTGTTTATCTTCTTGGCTGGATTTATACTCACTCTTTAAGCATTCTAGAATGATGTTTTTGATATCATTCTAAAACATAAATACATCCAACTCTTCCTTTTCTACAAGGTCTACCCACTTATTTCACGGGGAGAACTCTCAGTGTCCTCTGGTGTATCAACTTAATAATGCATTGTTTATGTCTTAAAAGAACGTCATATGGCTACAGTGGTACCTTGGGTTACAGACGCTTCAGGTTACAGACTCCACTAACCCAGAAATAGTACCTCAGGTTAAGAACTTTGCTTCAGGATAAAAACAGAAATCACGCGGTGGCAGTGGGAGGCCCCATTAGCTAAAGTGGTACCTCAGGTTAAGTACAGTTTCAGGTTAAGAATGGACCTCCAGAACGAATTAAGTTCTTAACCCGAGGTACCACTGTATATGATTATCATAATTATCATTAAAAACCACGAGTATAGATGAGTCCCTTGACATCTGACAGCAGGGCATTCCACAGGGCGGGTGCCACTTCCAATAAGGCCCTCTGCAAACTTCTCGTGATGGAACCGCCAGAAGGCTCTTGGAGCTGGATCTCAGTGTCCACGCTGAACAACTGGTGGGGGGTGGAGACACTCCTTTTGGTCATTTAGCATTTTGCTGTATTTGGTTTTAAAACCAAATAGCATAATTAGCATAATTTTCAGGCTCTGTATGTTCATTTGTTTCTCTTGGATTTTGTCATGTAAGTCGTAAAATTGGAACCACAATCTTTTAAAAACAGTGCAAGTCACTCACTGGAGAGCCATCGCTCCACGAAAATCCTTCAGTTGGACTTTGTAAATTTAAGCCTAGCCAGAAATGTGAAGAGCTGAATCCTTGGTCCCTAAGATATCACACAAACACAAGGAGACTTGGGTAAATAGACATGTTGCTTTATGAAATCACTTTTAAACTAACATGAAAAGCTTGCACCCAACTATGCTAGCTTGTAATTGTAATGCTTAGTTTCCAACTAAGCTTCTTGGCTTGTCTTTGAAATAAGATTCACTTTATGCATCTCAGTATTCCGCCTCAAAGACTACCTGCTTTGATATTTGTCGCAGAGTTTGCTATTTTTCCAATAGTCAAGTCGTCTACTGGTCTTATTTCTGTCAGATCAATACATTTCCCATCTGAGGCAGAACCACAAATATTTCCCCTTGCCTGCTCTCTGCCCAAATCGAGGTGCATAATGCCCAAGATGAGTCACGTTGTTTAGGCACCTTGATGCAGAAAATCCCACAAACACAAATCTCCCCTCCTTGACTAAAATCTACAGTTATAGTTACATTGAATAACTAACAATTCGCCCAATGGCACCCAAAATCAGCTGATTGGAAGGACTTCCCTCATTTGTGGATTCACACAAAACGGTACTGCAGAAGGGACTAAACGGCCATTTCCATCTTCTTATATGTAACATCCACACCATGGATGTACTCTTCTGCCTCTTTAATAGTCATGGCTTCCCTGCAAAGAATCCTGGGAACAGTAGTTTACTCCCCACAGGACTACAACCATCAGCATCCTTAGCAAACTGCATTTCCCAGGATTCTTGGGGGGGGGGGGGGAGCCACGACTGTTAAAGTGGCACAAGAGTGCTTTAAATGTGGGTGTGAAATAGCTATGATAACATGGATAAATCAATTTACTCACGACAAATAACGCTGCAGTGAACGTTCCTCTTGTGAGCTACTAATGGAGGCCAGCTCACCTCCCATGGCTCTACAAAAACTCTGAGAATCCGCCCACGATTTTTTATCATCACTCCTCATGAAAGCCTAATGATGATATATTATTTTACAGTTAGGCACAATAAGATCTGCACATGACAAAAGTAAGAAACATTGCTTCATAATAAGGGAAGTTATAAATTATGTTCATTATAACAAAATAAATGTAATATAATTTAGATATTTTCAGTTCAGCTCAGCCAGTGCTTTTCTTCTAGAAAAAAAATGGTGATGGAACTGTGTACCCTTGAGTACCCTCAGAAAAAGAACCACTGAGTTCAGCTAACATATTGTTATCATCATCTCTCTTAAACCAAGTCCGATGATTGGTTCACCTAGCCTATTATTATCTATTCCAGCTGGCTGCTGCTTTCCAAGACCTCAGACAAGTCTCTTTCCCTCTAATCCTTTTTCAACAGAGAGGCTGGGGATGGAAGCTAGAACCTTGTGCATGCAGAACAGATGCTCTATCATCGAGTTATCTATGGTACTTCAGCTATATCTGGAGTGAGAAAGGAGGACCACCTGTGTTACTGAGCTAGTCCAAACTTCACTTGCAATTTCTCAGGTATTTTCCCTCCAAATTGTATCCAAGCTTTTGCTCTATACGTTCTTTAATAGCCCCATGGCAAAGTTGCCAGGCACAACCTTTCGTTAGGGAAACTACAGGTGCTGTGTATATCTGTAAATGAACATAATTGTTACAAAATGGCAATAAGCCTTCAGTGACCTCTTTCCTAAGTGCTGTATCTCTGGACTCTCCCACTGCTTGGAAAAGTGGGAAGAACATAAGGATAAGGGAACACAACATGTTTTTAACAAACGTTTCCTGTGCTAACTACAAAGACAAATAGATGTAAACAAACGGCAGTACATATTTGGTAAGATTCATTAAAGAAAAACTTGCAATTGAATGTCATACTTTGAAGCACAAGTTCCTACTGTCACTTGGACTCCAGCCGTCAGCGCATCTGGGGGCAGCAGTTGTCGTTGGTATCGGCGGAGGAGTCACTCCATCAGCAAAGCGCTTGCAGAGGAATTTTGCCTTTGTCTCACATTTCAGAAGATCCCATAAGCCACCTGTGATTCCAGTCCTCATGGCAACACAGCCTGCTTTTCTCCCTTCGTGGGACATGAAGAGAGACACACAGGGCCATGTAATTGACACAAAAAGGAAAGGGAAAGACACATCCACTGCCAATTAGCAACTTAACCCCTAGATTTGTTTTAGCATAAAATCTCAAGGGCTGAAAAAAACAAATTGTACAATCAGCACAGCATTTTTTCTTGAGATCTGTGCTGGAGGGGTTGCTCAGAGGTGCCCAGCTGTGGAGATCCTGGTTTGGTGGCTCCAGTTGTGGGACCCTGCCTTTTAAGAGATTTGGCAGGCCTCATTCCTTGCAATCTTTGAGAAGTGTTCAATGTATATTGAGGGTCTTGCATGAGCCTCTTGGATTTCAATTTTAATGTGGTTTCATTGTTTTATTTCGACAGATTAAATATAGAATTATTATTATTACAGTTGCTGTTATTCATTATTACTATTATCGTTAGCCACAATTCATGAGCCGATCCCAGGGTAGGCTACAACTATTTAAAATTCAGAATTTGTAATGCTGTAATTTTAAATATAGTTGTAAGCTACTTCGTAGAGAAAAAATTCTCAAAGAACAGGGAATAAATTTATGAAAAAAATAAATTCTTTTTTTTCTATACTGCAACAAAGCTGAGGTTTAAGCAAGGGGGTTTCAAAAGTAATACATTTTCAGATCTAACCAGGTCTGCAAAAACTTAACAAAGCAACTTACTTATACCTTGAGCAAGCAGAATGGAAAGTTTAAATGGGGCAAGGTAAGTGCCAAAGAAGAAATATTTCATCATATATTTATTTGTTCTTATGTCTGTGAGCAGTTCTGTCTACAAAACAGACAGAACATTCTGTGTAATAAGGAGAGTAGTCAGAATTTTGCCTTTCTGCGGAAAATCCAGGATTTCACAGTATCTCTATAGAATTGGTCTACATACCAGGCATTTCAACATTCCAGTGGGTATATTCAACAGTTTCCCCACTGGTCCACATGAATGTTCCTCTTTCTTGTATGTCAGAAAGACCAATCCAGAAATATTGTTCTGGCCTGAGCCCAATCAGACTAGTAAAATATGCTTGTTCGTATCTGCAGAAAAGGAATAAAAGGCAAAAGTAGCATTTCATTTCTATGAAATGTTTTGTGACGAAACCCCTGCAAATGTAGCCATGAAGTAGCATGGGCTTGTATATCCATCTACTGTACAAATAAAAGTGTTGGCTCCACTGAGATGGCACATTCATCCCTATGGGAATAAAATAATGTCTTTTTCAGGAAGGAAATATTACAGCACCCAAGAAGGTTCAAGGGACCAGAGGAGGACATGTTCAGACATTGCAGAATTAATGTTCAGAAATAAGTCTGGATCCTGGGGGCATGCTCTGCCTTAAGCCTCCGTATGCTAACCATCTAAGCCTACAGGGCTTGGATCCTAAATTTCCATTTGTGAATTGAAGATTTCAGATTTATGGAATGGGCCTTTCCCACATATCCTTTCCCTTTGAAGCCCCCCACCCCATACCCCTTAAAAATATTCTCCTGGGGGGTTAGGGAACAGAACTGAATGTGTTGTGGGGGCAGGGGTCCTAAGGAAGAGGGAATTGGCAGAAATTACAAGAATGGAGGAGCAATTTTAAATCATCATCATCATCATAATTTATTATTTGTACCCCGCGCATCTGGCTGGGTTTCCCCAATCCAAGGTATGGATTCTCTAAGTTTGAAATCAAACGTGCAAGTTGTATATCATCAACTTCCTAAGTAAAACAACGTAACAATATCACTTTGAGTGGATGCAGTTAAACACTCCTAAATTCCATGCTCCCACCTTCCTAACCCTTCCCTGGCATGTTCCCACCTATCCTTCTCTTCCTGGCCTTAACAATAGCCAAGGTTTATGCTGCTACTGCTCTAAACTGTGGTTAATAGACACCACAACTACCATTTTTTATCTGTGATATAGCAGGGTGAGCAACCTCTGGCATGTGGGCTAGATACAGCTCTCTGGACCCCATCCTGCCCATACAGCCCTCCTGGTCCCCTCCCATCCATCAGTTTTTCAGAGGAGAGTAGCTGAGAGGGAAAAGAGCTGTGGTGTTGTGGAAAGGGTACAATTGCAGCTCCTTCCTCTGTAAGAAGGTCTTGCTTCAAGAAGACCAGAGCACGGAGAAAATATTTCAGCAGAGATGGGTGTTCCCTGCAAATACGCCAAAAAGTCATCCATGAATTTTGCAGTTGCGTGCATGCATACGATTTTTACAATGCAATTGTGTTTTGAAGTTTTCTTTTTTTCTTTTCAAAAGCCCTAAGACTTACAGTTGATCTTGCATTTATGCTATGTACATATTTTTGCTGGGATTACTGAATTATTTTTGACTTTTGCATATTCAGGGCAGAAAAGGGGCAATGCAGTGCTTTTGCATTTTATAACCTATAAAAAAATGATGTAAAAGACGGAATGTGCAACTTGAGTGAAATTACTAATAAATCAATGCCTCTGTTTCTATGAGAAATAGCTTTGTTGCATAATATTGAGGTATGGTGTATGAATCTGGCTCCTCCCATTTTTATGTCTAGTCCCACCCACTATCGGCATGTAGCCACTGGCAGCTTTCCAACAGAATTATGTGGTCGTTCACCTGAAAGAGGTTTTTCATCCTGCCTTAAATAGAAGACGTTTTAGGGAAGAAAGAATCCTGAGATTTCTGCATGATGGCACCAAGCCTTAGCTTAACAAAAATGTCATATTTTCACTTCAGACAATTATTTTTATAATTAATAATAATAATAATAATAACCTGTCTGCAACAGAAGCTAAATGAGCATTGTCCTTTATACATGTTTGATTTGCTTCTGCGAATGTTGAATATATATTTCCAATCATGTAGCAGTATAAACCGTGTCTTTTCCAGCCCTGTTTGGAAGGAAGAATAATGTACTTTACAGACAGCCTGTGAGGTCAAGTGTGCATATTATAACCTTTAAAAAACTCTGTTGAAGACTGATGAAGGTTGAGCAAGAGACAAAAACAGAATGAAAGGAACAAAAACTGGGTGAGTGCAGAAAGTAATACAGCTAAAATACTTCCTTAAATGAAATAGGATATTAGGAATGTTTAATCAGTAAAAAGGCCCTTTCCTGTAGGGATATCCGTTTCATTAAGAGTCTATTGTTTTATAGGGATATTAAACCAATTTAACTTATTATTGTATTTGCTCTGCTCCCTTGTGCAATTATGTTTGGGGTTTTTTTCACTTTCTAAGCATGAATTCTGTTGAAATGATTTTTTGGTGATCTGACAATTGTCTACTGTTGATGTTGGAAGATGGTCAGTTCCAGCTAATCAAGACTTTATTTTCCCAGATTAAGGGTTCATCCAGACTGCCTTCTGTGCAGCATTTCTAGGCACACATCTGGGATTTCCTGGTCTGTGCCCGAGAGGGTTTTGGTTTTTTGCCCCACCACTTTCCCCGGGAAAGCCCATGTTCTACCCCTGAATCAGAGCAAATAGCAACCGGGTTGAGAACTTGATTTTATTTAATTATGCCAAGTGAATAACAACTGTTTATTCCTGTGTTTTACTATTTCCCTTCCAATAAAATAGCTGAGAGAAAAAACTCTGTACAAGAGTGAAAAAGACCAAAAAAGGAGGGGGAAAGGTTAGGATCCTGACAAATGCCTGGCGCATAAAACAAGTTTACAAAATACCACTAATTCAATCTGCATTTTCCTAAATTAATGCTTCCATGGCCAAAATACAAAACTTACAGTGAGATGATTGGTTTAATTCCACCACATCGATAGATATGGTTTTGGGTTTGTTTGTTTTTTAAAAAAAGAAGGCTTACAGTTACAAAGCAAGTAAGATAAAATGGCACATAAAGACACATAACTAAAGACACATAACTAAAAAAAGGGGGGGGGAGGACAGCAGGCAGATAACATCAAGACAGTTAAAGGTCTCAGATTCCAAAAACTTCAGCCAAACAACCACCACCGTAGACCAAACATTAAAAGCCTGGATGAATAAAACCATTTTTATCCTTGACAAATATCCATAAGGCTAGAGGCCAGGAATATGGACCTGAGCAAGCCTCAGACAGGAGGATGTTGTGCAGGTTTGTTGCATGTTTGTTGTGATATGCTTTTTTAAAGATAGGCTGGTCACTTGCTATGGTTCTGCAGAGCATAGTGGAGGTGGTTGGAAGAGAACCTGAAGAGAAGGGGAAGCCTGGGGGATTTTTTCAAATGAATAACCACAATGCACAGTAGCTACAAAGGGACGCAGGTGGCACTGTGGGTTAAACCACAGAGCCTTAGGGCTTGCCGATCAGAAGGTCGGCGATTCGAATCCCCGCGACGGGGTGAGCTCCCGTTGCTCGGTCCCTGCTCCTGCCAACCTAGCAATTCGAAAGCACGTCAAAGTGCAAGTAGATAAATAGGTACCGCTCCGGCGGGAAGGTAAACAGCATTTCTGTGTGCTGCTCTGGTTCGCCAGAAGCAGCTTAGTCATGCTGGCCACATGACCCGGAAGCTGTACGCGGGCTCCCCGGCCAATAAAGCGAGATTCGCGCCGCAACCCCAAAGTCGGTCACAACTGGACCTAATGGTCAGGGGTCCCTTTACCTTTTTACAGTAGCTACAAGGTTTCCAAAATAACTAGTTATTATGAGCACTGACTGGTGGCAACAGCAGATGACCACCCAAGTGTTAGGTAAGCAACCTGCAGAGGACACAGGAACGAGGTTTTATCCCTTGTTGCATTGTAGGTGCTGCTCATTGAATGTGAACATAACAACCACTTGGGGGGAGTGGGCCAAAGAGCCTGGGGAATTCTGTATTGATCTACTTACTTTCTGGCAGCCTTCTTCGACTACATCTGCATCTCCCGGAGTTTCTTTTAGTGGTTTGCTTTTGCAAATGTATCCATGTTTCACATCGCAAGGTTGATCTGCCCAGAACCCTTGCTGCATTGGACAAAAGGAGTTGCTTGGATAAGATTTGTGACATATTTAGACAGGAATATACTTGGTATAGTAGAAGCACATCGAATGAGCCATCTGCTTTGCTTTACTTTACCTTTCCTTTCATAACCACACAGTCTTCTTGTCTGTTGTTAGCATGTGTTGGCTCTCCACGCAGCCAGTTCGTGTATGTTACAGGAGTCCCATCCGTCCATTCAAAGTACATTTGAACCCTGCGGTCATTCAGCCCAATCCACAATTCATCAGATGAGCCTAACAGGATGAGCATAGGCAAAAATGACACTCCGTTGGATGCAGATGAGCAAGGGGAAATGTAATTTCTGTACAGAATGTCTAAGGTCCAGGCATTTTGCTATTGAAGCAGCACCATGTCAGCCATTGCATGCCTAAGAACTATTTTTCTCCAAGGCCAACCTGTTGGCAATAAATATTATTCTGGAATTCAATAATGGGATCTCAGTTTCCTCTACCCACACTTGAATTAAAATCTGCCCGTTATTTTTAGCTTGCTGTTCTGAACTATTTCCTGTAAACTACTCCAACTCTCCCCAAAAAGGAAAAGGTTTCTTTAATAGTGAAAAGGGACATTAAGTCTCTTTTTTAATTAACCAAAGTGGGGGGATGGAAAAATGAAATGTCCTTTATGCCAGCTTTCACTAACTTGATGTGCTGGCTGGGGCTGATGGGCATTGGGCATTGGGAAAGCAAGCAAACTGAGAAGAAATGCAATTTGGATTTGGTAATTACCGTATTACTGTTCTTATCCTTTGAATTATTTGTTCTCTTTGGACCAAGCTTCCTATGAACATCCCATGGGATGCGAAGCAGAGCCTCTCTTACAGACTTTAACATCTGGGCATGTTAAGTACATAAGCATGCAAGAGCATATCAGTTCAGTTCAGTATCCTGTTCCCCACAGTGGCCAAATCAGATACCTCTGGGAAGCCCACAAACAGGGCATAACAGCAATACATCCCATTTGCCACAATGGCCCTGTAGTAGCTTGACTATCCAATGTCATTTCCAGCAATTGGTACTCAGTAGCGCACTACTTCTTGTACTCAGAGACATATGCCTGACCAAGATCATTTAGATCTTCAAGGGTTTGTGCTTGGATTGGAATCCAATGGAAGTGGGCAAGAACTGGGAAAGATGGAGGGCACAAGGAGAAGGGGACGACAGAGGACGAGATGGTTGGACAGTGTTCTTGAAGCTACCAGCATGAGTTTGACTAAACTGCGGGAGGCAGTGGAAGACAGGAGTGCCTAGCATGCTCTGGTCCAGGGGGTCACGAAGAGTCAGACACGACTAAACGACTAAACAACAACAACAACAACAAGCAGTGGCGTACAGCCATTGGACTAGGGGAACTAGGCTAGTCCCCTAAATGTTCCCCTGGCACCTCTCTCCCAAAGCCCAGCTTAGGTAGAGGGTGTGAGCCTTCAATGGGTCCAAGAGCCCTCCCGCCACCTTCCCAAAGCCCAGGAAGCTTCTGCCCAACTTAAGGAAGGAGGCACGGGGACTTCCGGGGTGGCGCCATCAGCAATGGCGGACTCCCTCTGAACAGGAGGGACTAGCTCCGCGGGAAACGGGTCTTCTCCGCTACGGCGAAGCGGGGACCCTTTTAAAAATCACAGGCGGATGAAGCCTGTGACCATGGGACTCGGCGGGCGCCTTTAGAGCCCCCCCAACTTGCTAAGGAACCTACTAACGGGCTCCGAAGTAAAGAGGGGGAAGTGACGCGGTGCTGTGAGTCAATTGCTATTTCCGTGGAGCGAAGCCGCACAGCCGTTGCCAGAGAGCGCTGCCTTTTTCCTGGGACAATTTGGACTCTAAAATAAGCACCCGTGAGTACTTAGACTTTGAACAACTGGACATTAGATAAGGACTTGCGAGCAGAAAGGAATTGGATTTTAAAAACCTATTTTAATTTGGTACGGAACGGGAAGGTCTAAACAGGAAGTCAGCCTTCCGTTCTTCTGTAGACAGAATAAAGCAAAGACAACGTAAACTAGAGCTTAGAAAATCGCCTTTAAAGGATTGGATTTCATCATTTAAAATTGTGGAACCCCCCTTCGACAGCAGGAGAAGGAGGGGGATCTTTTCCGGACTGTTTAAAGTGAGTTTAAAGTAAAGTAACTTTCCTCCGTCCTGATCCTGGAGCTGGGTGTCAGGACTGACGTTTGAAGTTCATTGACCAGAGACAAGCAGTTTGACAGATAGCTAAAAGAAGAGAAACATAGTGATTCCACTGCTTCCCTTCGCATCTTTAAGCAACAAATATTGACAAAGTATCTCAAAAAGGGAAACTTTGTTGCAAGAACAAATAGAAGTTTTCCCCCTAGAGGGAGACTGTGTAACTGTTACCAACTCCAGAGAGCCGGCAGCTGTTACAGATAACAATCCTGTAAACAGGCATTCGACCTTGCAGGACAATGTATTCAGAAGCTTTGTTGTGTGCTTTCTATAAAACAAATGCCCTACTGGAACAATTACATGAAAAGGTGAATTGGATGGCGACTTCGACTAGAAATTTTGAACAGGCAGTGGGAAAATATGTGGAGCCCACCCAGGAATTAAATCAGGAGTGTGTCCTGACAGAACAGGCCCAACAGGAATATGAGTTTTCGGATTTGACAAATGAACTTGGAAAAAGCCAGATTTGGAAAGAAAAAGTTTGGTTTGGCTTGGAAATGGGGGGCTGGATTGACCCCCCTATGCTGGGATGTTTGGACTTTTCAAATCTGACAATGGGCCGTGAGATGTTTGGGATTGTGGGGGCTCTTAATTTCGGAGGGTCTTTGAAACATGCTTTTAAATACCATATGGAACTCAGCGTTGAATCTGGAAAAGGGGCTGATCTGTCGAGAAGGGTTAAAAATATTGCCAAGCTGGAGTTACCACGAGCAGGAGACAAGGGAAAATACAGTTACAAATATGAAGAAGAGCTGCGGAAGGGACATGGAAGAGACTTGAGGGCCTCGGATATAAGGCTGCCAGGTTAATCGGCTAGATCGACGGGATAATAAGGACTGACAAAACCCGGAACCAGGAGGAAGGGACGTTGGATGAAGATTGGATTTGTTTGTATTTCTTTTTTCTACCATTAGAACTGTTTTATAAAATTGATGAATGTTAGAAAAATGTTGGAATGAAACTACTTGGCTTTAGTAAAGATGTTTAAAGAATTATGAAAGAATATTATGGTTATGAGAAGTTGGTAAGGATAAGATTTAAGTTTTAAGCTTTAAGGTTTATTTTATTATAGAAAGATAAGATTAAAACAGTTTAGGGTAATGTAATGACAGAATATTATGAAATATGGAAAGGATTTGCTGGGATAATTAATAACTAGGATACAAAGAAAGGGAGGAGGAGGAGGTCAAAGAAAGAAGGTAATGACAGTTGAGGATATGAGAATAATGAATTTGTTTTTAAATGTTTTTTAATTGTGTGTGATGTATTTTTGTATTTTTTTTCTTGTCGTCACTTTTTCTTATTTTTGAATTTGTATTCATATGCTTGGAAGGGGTTTGTTTTTTTTCTTATTCTACTTTGTTAATTATTTTTATTTTGTATTTTCTACTGCTTTTATTTTATCTGGTAACACTTTGAAAATTTCAATAAATATCTTATTAAAAAAAAAATTAAGGAAGGAGGCACGATGCTCATGGGCGTGACATCAGCACACACACCCCAATCACCCTTGCAAGCTGGTGTCTCTGGCCCTAACTGTTCCCCTATGAAAAATTTCACCGCATGCCACTGAGCAGTAGCAACAAGGAAAGGGAAATTATAAGGAAGGGGAGACAATGCTCTGGGACATGAGAATTTGCACAGAGGGATGGAGGAACACTGAATGGGCTGGATGAGAGACATGCAGAGACCGCTGATTTCCTGCAATGATCTCTCACCTTCTCTGTGTGTACCCATAGACAGAGGAGCAGAGATGAAGCGGGAAACTATGGAACTGATAGGAATCTTCCACTCACGGGCACTAGCACATCAGTCGTAGGCTGGATGGATTGCTCTTCAATGATAGTTTCCCAATATTTTTTTTAAAAAGGCTGCATCCAGCAATATTCAATTGTCACCATATTTTTTTAAAGAATCAGTGGCAAGTTAATAGCTAAAAGTGTGTTCATGGAGTTTCTTGTCCTTAACTGTAGGAGATGTCACCACTGAGACTGAATACTGAACCCGAGCCCAAACATAACAGGTGTTTCCTTTCCACTGACCTGAATCACTAAGAACAAGATGGTGCTGCCAAGATGTGTACACAGGACTTCCTCTGACTAATTCAACATTCAAGCAGAATGTAGTACACTGTTTGGTTTTTCTGGCACCTACTGTGACACCTTCATGACAGAGATATTGCTTTTAAATGAGATTTTCCATTGCTCCTGGTCCTGCATTCCTGACACTTACATAATGTATTTTTTCCCTGTTTGTTCTCGCAACAAGGTCTTCTCCCTCGTTTTTCCACTACAGCACATCTGCATTATGCTGCAAGACACAGGATCCAGCCAGCTAGCGCAGAAAGTTATGGCAGAATCCTCAAAACATCACCTCTCACTGAAACAACTTTCTAGACTGGTTCTCAAACGGCTTAGTTGCCGAACAAATCAGCTCCTGAACGCCACAAACCCAGAAGTAAGTGTTCCGGTTTGCAAATGTTTTTTTGAAGCCGAAAGTCTGACGTGGCTTCCGCTTGACTGCGTCTTGGTTTCTGAATGGTTTCAGAAGTCGAACAGACTCCTGGAATAGATTAAGTTCGAGAACCAAGGTACCACTGTACATACAGTATTGACTAGTATCTATGTACTTTTTAAAAATCCCAAAGGTCTGTATCGAAATAATCCCAATTCTGCAGCAAGAAAAGATGTATTTTGTGATCTGTGCAAACTACACAAATTTTAAATTTTGTGTTCTGTTTTGTTCTGTTATTATACGCACGAAGAATGCTAACAAGTTGTTCAGGGTTTCTAATGTCCCACTACTGAGCATGATACCTTATTCAGCAATCCCTTCTAGCAAGCTATCTTATACCTGGTCAGACTGCTGGCCTATCTAGCCCAGTATTATCCTCACTGACTTGTAGCAGCTCTCCTGGATCAAATGAAGTTGTCTTCCTCAGCACCTGCAACCTTATTTTTGTTGATGACAATACCAAGCTTTGAATCTGGCACCTTTTTCAAGCAAAGTGTTTTCTCTACAGCTGAGCTAGATAGAAGAGCTTCCTCATATTGAGTCACACCACTGGTCTACCTGGCTCACCTCATCAGGGGTGAGGAACCTGTGGTTCTCCAGATGTTGCTGGACTACATCTCCCATCAGTCATGCTGGCTGGGGCTGATGGGAGTTGGAGTCCAACAACATCTGGAGGGTTATAGCAGCTCTGCATGGTTTCAGACAGAAGTCATTGGACATCTCCATACTTGGAGATGCTGGGATTAAGCCTGGAATGATTCGCATGCAAAGCATGGACTCTGCCACAGAGTGATGGCCCTTCACTGCCAAGCCTTCTCTCCCAGCTGTACTGCCTGCTGTGCATTTTCTGCCCTTGAACAAAATCATAGCACTGGCACAGTCCAGTCAAAGCCATTAGTCCAGGGGTTGTCAACCTGGTCCCTACCGCCCACTAGTGGGCGTTTCAGGATTCTAGGTGGGCGGTAGGGGGTTCTATGGCACAAGCTGAATCCTCCTTCCATTGAGCACTGGTGAGCAGTAAGGAAATTTTACCGTCATGAAAGATGCATTAGTGGGCGGTAGGTATAAAAAGGTTGACTACCCCTGCGTTAGTCCTTGGAGCCTTCTGAGCCAATGCCTTATCTTTTTCCCACTGGCTTAGCATTGACATTTCATTAGGTCACTACAGATAACAACAACAACAACACAACAATTTATACCCTGCCAATCTGGGTGGCTCCCAACAGAATATTAAAAACACAATAAAACATCAAACATTAAAAACTTCCCTAAACAGGGCTCCCTTCAGATGTTTTCTAAAAGTCAGGTAGTTGTTTATTTCCTTGACATCTGAAGAGAGCGCATTCCACAGGGCGGCTGCCACCACCGAGAAGGCCCTCTGCCTGGTTCCCTGTAACCTCACTTCTCACAGTGAGGGAACTGCCAGAAGGCCCTCGGTGCTGGTCCTCATTGTCCAGGCTGAACGATGGGGGTGGAGACGTTCCTTCAGATATACTGGGCCGAGGCCATTTAGTGCTTTACATCTATTGTCGTACCTCAAGCAGAACAGCCTCTCTGCAGATGCATCTTAATTCCTACAAGCCTGAGAAATTGCTAGGCTGACACATATGCAATCACAGACAAAACACTAGAGAAGAAAGCTTTACCGAGTTGAAAAATGCTGCGAAATAGCCACTAAAATTCTTGATACCGTTGTAATATTTATTAATCCTAGATGGGATGAAGCAGGTGCCAGTTATGTAAACTACTGCTGCTACACAAACATGCTAATTGATAAGATACCATGTACAAATACTCACTGTACCCAAGCTGGGAAATTGTAAAGCTGTACTCTTCAACGTTGTGTATACTCGCCAGATCTCCACCTTCCTTTCTGCATGATGCTAAGGCATCATTCCACAAGGCCGCTGTTCTGTGAATCTTGTAACAGTGGCCTGCATATGATATCCATCCCTCAGGACACTTAATATTCACATTTGTTTCTGGGAAAACAACAGCCACAAACAATGATCAAGTAGGCACCTATGCACACAGTGCTGTATAGATTCCACATAATGTTAGGGGCATGCACATCAGAAGGTCGGCAGTTCGAATCCCCGTGACAGGGTGAGCTCCCATTGCTCTGTCCCAGCTTCTGCCAACCTAGCAGTTCAAAAGCACACCAGTGCAAGTAGATAAATAGGTACCACTGTGGCGGGAAGACAAATGACGTTTCTGTGTTTAGTGTTCCGTTGCATAAGTGTTCCGTTGCATAAGAGGTAGTTTAGTCATGCTGGCCATACGACCCAGAAAGCTGTCTGTGGACAAATGCTGTCTTCCTTGGCCTAAAGTGAGATGAGCACCGCACCCCATAGTTGCCTTTGATTGAACTTAACCATCCAGGAGTCATTTACCTTCCTTTACCTTACATACACACACCTTTTCCTCATCACTTAAGCCCCATCTTCCTCCAAAGATTTCCTTTTAGTCCCCAATCCAGCACACACACGATATTGGTGATCTAAGCCTCCTTCGCAAGTTTGCAAACCATCATAAATTAAGTCTGTTTCTTGCACATGCCCTATTGATAAACAGGTGCATCAGCAGGGAAACTCTGCTAAACAAGCTCCCCACTTTAATAAATATAATCATTGTGTCGCTAAAGGGAGCGGGGAAATCTTTTAAATAACGTAGAAATGCATTTAGGAAACACCTGGGCATGTTTGCCTAGAATGCTGAAAGGGAATGGAAGGAAACTGTGACAACGCTTTGGCATAGCACACAGGGATATTTATCAGAATGTGCTTTTAAGAGCAAAGTGGTGTTTTCCTGTCTCTCAGTGTCAGCGTCTCTGTTACAGATAATGGAATTTGCTGCCATAGCTGTCTAGAATCTGGATGCTTCCTTCTCACACTGAAATGTAAATACAATGCTTTAAATTCAAACTTCTGATGCCAAGGACATACACGTTCTTACATTTCAGGTGGGCTCTACCATAAAGGGGCCCAGAATTGTCTCGTCAACAGCAGACTTCTTCAAAATAAAATACTTTGCATTCTGTTTCCTCTCATGTTCTCTTTGGATAATACAGCAATAAATAAACCTGAAGCCATGGGCCAGTTCATAAGGAAGACTTTGAGCATGCAGAAGCCTTTGGCTGCCAGCACAGAGAAGGAGGCACCACTGAAGGAGGAGGATGGATTATTGAAAGTGGAAGCAGCTGCTACTGCTGAAAGGGCAGAAGAAGGTTCTTCATGGATGGCTGCAGGAGTTGTCAAAGCTATAGTTGAGATGCTTGCACATACTAGGGATGCTGACTGTGTAGACGCCTGTGTTACACAGCCAATAGGCCCTTTTGAAACAACAGAAAACAATACTATCCTCTTCAAGAACTGGGTGTTTTGAAGACTCCTCTTCACAGAGCTTTTTGAAAGAGCTCCAAAATACATGTGAAGCTTTCCTTTTTTTTCATCAGCCTACTGCCAACTTCTATTCATCAACCTACCTGAAGAAATAGTGAAGGAGTTCAGACTGGAATTCCCTTTTTTACAAATGTAACCAAGTTTCTGACTGCATTCTAGAGTTTCCCATTTGCCATTTTTACTGGGATTAAATGTTCCACAGGTTTTTCCAGGCTCTGGAGAAGGACTCCCTTTAAGAAACGGGCACAAATAAGAAGGATATTCACTTTACAGAGTTCAAGGTCTTTGTTACAAAATTCCATTGTAGCCAACGGGCATGTAAGAGGCGTTTTCTACATAAAGTCAGCTCAGTAAACAGATCAGCACATTGAAGTGATCCAGGCTGCAATTTTGCTCACGGCAAAAGTGCTCAGTTCATTGTTTCACCTCAAAATTTCATTTCAGGACTTCAACCTATATTTGTAATGAACATATGAATGATTCATCATGGCCAATTATAGGGATGATGGTATGTATAGCTAAACATATCTGGAAGGCCATAGCATATTGGACCCAAGAACACATGTTTTGGAAATCCAAACAAAAATTTCAGGATGAGAAGATGAAATGGGGCATCATGAATTGCACTCTTAGTGGGGAAGGGACATTTGAAATTGTGTGTGGGGTATTGTTCTCTACTGCAAAAAAAGAGGAAAAACTAACAGATTATGAGGAAAATTGGAAAGACAAATGCACTTAGAATATATAAACACCCAAACAACAGTGGTTACCTGGTGCCCAGTTTAGGTATCTGAAAGGATGGCCACCACTCCATTGCCATCCACGGTTGGAGTCCAAACTGTTAAGACCAAACCAGAGTTCAGTAGTCAAAGTCGAAGTTAACGCTAAATGAGCATGCAAAACACAGCAAAGAATCAGTCTCAGGAATGCGGACACCACAACAGGCAGTAGTAATTACAGGTAACTGGGTAAGGATGAGCATCAAAGTTGCAGAGCAAAGGAGAATTTCAACAATCGAAAATTAATTTTACCACTGCAGCGTTATGAAGGGAGAAGCACCATCTGCCAAAAGTTTCCTTTGTCAGCACAACAACACCTTACTGAATTTGGTAAGTCTACCTCTAGACCTGCCTTTCGTGCTTACGACAAGAAGAACCAGACAAGATGGAGCCAAGTTCTACCAGGCTGAAGTTTAAGACTTGCAGAAAATAAGCATTTGCGATCAGTCTCATGCACCCACTCTCCTGGATCGTGGTGATCAAATACATGAAGTAAAATTTAAAATGTGCAAAGTACTTTTGGCTCACCACTAAATCTCCACAACCCGTTCCTACATATCTGGTGTCAGGAAGTGTGACTTCCACAGCAGAGAGTATGAAACATTGGCAGGTTGGACTGGGGCATCTGTTTTTACAGATTAAGCAATAAATCTGATCGTTTCACATTGAAATTGAAAATGTGAAAAGAGGCTTGAGCAAATAGTTCCTGGTGAATGCAAATCGATTGCTCAGTATGTGCAAGAGAGTCAAGCAACCAACAAGACTCTATAGTATGAGTGCATGGGTTTAAATTTCTTCATTGCTGTGATAAGGCAGTGCAAAAGTAGGGTTCTTAAGCAGGAGAGCTTGCTTTTGACATTTATGAAGCAAAGCTACAAGATCACTTTTCAAATGTTACCTTGCACACAGCAGGGGAGGCAGAAAACTTAGGAGTGCCATTCCCACTCTCAGCCTTCACACATTCAGCTTATTGTGTTCATGTCTAGATATTATATAGAATCGTAGAATTGTAGAGTTGGAAGGGATCCTGAGGATCATCTAGTCCAACCCCCTGCAAGGCAGGAATAGGCAGCTGTCCCATGTGGGGATCGAACCTGCAACCTTGGCATTATCAGCACCACACTCTATCCAACCGTATCCAACTGTATGGCTACACTTCTTTCTGTGCGATTGGGAATCCTGCTTTTTCAGAGTTCTCAGTCGTAAAGACAAACAGACAGGCATCGTAGAAACATAAGATCTATGTACCTGTTAATGCAGAGAGATCAGGAATGGGGATAATGCCAGTTCTGTTGTGCAACTTTCAAGTCTTTCACTTTAATTTATTTGGGATATAATATATGACATGCTACAAAATATCCATGCACATGGATAACTTACCTGTTAGGTACATTTGCTCATGTAACTCAGTAATTCCCAACAAACATGCACCTTGTTGCTGACAACTTTTACTCGCTTGGTACCAAGTTAGAGCAGCGTTTGAGTTTATCTGGTACTGAACATTGGTCATATGGTCTGTATTCCACAGCTTGTCCATTCCGTCAACTATAGGGGGAAATAAAGACAGGCTTCCAATGTTTGTTACGACAAAACGAAAGAAGCATTATTTAGTTAGAGAGTCTGAATCTATCGTCCTGAAATTAACATAGACATAACTATTTTCTGAACTGAACAAAGGGACCTCAGAAACACACCATTTGTGGTAGGTGACTTCTGCTTTGTTTTTTCTAAGGTAGCTTGGACATGCCCTCTCAAACAATGGATATCTAAAGTATGTAATAATATTTTCCTGTTTCTGTCTGAATGTTTCTGTCAAATCTTCACCTCCCGTGGTCTCTATTGAGCCAGACAGTTTGTGAATTACTTCTACTCAGTGACACAGACTGCTTACTGAGCTGGCTGGATCTATAGGTTTGGCCGTTCCTGCTAGTTTTAGCTGTTATTTTTCTGCTTTAAACATCAATAAAGATATATATATATATTTAAATGCAATGACAAGCTACAATGCGACTTCAAGCAGTGGGACTGTAATAATATAGTGCTAAAATTCATAGGAAAATTCCTCCCGAGTTGTTCTAGGGCTCTGTAGAAAAATACAGAGTTTGGACATTGGAACAGTCAGACATGTGATCTTCTTTGATTTTGCCTTTATGTGTTTCTTTTCTTTTGTTAAAGGCCTTGACTTTTAACCCTTTGCCCACACCATGGTCCTGATAGAAACTGCCACATTCCCCCCACCCTTGCTATCCACAATGGAAGCTTTTCTCCAATTGCAGATAACAGGCACAAGGACACCCTAGCTCCAGTCAGGACCCCGGCAGGAACAAGCAGTTAATGTTTGTTAAATCATATTCATTTGTAAAAAAGGAATATACAACAGGATAGACAGGAAGTCCAAAGTGTTGGTACATATATGATTTTGGAATAGTTTTTGTCCTTGTTTCTTTTCTTTAGGTATATAAACTTTGTGTATAAACTTTGTATACATGCTGAAAATTATATTATAATAAGCCTTGTGATGTAATATGATAATGTTTACCTATGTAACTTAAGAACGTTAATAAATAAAACTCAAAAAAAGTTTGTTAAATCATTACATCCCTGCCCTTTTCAGAAAAGTTGCCTATCTTCACAGTTCAATAATATGCACATTTATGTATGTTTTATTGAATAAATGATCAATTAAAATAGTCAGTGCTTTTAGACATCCACATTTAGCCATATATTTAAGGCACAAAACTTCCACCAAGGAATCATGGAACTAGAGTTTGTTAATGGTGCTGGGAATCGCAGCTCTATGATGTAAACAACAGTTCTCAAGATTCTTTGAGAGAAACAATGTACAGTCATACCTTGGATCCCAAACGCCTTGCGACTCGAATGTTTTGGCTCCCGAACACAGCAAACCCGGAAGTGTTCTGGTTTGCAAACATTCTCTGGAAGCTAAACATCCAACACGGCTTCTGTGGCTTCCTCTTGAGTGCAGAAAGCTCCTGCAGCCAATTGGAAGCTACGCCTTGGTTGTCGAACTTTTTCGGAATCCAAACAGACTTCTGGAACGGATTCCGTTTGACAACCAAGGTGTGACTGTACTTTAAATATATGGTGTGTACATAGCCTTAGATAGTGACATTTCATGATCCAGGCTTGAGAAACAACTACAGAACTTACATTTCAGTGGGCAAAAGCCATATTTCCTGTCTGTATGATAGTTTCTAGTAGTTGAACACCACAGCCAGCCATCGGACCTGCCAGCAGTTGTACACTCTGCGTACCAGTTACCATCATACTGGAAAGGGAATACACATGGTGCTCCATTGGCATTGCCGTTCAGAGTGAACATGTCTGGAAAGAAAGAGGAAGAGAAAAGTGTAAAAGCAATAAAAGAACCAGTAATAAAGTAATCAAGTATACCATTACTCTGGTATACTTTAAGACAAAGTGTTAGCCAACTAGCCATGGCTTACAGCAGACACAGAACAATAATCGTGTAATACTTTAGAAGCTAGCAGATGCATTACAGTGGTACCTTGGGTTACATACGCTTCAAGTTACATACGCTTCATGTTACAGACTCTGCTAACCCAGAAATAGTACCTCGGGTTAAGAACTTTGCTTCAGGATGAGAACAGAAATTGTGATACTGTGGCAGCAGCAGGAAGCCCCATTAGCTAAAGTGATGCTTCAGGTTAAGAACAGTTTCAGGTTAAGAACAGACCTCCGGAATGTATTAAGTACGTAACCAGAGGTACCACTGTATTCCATAAGCTTTTGTGGATTATCAAAATGATGCACCTGATGAAGAAGACTTTAGCCAAAAAAACCCCACTTATGCCATAATAAATTTGTTCCTCTTGAATACCTTACTACCTTAGTCTTTGATACAAGCACTGCCCAAAAAACTCTAAGAGATTACTTCAAGATAAACATGAATACTACAGTGGAAAAAAGTAATCTGGGATGCAAGCAAAGCGGTTATGAGAGGATTTCTAATACAACAGAATGCAATCAAGAAGAGAACTCAGAATGAAAAAAAGGACAAAATCTTGGAAAAGATAAAGGAAGGAGAGAAGAAACTGAGAGCAAAACCAAAGTCACAGGAGATTCTGAAAGAGATAAAGTTATATCAAGTACAATATGCAAAACTGATGAATCAGGAAATAGAATGGAAGATTAAACAGATGAGACAAAAGACATTTGAATCGGCAAATAAATGTGGGAAATTGTTGGCCTGGCAAATGAAAAAAAGACAAAAACTCAACACTATTACGAATTTGGAAGTGGAAGGAAAAAATATACAGAATCCAGTGGAGATTAGGAAGAGTTTCCAGAGATATTTTAAACAACTCTATACACAGGAGAAGCAGAAAGAAATGGACATTGATCGCTTTCTAAAAATAAATGGACTACACAAAATCTCTCAGGAAAAACAACTAATGTTGAACTACAAAATAACGGACCAGGAGGTGGAAGGGGCTATTCAGAATATGCAATTAGGTAAATCTCCAGGACCAGATGGTTTGACTTCAAGATATTACAGATCTTTGAAAGAATGGTTAATACAACCACTGAAGGAAGTCTGTAATGAAATATTGGAAGGGGAAAAGGCACCAGAGTCGTGGAAGGAAGCTTACATTACACTTATACCGAAAACAGAGACTGAAAAGACACAGCTCAAGAACTACCGCCCCATATCGTTGCTAAATGTGGATTATAAAATTTTTGCAGATATTTTGGCTAAAAGATTAAAAAAGGTGTTAGTAGAAGAAATTCATAAAGACCAAGCGGGCTTTCTCCCGGGCAGACATTTGTCTGACAATATGAGGAATATAATTAATATTCTAGAAAAACTTCAAGTGAATATCAACACTAAGGCTGTCTTGATATTTGTGGACGCGGAGAAAGCCTTTGACAACATCTCCTGGAGCTTTATGAAGAAGAATCTACAGGGGATGGGGGTAGGTCAAGGTTTTGAAAACGGTATAGGTGCAATTTATTCAGAACAAAAGGCAAAATTAATTGTGAATAATGTAGTGACAGAAGAGTTTAAGATTGAGAAAGGGACACGACAAGGTTGCCCAATTTCTCCACTGCTTTTTATTTCGGTCCTTGAGGTTTTGTTAAACATGATAAGAAAGGACCAAGAGGTTAAAGGTATACAAGTGGGAGCTAAACAGTATAAACTGAAAGCATTTGCTGATGATTTAGTATTGACCTTACAGGAGCCAGAATCCAGTACAAAAAGGGTATTGGAACTGATTCAAGAATTTGGACAAGTAGCAGGTTTTAAGTTGAATAAGACAAAAACTAAGGTTTTAGAGAAAAATTTAACTGTGAATGAGAGAGAGAAGTTTCAGGAAGAGACAGGACTAACACTGGTTAAGAAAGTGAAATATTTAGGGGTTAACATGACTGCTAAAAATGTGAATTTATTTAAGGACAATTATGAAAAATGTTGGATTGAAGTCAAAAAGGATTTAGAAATATGGTCAAATTTGAAGTTATCATTGTTAGGCCGAATTGCTGTGATAAAAATGAATGTGCTGCCAAGGATGTTGTTTTTGTTTCAAACATTACAAATCTTGGATAAGATGGACTGTTTCAAGAAGTGGCAGAAAGATATTTCCAGATTTGTTTGGCAGGGCAAGAAGCCTCGAATAAAATTTAAGATATTAACCGATGCTAAAGAAAGAGGTGGATTTGCCCTGCCAGACTTAAAACTTTATTATGAATCAGCGGCTTTTTGCTGGCTGAGAGAATGGCTACTTCTGGAAAACACTGACGTCTTGGATTTAGAAGGTTTCAATAATGTATTTGGTTGGCATGCATATTTGTGGTACGATAAGGTCAAAGTACATAAAGCGTTTAAAAATCATATTGTCAGAAAAGCATTGTTTAATGTTTGGATAAGATATAAAGATTTCTTAGAAAAGAAAACCCCAAGATGGTTGTCACCAATGGAAGCGAAGGCACAGAAAAAACTCAATATGGAGGCCAAATGGCCGAAATATTGGGAAATTTTGGAACAAGATGGAGACAGATTAAAATTGCAGAGCTTTGAAAAATTGAAAAATAGAGTGCAAGATTGGCTCCATTATTATCAGATAATGGAGGCATATAATTTAGACAAAAAAGTTGGTTTTCAGGTGGAAAAATCAAAATTGGAAACAGAATTGTTAGATTCAAAAAATAAGAATTTGTCCAAAATGTATAACTTGCTGTTGAAATGGAATACTCAGGATGAAACGGTGAAGTCAGCTATGATTAAATGGGCACAAGATGTTGGACATAACATAATGATGGCTGACTGGGAACAGTTATGGACCACAAGTATGAAATTTATGGCATGTAATGCCCTAAGAGAAAATTTAATGAAAATGATTTACAGGTGGTACATGACACCAGTTAAGCTTGCAAAAATTTACCATTTGCCCGACAATAAATGTTGGAAATGTAATGAGACTGAAGGTACATTCTTTCACCTTTGGTGGACATGCCCAAGGATTAAGACATTCTGGGAGATGATTTATAATGAAATGAAAAAGGTATTTAAATATACCTTCCTGAAGAAACCAGAGGCCTTTCTCCTGGGCATGGTCGACCAATTGGTGCCAAAGAAGGATAGAACCTTTTTTATGTATGCAACAACAGCAGCAAGAATACTCATCACGAAATATTGGAAGACACAAGATTTACCCACTCTGGAAGAATGGCAGATGAAGTTGATGGACTTCATCTGTGGCAGATGAAGTTGATGGAACTGGCGGAAATGACTGGCAGAATCCAAGACCAGGGAGAAGAGTCGGTGGAAGAAGATTGGAAAAAATTTAAAGACTATTTACAGAAATATTGTAAAATTAATGAATGTTAGAAAAATGTTGGAATGAAGTTATATGGCTTTAGTAGAAATGTTATAAGGAATTAAGTATAGATAGGTTAATAGAGCATTAAAGGAAAAAATAAGGTTAGAATTTGTTAAGATAATTAAAGGATAGAAAGCAGAGGAAGATGGAAAGGAATTGCTGAAATAATTATCAGAAGTGGAATACAAAGAGGGAGGTGTGAGGAGGTCGTGGAAATAAATGAGTGAAAGATGGGATAATGAAACTGTTTGATTTATTTTATTGTTTTTGTTTTGTTTTGTTAATTTAATGTTTTGCATTGTCTTTTTTTTAGTGTTTAAGTTTCTGGAAAAATAATAAATATTATTTTTTTAAAAAAAGTCTTTGATACAAGCACTGTTCTCTTTGTTGTTTTGCTCAAATTGTATCGTGGTCTACTTTACAGCATTGTCACAAGGATAAAAAGACTAAAACACTTTGGCAAATGTAAAAAGCTATTCCACAAAAATGGGATAGTGCCAGAAATGGTTTAGAACAAAGTGTGCAAAGTTCATATGTAGGATGGCAGTTTACATATGCCTATGCAACCCAACCAACAAACAAACATACCATTATAGGCCTGAATATCCTGTGTTCAATATTCTTATTTCTTTTATTTTTAGAGGTTTTTTATGATTTCAAACATGCCTCCTTGCCATAGTTCAAAACCAGAGACAGGCAGGCTGGAGGGAGACATTTCATTTCATTTATTTGTATTTGCTTGCTTGCTTGCTCTTTATTTATGCTTATATCCCTTCACTTTATTCCACATTCTGGAAAAAGGTATAGAAGTGAATAAGCTGGGAGGGAAATAATCTTCTCCCCTAGGGCTGGACTTTTAGAAGACATCTGAAGGCAGCCCTCTTTAGGGAAGCTTTTAATGTTTGATGGATTACTGTATTTTAATATTTTGTTGGAAGCTGCCCAAACTGGCTGGGGAAACCCAGCCAGATGGGCAGGGTATAAATAATAAATTTATTATTATTATTATTATTATTATTATTATTGACAGGCATGTGCGGGAGGGAGCTAGGCTACAGTTCATAATAACATGAAGATGGTGCGGTGAGGCGGGGGAGAGAGAGGATGACTGAATATGGCTTGAATGCTCTTCCTGTCTCCGTGTTGTCATGGTTACTGGCTGGTATGCCCTGGTTCATAAACTTGACACCGAGTTGTCACAAAGGAGAGGAAGTGTCTGAGCACTTCCCCTCAATGACACATCCAAGTGCAAACCTGGCATCACTTGCAAATATTAAATTGGGTAGAGGTTTCATAGAGTTGTAGAGTGGGAAGGGACCGCAAGGGTCATCTAGTCCAAAGCAGGAACCTCAGCTAAAGCATCCATGACAGACAGCTATCCATCTGTGCTTTGCTTTGCTTTTTAAAAAGGGAATTAATAACATTTTGAACATCTCCACAACTGGATATTTGCACGTTGGTTCTGCCTTAGCCTAGATGTTATCTATTGTTCATATAACTGGACATGGCAATTCAGTCATGCTCTAACTCAGGGGTAGCCACACTTCAGGTGTTGCTCGACCCCAACTCTCATCCTAGCTGGCCACTGGCCATCAACAAGTTGGGTTGACTGTGGCAGATGGGAGTTGTAGTCTAGCAATATCTGGAGGTCACCATGTTGGCTACCCCTGTCCACTTGTTGCTTATTCTGACAGAAATGATCTTACAGCTTGGAATTTCATTATACTTAGGCATTCAATGTGTGGCCAAATACACCTTGCCTATTGGGACGATTCAGATAATTATGCTATCCTAGTTGTTGAGTTTTTTTAAGGAAGCCACTTTTCGATTGACTTGATGTATAGCAGTCCTATCCTAGGATGACAAATCTCTAAAGGGACAAGTTATGTTATTTGTATGGGTTCCTAGTTCTGTGCATTATAATAATAATTTATTATTTATACCCCAGCCATCTGGCTGGGTTGTTGGCTTATATAACAACATGACTAAAGATTCAAGTAGCCAAGTATATTAACTCAGAAGGAAAACGAAACAACAACCAGGAAGATTTACCTTCATAGCCCCGGGAGCACAAATCGTCTCTGGTTCCATAGACCTTCCACCGACTCCATTCGCCAGATCCCCGGTACAGCATAATTCTTTTTTCATTTTTGTTGCCATAGTTGAAATGCAGATCTGCTCCTTGGATGGCGAAAAGTGTGTCATTTTTGCATTCCCACCGCTGGAGATCGCTTGTTGAGTCACATGGGTACAGAGTAACTGGTGTCCAGTCAACCTTTGAAGAGACTCCAAAGCATAACTTCAAAGACACGCTCATCAGCTGGTGGCTTGAAATCCATCTAAATTTTTGTTCATCACTTTCATGGTTGCAAGTACTGGTAGTGACATAGCTTGCAGACTGTACATGAACACAAAGGTTGTGGTTTTCGTTATATATTAAAAATTTGCTGGTATCTGTAACCAAAAACAAAAAATGTAAGATCTATGGCACAGAAGACCAACTAGTCATGTGTATCACAAGCAGAAATCTGGTTCAAGAAGCCCTTGAACCCGATTTGCACATTAATATAAAGTGAACACAAAACACAGCTATTAGGGCTCAGTGCGATCTCTCCAACAGATCTGTTGAAGCTCTATGAAAGTGTGTAAAGGAGAGAGAGAGCATTCTGGGAAATGATATATAATGAACTAGGAAAAACGTTTAAAATAACTTTTACAAAAAAGACTTCCAGGTCGGCGCCATTGGTGAATGGCGGAGTTCCTCCGACCGGAGGAACGGGCTCCGTGGAAACTGGGTCTTCCCGCCGCGGCGAAGGTGGGGACCCGCTAGAAATCCCAGGCAGAGGAAGCCTGGGAACGTGGGGTTCGGCAGGGCACCAGAAGCGCCCCCCTACTCGTGGGGAATCCCATTTAGGGGCTCCGGAGCGAAGTGGGGTGAGAAGCGCGGTGCTGCGAACTGACTGCTACTTTCACGGAGTGAAGCTGCACAGCCATTGCCAGAGAGCGCTGACTTTTTCCTGTGGACAATTGGACTTAAAACAAGTACCCGTGAGTAGAAACGGAAAATTGGATCAAGAAATTGCTTAATTTGGTATCGAAGCGGGAAGGTGCAAAACAGGAAGTCCGCCTTCCGCTTTTTGTATATAGACTAAAGCAAAAATTTTGTAAGCTAAAGCTGGGAAAGCTGTCAAAAAAGCCTAAATTTCCTTCATTCAGAATCACTGAAACCCCCCTTGGAAGCAGGAGAAAAGGGGGGGGGGAATCTGTTTAACCCTTGCAGGAGAGGGAGTGAAGAAGGATAAGTTTCCACCGTCTCTAACCTGGGAACAGGGTGTCAGAGACAGAAACTGTTGGAGAGGTTCATTGACTGTGAATGGAATATTTTGACAGATAGCTAATGAAGAGAGACAAGTTGATTCTAATGTTGCCTTTTGCATTTTAAAGAAACAAAATATCTGAAAAACATCTGAAATATCTGGGAAATGAAAGTAACTTTCCTTTGCCTTTTTAAAAAATGGATACAAATAGAAATTGTCTCCTCTAGAGGGAGCTTGTTAAATTGTTGCTGCAGTATACTTGAGGACCCAACATCTGTGAGATTAAGATCGTGGGAACAGTCTTTTCTGACCTTGACCAAAGATGAGCTGGGAGGAAGACTGGGTGCTTGCTTTATGCAAGACAAATGCCTTGCTGGAACAGATGCACGAGAAGATGGACTTGATGAATGAGAAAATGGATTTGACTGTTGTGGTTAATAACTGTGGACAAACAGGGAACATTGATACAGAAATCATCCAGGGACCAACCTATGATTCTGTACTGACTGGGCAAGTGCAGATGACAGTGGAGGAGGATGCGGTTGCAGCTCAAATAATACAAATGGAGAGACCCGAGGCCCTATAGGAGCATAAGCCACTGTCATTGAAGATTGAAGTTGAAGCGGGCCAGGGGGAGTTTGGAGATGAGGAGGTTCCTAACCTTGGAGAGACCTTGAAATATGATTTTAAATACTCTTTGGATTATATCGAGGACTGTGGGGAGTGGGACTGTGGGGAATGGGCGGGCTGGATGAAGGGAGATGGAGACAATTTTGGGTTGGAATCCCCCAGAGACTTACTCCTCAATGAGAAAGGAAAGAAATTAAGAAAGAGACCAACAAAAGACAAGGAAAAGGGCAAGTATAAACAAGAAGAAGAAGAACTGCAGAAGGGACATGGAAGAGACTTAAGGGCCTCGGACATAAGGCTTCCAGGTTGATGGACTAGACGGAATGGACAGTAAGGACTGACACGAACCGAGACCAGGAAGAAGAGACGCTGGATGATGATTGGAAGAAAATTTATAAAGGAAACTTTTTATTTAGAATTAGCTTAATGAATATTTGGGAAAATGTTGGAATGAAAATATATGACTCTAGCAGAAATGATATCAGGAGCTATGTATATTTGAAAACTAAGATTTAAGCTTTAAGGTATTTTGGGGTAAGAGAAGGTTAAATAAATTAAGGTAATTTGAATAACAGAATATGGGGAAAGATGGAAAGGATTTGTTGAGTTAATTATTAGGTTAAATTGTTAAGATAAATTTTTTAACAAAAATTGAGAAAGATGGAAAGAATTTGCTGAAATAATTAATTAAACTAGAATACGAAAAGGGAGGTGTGAGGAAGTCAATGAAACAAGCAAATGGAAATTATAGATATGCAATTTGGGATTTGTGTCTTCCCCCCCCTCTTTTTTTTCCTTTTGTTGTATTATTGTATTGGTTTTTATATTCTGCGTTTTTCTCTTTTTCTTTGTATTGTAGTGTTGTTCTTTATTTTTTCTTTTTTTTTGTAATCTTGAAATTATTAATAAATATTATTTTAAAAAAACACCAAAAAAACCCAGAAGCTTTTCTATTAGGAATTCTAGGTGCCAAAATCTTAAGGGAATGGAAGAGATGGTTTATTGTACGCAACAACAGCTGTGCAGATGCTGCTGGCCCAGAGATGGAAAGAAGACAAAGTCCCTACCAGAGAAGGAGGACACGTCAAGTTGCTGGACTATGCCAAAATGGCAAAAATGACCCGAGAAATCAGGGAGACCAAAATTTGAATAAGGAATGGGGTAAATTTATAATTTACCTTGGAGACCACTGTAAACAGTTAAAATCGTTAGCGGAATTGCAATAACACTTGTAATGTAACGAGAACTGTTGATACAATGGAGATATAAAAAGATCTGGATTACTATAAAAGATGCAGCAGAAAATGTTTAATAACGGGACCCACAGAGGGGGAGGAGGGAAGTCCAGAGATTCATGGGACTCTTGTATTTATGGAAGGTGTTGTGGTATGATTGTAAATTTTAATATGTAAAATCAAATATATATATATGCATCTATTTGGCATGCATATATATATATATATGCATGCCAAATAGATGGCTCCACAATAATTTGTACTGTGTTTTATTTTTAAGATGCAATGGCTAGCTCTTCTGCAAACTGGAAATGAATGTTTTTTTGTTTCGGTGACAAAGCTGACCTACACTTATCTAGAAGCTGGTTTCTTCCTCTTGTCCTCCTTGGCTTCCAACCCATTAGGAAGCAGCATAAAGTTGATGAGTACTGGAGACACAAACCCTTGCAGTTTATCAGTCAGTTTTCCTTACAGACAATACAAGGAAATGTACAATTATCACCAACGGTGATAAAGTCTTTTACTATATTGTTGTGCTAACAATTGCTCCGCGTTTTTGTAAACTAGTATGTGCAATGCTTGCAAATTCTTCCTAAATACTTTTAAGGGAAGTCGAGCACAAAGGGGAGGGGAGAGAGAGGCTACTACTAATTGAAACATTGTCTTTTTTAAAAAAGGGGTAAAACTTTTCCACAGTTGCTGGAACTAAGACAGAATATTTGAACCACGTGCTTAAAAACATATTTATACATTTGTATCTAGACTGCATACCTGCAGCTGTACTTTTTTTATATTGTTGAAATAGATATTTGACGTTTCCTATGGTCACAACACAAATATGTGAAGAATTTTTTAAGCATATGATTCAAATGTGGTTTTGAGATTTTGGACTTATCGTGCATGTGCATTGCAGTATGAATGTAACTAATGCCATTTTTAAAATGTGTTTATGTTGTCCATTGTTTATAGCTTCCGAAGAAGGATCATTTGTATTCCTCAACAAAACAAGCTATGTTTAAGATTGTCCCAGTGAGAATCGGCTTCTTTTCCTGATGGGAGCTATAATCCAACAAGAGGAGGGCCACAGATTCCTTTTCCCTGCTCTGCCTGCTGCATGCCATATTCCAGGGGTGGAAGGACCTGTGGCCCTCCTGCTGTTGTTGAATGACAGCTCCCACAATCCCTGTCCATTGGCCGTGCTGACTAGGGCTAACGGGAGTTGGAATTCAACACCTTTGGGAGAGTCATCTCTGTTCTGTCCCTTTATTTTGCTTAACTCTGTGCTTCATCCGTTTAAAGAACTGGAACTAGAGATGTGAGGAAAAATAAGAAGCAAAATGCATAGGGATGGGGAATTCAATTCAGTTCACATGTAAAGGTGAATCTACCTAATTCTCAATTTTTGAAATAATCCTTGTAAATCGCTTTTTATTATTTTGTAAAAATGATTATGATAATTTGTATGCCGCCCATCTAACTGGGTTGCCACTCTGGGCAGCTCCCAACAAAAAATAGTAAAAACACAATACAACATCAAACACTAAACACTAAAGGCTGAACAAGGCTGCCTTCAGATGCTTGTTTTTGTTTTTTTTTAAATCACGTAGCTATTTGTCTCCTCAACATCTAATGGGGGGCTGTTCCACAGGGTGGGCGCCACTATCGAGAAGGCCCTCTGCTTGGTTTCCTTTAGCTTCACTTCTCACAGTGAGGGTACCACCAGAAGGCCCTCAGAGCTAGACCTCAGTGTCCGGGCTGGACGATGGGGGTAGAGATGCTCTTTCAGATATATTTTACAGTCAAATGGAGTATAAATTTTATGAAATAAATAATATGTGAATTGAAACACAGCCATACTTTGAAATTCACAAATCTCTCTGAATGTTGCAATGCAGTTCTTTGGCCATCTAATGTTTACGAAAATGTATGTAAACTGCATAAAACGCAAGTATTAGTGAAAGCAACATTAAAAATGTGTTACATTGGGGAAAATATAAATGTTAGGGAAATATGCTTTGCTAAAATGTGTACATTAGGCAAAACTGCACAGACAAGTTATTAGAGGAAATAAGCACTAAAATGTTGAACTTTCATGAAGATTTCTTGTGAAAAAGAATCACAAGCTGGAAAACAGAAATAATGAGAAACACAGAGAAAGGAAACAACTTTGGACAGGAATGAGCAGCAGCATATAAAGCAGTGATGGGGAACCGGCAGGCCTACCAATGTTGCTGAACTACAGCTCCCATGATTCCTGTTCCTTAGCCATGCTGGCTGGGGGTGATGGGCGTTGGAGTCCAAGGATACAAAACAGCAAACTACCAATCCCAACACAGTATCTTGCTGCAGAAGCAGCTACTAAAATAAAGCAACAGGACTGAGCCATAGTTTGAAAACCCTACAAATTTAAGGCAAGTAGGGTAGTATAGCAGCCAGAATAGAATCACAAGCTCAGGCCCCATCCCTGATATGGCACCCCTGTTGAGCATGGAGCTCCAAGGAAGGGATCCTTCTCACAAGGATCTGCTCATGCCTAGGAGCTCCATACAAGTAGAACACCTGTTGGCCAGGTGCCCTGCTAGCATAGAGTGGCTGCCCATGCAACTTTTCTCATCCTTTGGGTTCTATCTGGAGCAGCTGGAGGAGGAGGAGGAGGAGGAGAAGGAGAAGGAGAAGGAGAAGAAGGAGAAGGAGAAGGAGGAGAAAGAGAAGGAGTTTGGATTTGATATCCCGCTTTATCACTACCCGAAGGAGTCTCAAAGCGGCTAACATTCTCCTTTCCCTTCCTCTACCACAGCAAACACTGTGTGAGGTAAGTGAGGCTGAGAGACTTCAGAGAGGTGTGACTAGCCCAAGGTCACCCAGCAGCTTCATGTGGAGGAGCGGAGACGTGAACCCAGTTCACCAGATTACGAGTCTACTGCTCTTAACCACTACACCACACTGGCTGGAGGGTGAAGAAAGAGCTCATACCCTCCAACATTTCTTCGATGAAAATAGGGACGTCCCATTCCATAATGATAATTTTACTATTTAAACCCCACACATCTTACTGGGTTGCCCCAGCCACTCTGGGCAGCTTCCAACATATATAAAAACATTTAAAAAATTAAACATTTTAAAAACTTCCCTATACAGCAGTGATGGCCAAACTTGGCCCTCCAGCTGTTTTTGGACTACAACTCCCACAATCCCTAGCTAGCAGGACCAGTGGTCAGCGATGATGGGAATTGTAGTCCCAAAACCGCTGGAGGGCCAAGTTTGGCAATCACTGCTATACAGGATTGCCTTCAGACGGCTCAGGGGTAGGATAACTCCATACCTTCCAACATTTGTCTAATGAAAATAGGGACATCCTAAGGAAAAGTAGGACATTCCATCAAATCAGAAACTGGGGCGGCTTCGCTAAATCAAGGATGTCCCTGGAAAATAGGGACATTTGGAGGGTCTGAGAGCTGTGAGTGGAGGGTATCCTTTTCCCCTCATTTGGACCCCCTGGGAAACTCAACAAACCTGCTGTACCTGGAACTGGGTGTGGAGACTACAGCTGAATGGACAGCCTGAGGAAGTACCATCCACTTTGGGCCTGCCCATAAAAAGCAAGCCTGGGGTGAAAGGCTAGGATGATGCCTGCTCTTTCCAGGAACCGTACTCTTCGTAAGGCTTTTGTGGATGAGCTGAGAGTTTGTTTGGATCCTGGGTGAGAACCCGGAGGCTGAGATGGAGGGTGTGCCAGAAGGAAAATGAACTGATACTGATTTTTATATATTAGTAACATGGTATTGGGACGCGGGTGGCGCTGTGGGTTAAACCACAGAGCCTAGGACTTGCTGATCAGAAGGTTGGCGGTTCAAATCCCTGTTACGGGGTGAGATCCGATTGCTCGGTCCCTGCTCCTGCCAACCTAGCAGTTCAAAATCACGTCAAAGTGCAAGTAGATAAATAAGTACCACTCTGGCGGGAAGGTAAACGGCGTTTCTGTGCGCTGCTCTGGTTTGCCAGAAGCGGCTTAGTCATGCTGGCCACATGACCCGGAAGCTGTACGCCGACTCCCTCGGCCAATAAAGTGAGATGAGCGCCGCAACCCCAGAGTCGGCCACGACTGGACCTAATGGTCAGGGGTCCCTTTACCTTTTTTTAACATGGTATTAATGTAACATTTTAATATGTACCTGTGTATTTTTGTAGTGGTTTTTTTTTTAAAGTTGTCTTTTGTTGCTTCAATTTTCTGTACACTGCCCATAGATATTTTTAATATATTAAGCTGTACAGAAATTAAATAATCACTCAATCAATGCAGAGATTCTCTTTTCAGGAATTCATGATCAACGCAAAAATTTAGTATAAGGGTCAGAAGTATAGCCCCACAGCTCCTGCTACACATTAGTGTGCTGCATGCAACTAAATATGTGACAAGGCTAGGGCATCTGTGATGTACTAAGCAGCTAGTCACATGAAAAAATGAACTATTCTTGCCTTCAAAGCTAACCCGCCACCCCCCCTCGCAAAGAGACAGACTTGTACGTAAAACCAGTACATTGCCAGGTGCCCAAAGTTACATCCTCAGTCCTAATTTATTTATTGCATTTTTATGTGTATTGATTTACAACAATTAGGTAAAACCATGAGCTAATTTTATTTTCAACTTTGCATCTGAATATTATGCAACATGGAGAAGCATTCAGTATATTCTGCACTCACAGCAACAACAACTCTGGCTATTTCAACCTTGCAATTGTTAATTCAGGTATGAAAACTTGCATATCAAAACTGACAGCTGCCGTTAGTCTCAATAAACCTAATTTGGAAGGTCAAAACACCAAGCAGCAGGAAAAACCCAGTTGGGCTGTTTGCACATGCCGAACCAGATTACAACTCTCTCGTAACACTCAGCATGCCGTTCCAGTCACTATACTAAATATATACAGTATTTGTATACTTGTTTTAATGATCCAAAATAGAAATCAGATTTGCAAGCCCCATTCTTGCCCCATTCTTGGCAAAGAACTGATTGGAACTTACCTACTAGCGAAAAAACGCAATGTTGTAAGGAAAGGAAAACCAGAAGCAAAGAAACCGGCATTTTACACAAGTTTACTACTGTCTTCCCTTCCGCCAGAATGCGCCATACAAGGTTTCCCTTTTGTAGCAGATCTTGTTGAAGCCAGCAAGGAGGAAAGCCGTGTTCATTTCTGTGAACTTATAGCTGAGGGAGTGCATTCTGGTTGCCTAATGATAAGGAAATGCCCTGCCACACAGGGCATTGTGAAATAACAGGAATTCGCCGTTCAGACTTTGCTTCCCTAAGCTAATTTCACCGCTGAAGGAAAAAGGAAGGAAGAGCTTCCACAGAATGGCAGGTGATAAAGTGATGAATGCTCAGCATTTATTTTTTTTCTGGGAATGCCTCAGTTGTGTGTGGGAAACAGATTGGCTCATCAAATGTCTCCAATAATTTTGTGTGTGTGTCTTATGATAGCTTTTCAACTTGTTGTGATTGTTTTGCCTGTACTTGTTAATTTTTATTTATTATTTCTATCTTGCGTTTCAACATGTGAAGCCAAACTTCAACATGCAAAAACAATTTAATTTAAAACAAAAACATATTTAAATAAAAATGCCTCAAAATGGACTTTATTATGTTGACTCATTCCTAGATACAGCATTATATGTAGCATTATAAAACAGCTTAAAGCAATATTGAACATCCCACAGTGGTTCAGGTCTTCAAGGGGGAAGAGTGGAATAATTATTCTTAAAAAAAACACACAAATAACAGCAACTCAGCAAAACACCAGAGCTATCAAGAACAGCAAATGAATACAAATCAAGACAAGTGCCGCCCCATATCATTAGGCAAAGAGAGGTAGTTGCCTCAGGTGGCAAACAGAAACTAGGCAGAGCTATGTGTGCCACACAGCCTGTCCTTTGCCCCCAAAGCCAGCCTGCACTCCTCGGGTGCATTTTACTTCCCGGATTTATAACAGAAACCTGTTGCAGTCAGCAAACAGCCAGAGTATGTCTATGCTCTATTTTCAAAGTGCAGATTTAAACCTTTAAAGTACTTATGTAACCTTGGCCCAGCTCATCTTAAGACAGTAAGCTTCTGGTCCAAGGGCCACTCACTCCAGGATTTCAGCTGGCCCTCTGTGTCTCCACCCATCAGCTCTTCAATGGAGAGCAGATAAGAGGGAAGTTGGCTTTGATGTTGTACAAAGAATGCCATTTCAGCTCTTTCCTCTGCAAGATTTGCTCCAAGTAGAGGGAGAAACGCCTTAATAGATTCATTGCTGTGCCGGGCCCGGGGGTAACCTGAGCAATGTGATCCAGGTCCGGTCCCGAATCCAAGGGTTCCGCGAGGAGTCAGTCCGAAAGGGCCAAGGCAGGACACGAGGCAGGAAACCAGGCAAGGTTAGGCACAGGGTCTCAGGCAAGTTCTGGCAAACAGCAATGTTGCTCCCGCTACCTGGGGTGGGGTCCGACAGCCTTTTATCTTTGTCGGGGTAACGGCCAGTCCTGATCCCCCGGTGACTCACCTCCCTGTCTCGCCCAAAGGTGAGCACTCCTCCTGCGAGTACTCAGGTCTCTCCTTCTCTCAGACCTTAGTCTCTGCTGCTGGGGAGATGTTGGTGGGTTACTAGACCCAGAGGCCGTCTCAGCCTCTCCTGACCCAACTGGTAGTGGAGCAGCTGTAAGTGATTGCCCAGCTGGAGGCAACGAGGTAATCCCCACATCTGGAGCCAGGGCAGGCTCAGGCCCCTGACTCGGCCCAGCTGGTGCTTGTTGCAGGGGAACCTGTGCAGACTGGGGCTCTTCAGAATCAGGCCCCAGGCTAGGTTCAGCTGCCGCCTGAGGCAAAGGATCTGGTGCGGACTGAGACTCCTCTGGTTCCGAGCCTGAGCCCGAGTCTCAGGCCATCACAGTTGCAAACATGCAAGAAGGCATCCAGGCATTTTGCAGTTGCATGTGTTATGGGGTGCATCTGGATTTTGAAGTTTACAGCTTTGAATAGTTGCAAGAGAGAGCTGTTTCAAGATCAAAAATTATTTGCACTGTTCTGTTCACCCCTGCCTTAAGACAATGTCTCCTCCTGTATGAAAACCCTCCTCCCTGCCACACACAAGAGTCACCTGAGCAGATCCTGTTTTTGAATTCAAAATATGCATATCCTTCTACAGAGATGCCACCCACTTTAATTTCAGATGGTTTTTTTGGGGGGGGGGTTGTTTATGATTTCTGCTCTAGTAGGCCTTTGAGAAGTGGCACCTTGTTGATAAATGGCCTGGTGCACCATATCCTGGGGGTTTGGAAAGAGTTCTTGCTGTGTGGGGAAGCCTTGCAACAGGCTTCTTCTAACAACCGGAGCCAGAACTTCAATAGCTGTACAGATGTACCTTGGAAGTAGAACAGAATCCGTTCTGGAAGTCCATTTGACTTCCAAAATGTTCGGGCTTCCAGTTTGGTAATTGAAGGATGGCTAATTTAAACTCTGGCTTAAGGCAACGTCTATACACTTTAGCTGAGTGCACAGACTTATTAATTTCATTTGTTTCTCCTTTTAAAAAGAAAGCTTTTAAATAAGAAACTGTATCACCTATAACATTACTTATAAATGTACTGTAATTATGTCTGGCTTGGTATTTTGGGAATCTAGCAATCCCTGAGTCTCAGGACGTTTTCAAAGCAGATTTATTGGGTTCACAGGAATCAGAGTTATGGAGAAGTGAATGTTTTCACATGCCTCCAATCAAAACCTACAAAAGCCAACATGAACCTTTCCAGCCACACCACATGTCTGTACTCTGGAAGGAAGCCTACATGCCCGAAAGGTCAGACAACTGTACAAAACAGGTGCCGTTTCCAGCAACGAATTTGTCCATTTTGAAAACAATGTGTTCCAGTCGGTGTTGTGCAGTTGTTGATATTGATATCTAGGATTTTAAAATTTTCATTCAAAACATGATACTCATTGCTACATAGGAGAAAGCCTCTTTAAATTCATTCCCAACTATCAATTGTCCTTGATATCTTGACTGGTGTGACTATGTACACATTCTGGCTGTGTATTCATTCCCTTAAATCTTTAAACAAGTGTGTTTTCTGTTGGTGATTTGTGGAACATTTAGAAGACCACGTGTGATGGGAGGCCTCTTCAGGGCTAAAACTGTAGGCCAGGGGTCAGCAAACCTTTTCAGCAGGTTGGTCCACTGTCCCTCAGACCCTGTGGGGGGCTGGACTATATTTTGGGAGGGAAAATGATGCAAGAGCACCACAAAACCCAGTGGCTGCTTACCTGTGTCTTATGAGCGGCAGGGGCTGGCAACGGCAAAAGAGCTCTGGAGAGGGGCTGCTTAAAATGGTGGCTGCTTGAGTGCTGCTGCTGCTGGCACCAACAAAGCCTAGCCCCCTTCCTCCTCTAGGCAGGGCAGGGAGAAGCCAGGAGGAGGGAGGGAGGAGGCGGCAGTGCTGCAGCCGTGTGAGGGAGAGAGAAAGAGCATGTGCTGGCGATCCATGCGGCGATTCCCGGACTGTGCGCGGGCCAGATCCAGAAGGCAATTGGGCCTGATCCGGCCCGCGGGCCTTAGTTTGCCAGCCCATGGTGTGTAGATGGGCAGGGAATTCACACAAGCCCCATCCCCAATGTTCCATGTGCACAGGCTTTCCTCTCTGTGTGCTTCCTAAATCTGTTCTAGGGGTCCCTCTGACCCTCCAGAGCAGATTTGAAGAGGATGCAGGCAGAGGGAGGCAGGGAAGTTCCATTGTGCAAGCAGAAATCATGAAGCAGAATGAAGCAAGTTGCTTCCACTCACTTCCTTCCTCCATGGGTGGAGTTTGGTATAGTCGTACCTCGAGTTGAATGTGCTTCGGATTGAGCGCGTTCGAGTTGCGCTCTGCGGCAACCCGGAAGTAATGGAGCACGTTACTTCCAGGTTTCGCCGCTTGCGCATGCGCAGACACCCAAAATGACGTCACACGCATGTGCAGAAACGGCAAAACGCAACCCGCGCACGCACAGACGCACCGTCATGTCTTGTGTTCTGTTCAGGATGCGAATGGGGCTACGGAACGGATCCCGTTCACATTCCAAGGTACCACTGTATTTCAAATTTCACCGGCGCCCTGTGTGAGGCCAAAATTCAGTGCCCCCTGCCTCTTGCCTTTCATTCTGCTTCATTCACTACATCATAGTTGCAATGCCCTGCAACCAGTGTGGCAGAAACAGTCATACTGCCCTAAATCTACCTCCGTCCACTACACACCCCTTCCACTCCTGCCTCCCACCCCACCCTGCCCATCAACCTCTGCTCTTGTTGCTGCATTTCCCTTTCTCAGGGAAGAGAGGTAGCTAATGGAAAGGGCACTCAAAACCACCAGCCTCATCCTCTGCTGCATGCCTGCTGCCCTATTTCCTGTTATTGCAGCAGCCCATCAAGTGGTGAAGGAACTGTAGCATCTTGTTCACATTATAACACATATTCTTGCATGTGCTGGGGCAGTTAGGAAAGACATGGGAATATGCTTTATCTTCTTATTATTTCTATTCCCTCCCCTCCATACCTCTGACATAAATCAATTAAAATTGGTGGAGAGGTCAGGCTCACACACATACACTATCCTGTCTTTTTTTTTTGGAAACAGGAGTCTTTGCTATGACTGCACAATTTAAATGGCAAGTTCACAAGATAAGCACTTTGAACTACAGCTTGCTTATAACATGTTTCTGTGTTTGCAAGAATGCATGTGCCTAAGGCTCGGATCTAGAGGACAACATACATGTTTACATCATGTGAATACATAAAGAGGACACTGCTGCATACAATCAGCTACAAAAACAGCTTTATGTTTATACTGAAAATGCCTGCACCCAATGAAGGCAATGATGAATACAAAGCACTTTGTATTTATCCCTTATTTCAAAGGAAAATGTAACCAATCCACTTCAAATTCTTTAATTGCAATGGTTCGATATCCTGCATTTTTTTTATGGAGCATGTGGAGTGTTTATTCCTTTATTGCAAATTGATCCTTACACTGCAAGCCTCTCTGAGTTTAATGGAGCTTATTCCCATGTAACTGGGTAAAAAAATTGCAGCCTTATACAACAACCCTAAGCATTTTTGCTCAGAAATTAAGTCCCACTGAGTTCAGTAGGACTTATTTTTATTATTACTATGTTTACTTAGATTCCACCTTTTTCCCTGACAGGGATTCAACGCGGCTTGCAGCTAAAATAGAAACAGCTGGGTGGGGGGAGCAATCATTAAAAACGATCTATCTATCTATCTATCTATCTATCTCAACATACAAAGCATTGCAATAAAAAGATCACAGCACCAGCCCTTTCTTTAATAAGTCAATTCTTAAAAGCCTGTTGGAACAAGAAAGTCTTTAACTGCTGGTGGAAAGATAGCAAGGAAGGAGGGAGTCAGTTTAATTTTAAGAGACTTAATCAGAAATGAAAAGTCACTGCGGTTTACAATACCCCGAAAGCAAGAAATCCTGCTATTAAAGATTTTTTTTGTCCTTCAAGGGGGAAGTTCTGTGAAGATATTTCATAATAGCTGGTTCTCAATTTTTTAAAGAAATGGCGCAATAGCTCCATCTTTGCAAGAGAGAGACTAATATTCTGTTGCAATTACATCTTTAAAAGGGTTAATTAAAAAAATGTGCATTCATATTCACAGACGTGAATCTGAACATCAGGAATTGCAATTAGATCAGCTTTTGCCCAGATTTAGAGCTGAACTAATTCAGTAGACAATACTGGGCTGGTTTTCTATGTGCTTAACTTGAACCCTTATAAATCAATGTAACTTAGTGAATAGCATGACCTATGCATAGCTCTGTAGAGTGTGGTGCTGGTAATGCCAAGGTTGCAGGTTCAATCCCCGCATGGGACAGCTACATATTCCTGCATCGCAGAGGGTAGGACTAGATGATCCTTAGAGTCCCTTCCAAATCTACAATTCTATGGTTCTGAGATTGATTTCAGTGGAACCCAAGTTCACTAACTTGATCTGGTTCCAGCTCATAGTATTTTTACATTGGGTGGGGGCACTGCAAGCAAGATTTGTACATAAAGAAATGAGTGAGAGTTTTATTTCAAGAACAGGACGTCTGAATTATGCAATCCTGAATCCAATTCTACTTTAAAGCACTTAATCCACTAATTGCCATTTATTTGCTGCTGAAGACCACTAGCCTGATCTTCATCTGAAGATCACTGAATCACTACTCAACATCAATACTGACCATAGTTTTATTATGCTGTTTCAGAATAACAATAGCATTTTGCAAATGTGTTTTAAAATTTTGCATTTTAGACATTGGTTGTTGTTTAGTAAACTGCGATAGTAAACCCAAGTAAAAATGTTTTCATTATATATTGCAATAAATTGTCACTCCTGACAATTTGTACCATGCAAGACCAGTATTTTCTGCTCCAGATGGCAGTGGCTCAGAGGTCTCTGGTGCAAGTTTTTCCTAGCTCTTCTACTTGAGTTCCGTAGCCAAAAATGTTTATGAGTGATTTATGGGTCTTCCATCTTGCTGTATTCAGTAGATATTGTCCCAAGAGTCATCAGGCAGGTGTCCTCGTCACTATTCTCCTCCAAGAGTCCTTGCCCACCTCAGGCAGAGCAGATGGTAGGGGTACTGCTAAGTTGTGGTTAGACTGAACACACAGGAAGACTATGTCATTGACGAAGGATCACGACTGCTGTTTTTCTGAGGATTAAAGACAATCCATGGGGTTTACTTGTTCCACATATAAACGTAGACCATCACTGAGGAAAGATGAGTTAGACAACAGTTTGGCAGAAGTTCCAAAGCTCTATCTGAAGTGATATGATGGACCTAGAAGTTTATCATTAGTAATCCATTGAAAAACAGGAAGCAAGGAACTGTAAGTGAACACTTTTTGAAATGCAAGACAGACACATATGGACTTTCTAAAGATCTGTACTGGAGTCAGTGCTAATTAACTTGTTCCTAAGTCAACTGGAATTAGGGGGGAAATGGACAAGCTTGCACATGACACCAGTTTAGAATGGTGAAAAACAAAAGTTGACTGCACAGAGCTCCAAAAGGGCATCTCCAAAACGGGGAAATGGGCAATAATAAGGTAAGTGAAGTTAAATATAAATGAAGTTGTGCATACTGCAGCAAACAAGCTGCATGTGGCTGTGTGTACAGGCTAATAGGGTCTGAAAGATCTTCGGGTCATGATGAATAGCTCAATGAAAATAAGCGGGCAGCAACTGTAAGATTATTAAAATAAAACAGACCATATTGTAATGAACCGTGGTACAACTGCATTTGGAAAATGCGACCCAAAAAAGGCAACCAGAATGATCATGCGATTGAAGCAGATTCCAGATGAAGCCAAACTGGTGTTTGGGGCTTTTCAGTTTTGAAAAATACACTGGGGTGGTGGTGGGGAAGACATGAGAGGTTGAGATTATTATTTGAATGAGAAGAACATGATTTTTTTTGTTCCTTGCTCATAATACCAGGTGTTGGAAGTAATTGGCAGGATTCAGGATGGACAAAATAAAGCACATCACATAATTAAGGAACAGATTGTCCTAGATGTGATGACCACTAGGCTTAAAATAGCATAAAGGAGGGAAGACAAACTAATGGAGGATCATTTTATCAATGAGTATGAGCCATGCTAGCTACATCCAAACTCCAGGGGCAAGAGAATATGCCACAGAATATCAGTTGCTTGAGAATAGCAATGGGGAAAGGTTTTGCCTTCCCACCCTACTTTTCGCTTCCCTAGAGGCATCCGATTTGTGACTATAACAGGTTATTTGACTAGATGGACCTTTGGTTCATTCAGCAAGGCTCTTAAGGTCTACCTAGTAATGGGAAACCTGCAGTCCTCCAGATGCTGCTAAACCACAGCTCCCGTCATTCCTCACCACTGGCCATGCTGACTGAGGCTATTGGGAACTGGAGTCTGACAACATCTGGAGGGCCATAGGTTAGCCACCCCTGGCCTGCACTTATATGAGAATCACACTTGGAGGGATAAGGTAACAGTCTACTTTGTTCAACGCTAGGACCATACAACACAGTGGAGGGTACACATCAAGAGCAGGAGTAAAGAGCTTTGGAACAAAGGAAGTGGGTACCATAGCAGTCAACAGTGACCTTGGAATCCCCACTGTAGATACCAAGAAAGAGCCAGCTGTTGGATCAGCCAGAATTGGAAGAAATGCTGTGCAATTCTATTATATAAAGGCAAGTCACTCAAGTTCAGTGTTGGTTATTCTCAATGCTGCATCTCTGCAAGGTAAGCAGGAAAATGGTGATGCTTTAGAGGACCAATCCTAGTTAACATCATTGGGATCTTGCTCTTCCCAAGCCACTAATGCTATTGCAGATGTGATAGAATGATCTGAATGCTGATTCAGCATTCCAATTGTGTCTGAAATTTGGATTTGTGGTCCCAAGAGCTAAGAGGAGTGGCAAAGCTCAGAGGTTCCCAAACTGTGGTCCACAAGCTTCATTCAGGTGGTCCGTGGCATGTCTATAAAAATACAATTAAAAATCACACAGCACTTAGCACAGCACATTCTAATTGCTAGAACAGACAGAAAATCCGCAAGGACTCTCAGCAATGTTCAAATGGTCAGAGTACGTGGAAGAGTTTGGGAACCACTGACTTAAACAATACCAGGCAAAACAGAGTCATAGGTGCCTCTGGCTGAGAGACGGCAGAAGCATTCTCAGCATTCTCCTTGAAGACCAAGATGAGCACATGGACTTATCCAAAGTCATCCTGTGGTCCTGGGGAGGAATTCAAAGAGGTATATAAGTTACTGTCCTCCATCCTGTGTGTAGGTTCCTGGTTAGTCTGAAGGTCATTAACAATCCTTATTTATCACCTATTAGATATCGCTTTATTGAGGCAAACTTAGAAACCCAAACCCAAAGCAGCTATCATGCTGGCATCAGAAGCAGATACAACAGCAAAAGGGATAGCAGAAACAGATGTGGTGGGTACCACAGCAGGCACCAAATGAGCCAATAGTGGGCAGATTATCTCCTCTGTACTCACAGATCGAAGATCCATTGTTTGATCTGATCTCATAATGCCCAATATTGTGTCCTGCAAGGTGGGAAATTCTTAAATGCATACCAGGCACTACTTCTAAAAAGCTATGCCCTAAGTGTGCAGCGAAAGACAGAGATAAATACCTGCAGGGAAATAGCAATACCTGCAGGTAGAAAGAAATAAGTGGAATTAAAAACAAAACAAAACAGAGAGAGAAAGAGGTACCCACTATTCTATGTTCAGATAAATGCTAAAGTTCGCTGATGAAGTCTACAGAAAATGTTCCCCAAGCTGCTGCGAAGAGAGAACTAAGCTTGCTCCACCGCTCAAGGCACGAACAGTTAATCAGAAGTCTCCCCATGAAAACAGAGGGCATAAACACCATTTCCATGGCTAGAACTTCTGGATGTAGTTGGGAGATGATCTGCATTAGGTGCAGTAGACATACTCTGGCACTACACAGAGACTATGAAGGATAAAAAGGCTACCAATATTTTAACACCATACACATAACGAAGCAATCTGACAATTATGGCAGTCCTTAACAAGACTTTAATAAATGTAGTGTTTCTTCTTGTTCCAGTTTAAAAATGCCACTCACTCACATCCAAAGTGCCCCCTCTCTGTCTTTGGTGTGATCTCCACCAACGTACACAGAATATAACTATTCAGCATTCAGGTGACACAAAACTAGCATGAAAATGTAAGTTACATAATTTAAACAATAAAAGATAAAATGGTTCAGACGTGTTTCATGGTCCCATATGTTTAGCAGCTTGCAAGTTATTATTTTGAAACCATTATTCATAAAAGCAGAATCTTTCTGAATGCAGAGTGTCTGAAGTTCTAGACCCCTTACTTTGGTAGATAGTGTCATCTAGTAGCACCCAAAGGCTACAAGAAGGAAGGACACACTCACATTCAATGTACAATTAATGAAAAAACTAGGCAATTCAGTTTCAAGAGCATATCCATAGCCAGTAAGTATTTGTGATATGCAGGTTAGAGCCTTCTCCTACACTTTGAACAAACATCCTTATAAAATCCATGAACATGTTCCATCTGTTCATGATTAATAAAACAGTAAATTATTTTAACACTGTGTTATATATTCACATGATCACCATAGTAATTCAAAACGGCCACTAACACAAACACACTATATGTACATAAACATATATGCCACAACAGTTTGCCAAGTTGACTCGTCACAAACTAGCCAGTTTCAGCAGACATAAATAACCTTGTACCAATTTTAGGCATTTTTAAAGGAATTAAATGTCCTAAGTATTTTAATTCCTTTGCAAATTAAAAAAATAATAATCCTAAAAAGTCAGTGCAAATAGAATCATTATACTTGTTCACCAAGAAAGATTCCTATTAAGCCGAGGATAACCCACGTTTAAGATATTAAAGGAATAAACTCATAACATTGTAAACTGCCGTCAGCAGAGGTTAGAGTAGATTAGGAATCAGAAGTCTTCTATCCTATAGTAGTGCCTTCTGGGAATAAGTGTTTTGTTGTGATGATGGAGGTTGTTGCTGTGGTGGTGGTGGTTGGCTGCCTGGTGGCTGCGGCAGGGATGAGGCGACTAAGTTATAGTTTGGCACCTGAGATATAGTTCCAGAATTCTGGTAAGCAGCAACATCAGCAGTAGCAGCAGTTGGGGGTGGGCTGTAGACTGAAGCTTGGCTAGAATACGTGCTTCCTGGAACAGAACCAACCATTGTGCTAGAGGTAAGGGTGAGAGGGGGGGAAAAGAGTAAGTAGACTGAAAAGAGGTACGAAACAAAAAAATGAAAATTGGATCCTTCATCTTAAAAAACAGGTATCCCCACCCCACTGCATGCCTTGAGCCTGTTTTGAAACCTAAGGAAAGCAGAGGTTTCTGTAACCTGATACAGAATGTCCAATCCAAACATACTGCAGGTGTCACAAAGATAGCTTTAGTGATCAAGCTGTCAATTATTATTTCCCTTAAGCATTTCTAGCTAACATTACATGCAAGTTTTGGATATTTGAAGTTTCACAATTACTTTGTGTAAGATGTCTGAACTGGCTGACTAGGTAATCCAGAGCTTGCTGCTGGAGTAATTGTGCCTTGATTCAGAGGTGGTAGCTGCTCTGATGGAAGACTGTAGGCTTGAACATGACCCATCTGTGCATTTCCTGCCACCAAATATGCATTGCTTTGAGGTTGTCCTGGATAAACCTAAACACACATATTGGGAAGAGATAAACACAGGAATAGGCTAATGTCAAGTGACGCTTATTATTTTGTTCTACTTAAAGCCATAAAAACAGGATTCGAAACCATCTTAATAGTCACCGCTTTAAAAGCTAGTTTATGTAAACAGTGCTAACTAATGACTCTATCCCGCCCCCAATTGTGAGCACCCCCACACCACTGGGCTTAACCCCACCCCTACAAACTCCAGAAGCCTGGATCAGTTCCTCCCAGAATGCATGGAAGTTGCAGTTTCTTGTGTCTCTTGATCATATACAATGAATTGAGAGGCATAGTAAATGATGTTTTGTGAAATCTGTTAAATAATATAACCTCATTATATTTGGGTGCAGGAGCCCTCACAAGTTATAGGCCTCACAAGTTATTAATTTATAAATGTTAATGTTGAAGGGTTCAACAGTACGTAACTGGCTTTATCACTTGAATTATGCATTATCCACCAGTTTCTTGGATCAATGCCACAACACAATTATCTACCTCAGATCTTTACAGCCTCCAAATAATAATAATATAATAATTTATTATTTGTACCCCGCCCATCTGGCTGGGTTTCCCCAGCCACTCTGGGCGGCTTCCATAGAAACAAAAAATACAGTAAAATATCACAGATTAAAAGCTTCCCTAAACAAATACATACCTGAGAGCCAGAAACACCAGACTGAGCCATATAATATTGTTGGTTTTGTAGTTTTGAGTACATTGAATACATTGGATCCTCATTCATCAACTTGGTATATAATGAGAGTGCCTCCATCACTTTCACATTGAGCTCTGACAGCTCAGAATGTTTCCTGAATGAAACATTTCAATATCAATGAACATTATTTTACACAAAACAGATACTAGCTTTATAGTTTATCATAGGGTGGCTGGACCTCCAGATCCTTTTGGAATACAACTCCCAGTCTAGCCAATGATCAGGGATGATGGGAACTGTAGCCCAACATTGGGATGGCCACAGGCTCCCCAACCTTGACTTATCCACGGAAGGAGGCATCATTTTACTGCAAATGGAGGAAGGGTAAAGTTGCAGTCAGAGTCTTTAAAAGAGGAAGAGCGCTCTCATGCTTTTTGACAGCAGCAACTAAGGCAACTTCCATCCTCTTCCTCCAACCTCCTAAAGAACCGAAGTGCTACACAGAGACAGCGGATGTTTCAATTTATGCAAGGGAACAAGGTATGGAGATTTCATGAAAGGAAGTAAGACTGAGAATTGAATGCCTGCCCTAAAGTAGTACACAGACACTCAAAGATAACTAACAGATAAGCTGCCAGGGAAGCCATCCATACCTCCTACTATGAGAAAATGACCACAATTTTTTTATTTTGTGGGGGGGGGGGGTTGGAGACAGGGAATTGTGATCCTTACCATGAAGAATTAGTACAGGATATAAAGAAAGTTGTCTATGTACAAATACTAGTCAAATCGTCTGGTCCATAACTTTAAAAAGCTGCATTAGCTGTCATTACTGAAAATGCACAAGACCTTCTGTTTTGAAATAGCTACCCTATCTCTAAAGATAAACCCATTTCATTTTAAAGTTATTTATTTAATTTAAGGGGTTTTTTATCCCATTGTTAATCCAAAAAGGATTCAAGAGTAGCTTACGAAGTTCAGAAGTAAGACACATAAGTGGTTAAAACAAAACAATTGCTGCTTTGCAATATCAGGTGTTTCTCTCTTGATATCTGTTCTTACCTGTCAATGTCTTCTAGCTTTTCATCAATGAGAGGTCCCATTTGATGGCACATTGCTAGAAACACAATGTAAACAGAAAAACTATAAATCTCAATAATTTTTTTAATAATGAACATCAAGCTAGCTAAGAAAAAGTTATACTAAAAGAGAAAACTTTCCACAAAACAAACAAGATGACTTGAGATAATCAAGTAAAGATTTTAGAGAAATGATGAAGTTAGCATCCTGTAGTCCTTAGGTGGGAACTTGTTTGTGACTATGAGGACAGAACAGAGGGAAAGAAAGCTTACTTTCAAGGTGGATCAGCTCTGGGAGGTCTGGCTGATCATCACCTGGATCTGCACTTTGCAGCATCTGCAACAGTTGGTCCATTTTATCCTAGAATAGGACACACACATTATTTATTTGGGTTCAGATCTATGAGCAGTCCATAATTTATGTTTCAAAGAATTACTGTAGGCACTCCCAGCAACTTGAGCACACGCAATGACTTCAGCACAGCCAACAGCATTAAAAAAAATTTTTCCAACAGCAGACCTCCATGACATATCAGAAAGTGCTTTCAAAAGATCAGAAACTTTTCATTCTAAAAGTTTTCTGGCATGTAGCATGTGGGTGGCTGCTGAATCGGAAATATTAAGTCCAGGGTCCACTTCAGCATGAGAAACTATTTGCATTTTTTCTACGGGCACAGCTGAAGTGTTACAATACTTCTAATAAAAACATTACATGAACCGTTTATTAGCTGTTAATGTTCTGTCGTTCTATGAGAGAAAAAGTGCCAGCACTGACAATACATTCTACAAGCAGGTTTGACAATAGGCATATTTTCCTCTTAACAATAAGGATGTCCCTTCTATGAACAGCCTGGTGGAAGTTTTCAACTAAAATTTTTATAATGCATATACTGTACTGGAGTCACCCAAACAAATAATCTAAAATTATACGGACCTCAATTACTTAATTCACTAAACTGCACAGCATTTTAGTTCTGAAGGAGGAAAAACACTTTATTTTAAAAGTGCTGCAAGCAGCATTCCCTCTTCGAAGATGCTGCCTCTCATCCACGGTTTTTGTAAGTTTGTACAATAATAAATAAATGAGTCAATTAATTGGAGACTTTTCTAAATATTTTAAATTGATTAGTTAACTGGAATACAATAGAAATAACAGTCTCTGGAAACTGCACATCTACCAACATGGTTCTTAGCAACTTTTTATATGCAAGTCTTTTGATACACAAGTAAATAATAATACACCCACATCCACAACACACTGTGGAATTAGTTCACAGTGTCTATATCCTTCAAACACAAGCTGTTTTCAACTGTCACTCTGTAAGAATTTCTGAAGTAGAATGCCAGTAGTTAATGTTACTTATACTAGCAACACTGCCACCTAGTGGTGCATCTGCAAATATTTATGAATGTGACAAGGATTTTTTTTCTGGCAGAAATATCCCAGGATATGATCTGAAGACACATGAGGCCACTACCTTGCTGAAACTAAGCAGATCTGGGTCTGGCCAATGCCTAGATGGGTGACCAAATCTGGGAACCAACTTGGCTTCCATGACAAAAGAGAGGCAGGATATAAAAATAAGAAAATAAAAATAGAAACTACACAACACAGAACACAGCCATTCAAGCTCATAATCCAGAAGGCAAACACTTCACAAAAGACAAGAATTTGCTATGAATACACTGTGAGAGTAAGCTGGGCCTCATTTAATAAAACAAATACAGAAACACTGTAAAAAAAAAAAGGTAAAGGTAAAGGACCCCTGGATGGTTAAGTCCAGTCAAAGGCGACTATGGGGTTGTGGCGCTCATCTTGCTTTCAGGCCGAAGGAACCGGCGTTTGTCCATAGACAGCTTTCTGTGTCCTGTGGTCAGCATGACTAAACCGCTTCTGGCACAACGGAACACCGTGATAAAAACCAGTATCAGGTATTCAGCATGTAATATTTGGTGGTCTCTGCTAAGAAATGTTTCAACAGAGTTCAAGATATAGGTGTTTTCCTTTCTTTTTTCAAAAATCTTTATGCAGAAAAGTAACACACTGGACTTTTAAGATTTATAATCTTCCCTTTTTTGTACTTCACCTGTGCAACACTACAAAGGTTTACCTGAAATAAGTCTTGCCATTCAATGGGAATTGTTCAGAAGTAAGTGTGTTTAGTATTTCTAATAAAGGGTGTGTCTGTGTCCAACTAAGTTCTACTCAGAATGCACCCATGGAAATGTTAGCCATGACATCCATTTCAATGGGTCCACTGCAAGTATGACTAATGCTGAACACAATTCAGGAGAACTGGTTACTGAATATAGGAGAAGTCAGAACAAGACAGTTTAAGGAAGTCCAGACAGTAGTGTGGACTACTTCTTTAAATTAAGACAGAAAGTGAAGCACAAAGATGGGGAGACACAAGAAAGCCATTATATTCTGCTTCAAAATAAAAATATTTGAAGTTATTATAAAAATCTAATCACATTTTAAAAATGAAGGAAAGCATTAGTATTTGTGTAAGTTGAAAAAAGTGCTTCCAAGTCTCAAACTGAAAAGTTTTATAAATATTATCATATACCCCTTGTTGGTCTACATTTTTGTACTTACTTCATCAATATAAACTGGTTCAGGCTCCGGTTCAATTGTTTCAACTTGAACTTCATCACTAAATTGCACGGTTTTCTTCTCGGTTTTCACTGCGAAAATATAAGTTGACAGAATACTGAACAGAAACACAAAGTTTTAGACTGAGAAAAAAAATGTAATCGAGGCATTTTGTTTATAGGGTAAAGGGTAAAGGGACCCCTGACCATTAGGTCCAGTCGTGGCCAGCTCTGGGGTTGTGGTGCTCATCTCGCTTTATTGGCCGAGGGAGCCGGCATACAGCTTCTGGGTCATGTGGCCAGCATGACTAAGCCGCTTCTGGCGAACCAGAGCAGCGCACGGAAACGCTGTTTACCTTCCCGCTGGACCGGTACCTATTTATCTACTTGCACTTTGACGTGCTTTCGAACTGCTAGGTGGGCAGGAGGTGGGACCGAGCAATGGGAACTCACCCTGTCTTGGGGATTCGAACCGCCAACCTTCTGATCGGCAAGTCCTAGGCTCTGTGGTTTAACCCACAGCACCACCCGCGTCCCTGTTTTGTTTACAGTTTATATTTTGCTTAAAGTTTATAAACTATTTTGTTTATAGCTCATGACATAAAGGTATTTGGTCCCAATATGATTCTGTGGACAAGATCCTGCATCATCACCAGCAAGTGTAAAACACTGTTCACACATGGTGGCAAAAACAACATTTATTTCTGAGTCACCTCTTATGGTGCCACTCTGAAAGGACCTCAAACCTTGGGTGGGTGTGACTTTGGGAGTATAATAAGTGGGACCTCTGTGCATGAGTGCAGCAGTCACTCAGGATCCGGATTTTAGTCTATAGATATTTGTTTATATGTTTCTGTGTTTTTTAACAAATTATCATCACCATCTTAACATTTGCAAGGTACTTTCAAGTATTCGTAGCACTTCACAGGCATTCTTATAATTGTTATAACAGTCTTGTAAGTTTAAATCGATATCGCTATCTCCTGCATTGCAGATGGGGAGACAGGCTCAGAGGGAGTGTGCTGGGTTAACCAACTAGGGCATGGCAGATTTAAGATTCAGGCCAGTGAGTTGTAATTCAAGTCTCTTCACCGTTATGCTAATATTGAAGTTTTCAATAACTGGAATCTTCCAAATGGAAAAAAAGGGGGGGAAAGAATGAGGGGATTGTTTTCAAAAACGTATTTCATGTATAGATGTACAATACTGAAATTACATGCAGTACTGCCTCAACGCACATTTAGAATTAAACAAAGGAAAGTAGAAGTACCCACCTAACACACACACCAGTTAAGCCAATGGGGGGAAATAAGATTGAAGATAAAATGGGTCATCGACACATAAGTTTAGACATTCATGTTTTATTCATATTATACTCAGACTAGGAAGGACTCATGTTTTGGATATCTAGGTATTCTAAACCAAGGGTTGTAGACAACTGAGTCCTACTCACAGTAGACCCAATGAAATTACTGACCTTCAGTTTGTCGCGAGTAATAATTTCCGTGGGTCTACCCAGAGTAAAACTTACACAGAATACAACCCTAACTTGCCTTTGGACTGGCTCTTGCGGATAGCATGCTAACGTAATAAGATTACGTGAATGGTGGAAGGAGGAGCCTTTTACAAAACCTGTCTGACTTTGCAAGATGGCACACACCATCAGAGATTCCCACATTAAAAAAAATTACAGAATACTTTTCTTTGATACTTCACTTCCTCCTGCATCAAGGGATCAGTGAAGGGAATAGGCCATATCTAGCATAACCCAGGGTATTCTCCTGGAGACAAAAGGCATCCTCTTTGCCTAACTGCATTTGAAAATACGCAGAGGCGGGAATCAAGCTTTCTATTACATGAGTTAGCTTCAGAACTCTCACATAACTAGTCCTTCTGAGAGGGCTAAATTATGAAATTATAAATTATTCTAAGAGGACAAAATTATGAAAAGTTCCTATCAAATAATAAAGCTAGCAATTCAAGAAATAACTATTAAGACTGTTTGTAAAATGATATAATCTATGTAGAGAGGGGTGTAAAACAGGGACTTACATTTGATGTAGTAAGCTTTAATGTGCTAAAAGCAATGCACTTTTCTATGTGAACATTACATTACTCACTCATTTCTGGTTCAGCAGTAAGATCAGCAGTTACAAAATTAGAAGGAAATAATCCTGTCCCTTGATGCGTTTCACCTTTCCACCAGTTTGGATCACTATAGATTAGAAATAAAAGAATTACGACATGAAAGATTGGAAAACATGAGCCTCATAATCTCAGGGTTGTGGGTTCGAACCCCACATTGGCCAAAAGGATTCCTGCATTGCAGGAGGTTGAACTAGATGATCGTCATGGTCTCTTCCAACTCTACAAGTCTATGCGTCTATGCATGTGAGAGGAAGAGTTCAATGGTCAAAAACATTAGGCCAATTCCATCTCTATCCACCCTGAAGGACAAATTTCAAGAGGCCCTTTCATCATTCTAGCAACCATTTGGGTCTTTGATTTTTCTTCTGGTTCATTAGAAGATGGAAAGAAAGACAATACAGGATCCACTTTTATGGGAATGACAACATACTCTCAACCCAATCCAATGAAGTTAAGATATAAAACTCCTGGGTCTCTTTGGAAGTAAGCATGCAAAAAGGGCTTCAAGATTTATATCACAATCCTGTACGGTTGACAAAATAGAAGTGCTAGTAAATGGAGCTTGCAAGTGTGTCAACTGTGAATTGCAGCTTCACGAGTCTGCCTGCCCCAAATATCTACTGTGCAAATGTGATTTGTGGACTCCAGCAGATTTACCTGTCATCAAGTACAGTGATAAGTTCTCCAGCTTTAAATGTTAGTTCATTATCTTCAGCAGCTTCAAAGTCATAAATAGCCCGAACCTTTCGGCCCTCATGCTTGTGATTAGTTAAGAGGCTTGAGGTGCTTGGATAAAGAGTGGAAAGCGGCGTTTGTTGTTGTCTTTGTTCCTTAAGTGACAATTCAATAGCTGGAAAAAAGTAATAAATCCAACTTAAGTGTAAGCAAAACCAAATAAGGATTTCTCTCTGAATTTATTCGCATGAGGGAAACCTATGGAACAGCACTGAGGGGATGATGGAAGCTGCAAAGGGCAGGGGGAATATGCCACAATCACCTCCCTCTTCCGTCTCTATTAGAATGGTACTGTTCTAGTCACAGTATGTGGATCCAGCCCATGGGGAGAGGGGTTGAACTCTGGAGCCCCAATCATGAGCTGTGATCATCTGAAGATTCTGATCAAGCAATAACCAACCTTTAGCTAGATCCTCTTCCTCCTTCTTGTTGGCTACTATCCCAGGATCTTTGGCTACTAGAGCTGGGCTTGCTTTTGCTTGTTCTGCAGCCTTACAGGAGCAAAGAGGGTAGATGTTATTTGAAAATTCAACGCAATATATTAAATCCAGCATTTGTGGCCATATCAGAAATATATTAGTAAAAAAAAAAAAAAATCAGCTTCTTTTGAGGAAGGGGTGGGGGGAACCTGATCTTTTAAGAGTTCATCTCGCAGTAATGGTTAGTGGTCACCTCAGTGCACGCAAATGAAAAACCTTCCTCAAAATGAGCCATGTAACTCATCTCATGTTACATCTGAATTGGCAACTAGAAACCATGGGTAAATTACTGTTACAGTATTTTCTTGACAAGTCATAGAACATTTTGTGAATGGTCTGTTAAATTAGCAAGGTGGTATTAGGACAGGGAATGGGGAACCTCTGGCTTGTGGGTTCCCCATCTGGTTCAACAGCCTTTTCTGTGACCCTTTCTCCTCTCTCCTTGGACACATTGCTCCCAGTTGCTGTACTCTCTGATCAGTGAAGAAGTGGAGGAGGGCAATCACGGAGAAGCTTACTACACAAGTTTTAGACATATAAAGGCAGCCCTGCATCAGGAAGTTTTCAATGTTTGATATTTTATTATGTTTTTATATTCTGCTGGAAGCCACCCAGAGTGGACAGGGTATTCTTCTTCTTCTTCTTCTTCTTCTTCTTCTTCTTCTTCTTCTTCTTCTTCACCCAGAGTGGACAGGGTATTCTTCTTCTTCTTCTTCTTCTTCTTCTTCTTCTTCTTCTTCTTCTTCTTCCATATTCCTCTTCTCCCAGGCCTGTGGCTAATTAAACAATCTATGGCCTTTTAAACTTAGGGCGGGGGGTCCTGTTTTGTCTGTTATCTATTTCTTTGTTTTTATATTGTGAACTGCCCTTGGCTGAATTTAATTATTTGGCAAGCAAGCAAGCAAACTTATTTACTTACTTATTTTAAGAAGCTGTAGTCCCCCAGATACTGCCAGACTACAACTCCCCTACCATTGACTATTCTGAATGGGGTTGATGAGAATTGCAGGCCGACAACATTGTGACTACAAGTTGCCTACCACTGCTTTACACACACGTCCCCTTGCCATGAAAATAAGCAAGAAAACATGGACTGGTAGCATGCATCATTTGCACTTATTGCCTTCCAAGATGTAGGCTTGAGCCATTTTCAGATAACAATTTAAACCATTGCAAAGGATATGAACTTGGAAGCCACATGGATGTTCTTCATAAAGATGGGTAGGGATGACATTTCCACCACTCAAAAATTGAGACTATATGCACTTTCAGAATCATGTTGCCACCCATATATTAAATTAATGAGCTCAAACTTATTTCAGTGAAAGCCTTTGCCATATCAAAGCTCTCATCTTCGCTCATGTAAATTAAGGCTGTAATCTAGCAACACCATTTTGGCACACAAAAGTGTTTGGACCTTCTTCTCTAACTTTTGCATGGCCACCAAGTTGATCTGGCATTGTAAGGGTCTGCATCAGAAGATGAAAGGTTTAAAATGAGAAAGAGATGTTTCATTGAAAACAATGACTTGGTGTGCATTTCTATGAACAGTGACATGGGAAAGAATCAACAACAGCTATATTCAGGAAGCAGAACAGCAGACTGATAATTCGTAGGCCTTCTTAGTATTACATCTCACATTAACCACAGTTTTTGCAAATTAGCACTTTACCTGTGAACCAATAACTGGAAACATAACACCCTGTTCCTTAAGGTTCTTTATCATTGCAGATATCAGACTAAGCTGGGGGTCATTCTTGAATTCGTCTGTCCATTCCACCATGAGTGCTTTCAATTTTTCACAGACTTTTGGATGACCCTGTAAAAAGGATAATGCTAATATAGTTTACAAATACATTTATTTGTAAGCAGCCACTCTGGACTATGTCCACTGAATGAGGCAAATGAAATACAAGTATAAAAATAATGTAATAAAATTTGAACCCTCCCCCCAAAAAATCAACTAGCAAAAAACCATTTCCAGAGTCATAGCAACAAAACTGGGTCTAGTCCATGTTAACTGCACTTGGGTCCCACTTAAATCAGTTTGATGCAACTTATAATTACTAACTTTTCACACTGATTTCAGTGCTGTTTACTATAACCCTCAAAAAGAAGCACAAATTGTTTTGCTATGTTTGTTCATATCAACCCCAAACCAGTTTAAAATCTACCCCCCACCTCAAATCATTAAGTGCACCTTTAAAATATAAATAGAGCCACCATGTGAAATCAATACTGGGATATATATTTAAGTTAGCAGCTTTCGGGATGTTCAAAAGGCTTCCCATTTATTTACAGATCAAACTAGCTCTAAAATGGCTCATATTTCCCAAGCCATAGGTGTGGCCTGCTTCCCTAAAATCTGAGAGTCCTCTTAGTCTTAATCCTCAGCCATCTAAGCACTGTATTCAGATGACAAGAGGAAAGAGAGATGTCCTGACAAGTATGAGATTCTGTCTCTGGGAGATCACCCAAACCCACCTAACACTAGTTTGGGCCAGCATTTGACAACAAGAAGTTAAATCAGAAGAAAGAAGGATCTTCTGATTATCTTGAGGCAGAGGAAGTGTTATAGATTAACAACTTTATCTCGGAAACCACAAGCAAGAGCCCTGTGGTAACTTAAAGGCTTAACAAATTTATGGCACAAGCTTTTGTGGACTGAAGGGCCACAAAATGCTTCTTGTTTTTGTAACAACAGACTAACAAGGCTATCCCTCATTTCATCCACATGTATATGACTCCATTGCCCAAATGTATTTTACCCCGCTTCAGGAATCATTTAACTTGACATGACCAAATTTAAAAGACTCAAAATAGAATACCTTATTTAGCACGTTGCTTACTTCACTAGCAAAATCTCTTGAACATACTTCTAAATGAAATATTTTACCGCAGTTTGAGACACATGCTCCTAAAAGCTAGAGAGAGAGAGAGAGAGAGAGAGATTAGAACTAAAGTATTTTATAGTAGAACGTGAAAATTAAGCAAAGTTATTTTTTTTCAAAGGCCACGTACGGTCAGCGCTTGCATAGCAACATGGGGATCCTTGTGGTTCACTCTCTTCATAATAGACCGAAGACAGTCCTTAGGCCTGATAAATAAGATAAGCAGTTTTTTAAATATACTGGCATAAACAACGATATGCATTACAACGAAAGGGATGGACACACACAACAAGAGAGTAAGAGCAAGCTTTTGATTCAGCTACTTGGGAGGTAGCAAAACCCTCTCTTACAAGCTAGCAGCTAAGGTAAATGTGTTTGAAAATGACTGAAGCACTCCATAACATAATTTGCCTGTTTTCCAGTGGCAAGAGTCCCTGTGGCACACCCTCAGTGCAATGATCCCTTCTCAAGGGCTTTTGCAAGGTTCTGATGTTGCTTTCTCAAAAAACAAAACAAAAACAAAAACCTGTGCAAAGAAAATACAGTACTCATTTCCCTTCGTGAAATTTTTTCGCTTCCTGAGGCAAGAATAATCCAGTGAAAAAGGCAATGGCAAGTAGCAAGTCTTGGTTGCTGGAGACCACAAATAACGACTGGTTTAATGCACAAAGCCAAAATTGGTGTACTTCTATCCTATGTGTATCCTCCTATGGCATCTCAGTCCAAGGAATGTTTGTAGCATGACCTTCCATAACAAATACTTCAATTTTCTCTAGGCAAGATAAACAGTTCAATTCTGTATCAAAGTTTGCTCCCTGTAGAACTTGGGAAGATTTGCTAGAATCTGGAGTTTCTCAGCACACATAGTGTACCACCTAGCTGAAAAGTAGCAAGAGATCAGTCGTTTACTGGCCCAACTTCTACAACAAAGGGCTTGAATGACAAACAACTCAAACAGAAGGATGGATAAACTTAAGATTCAGAGGTTAGGTACAAATGCCAATGTTCTAGCCATCCCAGACAGCAGCCGATTTACAGAGGTTTCAGCATCTGATAAAGTATGAGAAGACACAGGTCACTGTAGAAGACCAGAAGCTAACAGATTGCATTACTGTCAGTCAGAGTGTAACTAACGGCTACCAAGAGATATTTTGTATATGAAGGAAATAGATACTGTATTTCTTGAAGTATGGAGTTGCAATTATACATGCCATGTTTTAGCGAGAAACAGGAAAGTAAATGTGGCCCATCTTCACTACATAATAGAATCTACTTTTTCAAAAGTCTCCAATATTGACTAATGTGACAAATAGCAGCTAATATTTAAGAGATTACTTTTTAAAAAAATGTTTAACTTTTTTGGGGGGTGTACTCATGATTTCATTTTAACATAAAGCACTGATACCCAGCCACATAAAGGAAGCTGTAGTTTAAGTTACACTGCAGCTTTGAGTAATCTATATTTGGTGGTGTCTGTTTTACAAACCACTGCTTCATACTTAACACTACTAATTATAGAAAATGCTGTGACATAGCATGGTCACTTCACTCTGTACAAAAGTATGAACTTGTCTTATTCCAAGAAGCAGCTGCTGTCAAGTTTTCTATCAAAATAATTAGGAGGAAAATGAATAAATTGCATTTATGAACTCATATGCAAATAAATAGGGAAAACTTCAACAAAACTTAAAATATCAATATAACCACAATCAATCAGTTTATTAGGGCCTTAGACCAGCAGATTATAATCACAATCTGTTAAGGTAGCACTAAAAACTAGCATTTATGGTGATACTTTAATTAAAATATATGCTCTATTCCATAAGCAGCACATATTTCATTTTCTTGCAGTCAGCAAACCTGTTGAGTCTTCAGTTATAAAAATAATACGACATTCAAAGCCTTATATTTTAAGAGTTTATCAAATTATCAACCGGAGTCTAAGATGGCTGTATTTATATGTTTGAAGCTGCCTTAGGTTTGACCCTAAAAGGCAAACTAACAATATATTAAATGAAATAAACTTTCATGCTGTAAGGCAAAGTTGATTCATGGAGTGACAAGATTTGAAGGGATCTGTTTGCCATCTGTCCAATCTGTAAACTAAAGGATAATTCTCATATCAACACCCATCCTTCTCCCCCAATTCCCAGATTGATTCAAATTGTTCAGGTTTAAGTGCACTAAGTAGAACTAAGTCCACAGAACACTTGCAGATAAGAAAAAGTTGATAATTATTGGCTGAAGGGAAATTAGACAGATCATAAGTAATATTCTCACTAAAACTCCATATAGGGAGACAGTAGCACAGCATTTTAAGGATGGAATTAGGCAAATCAATCTTCATTTTCAGCATTTGTTTCTTTGAATAATGCAGACACTAGACTTAGAATTAATTAATTTAGGGCAATTTAATCATGTCAGTAATGATGGGTTTGAGTTACATCCCAAACATTTTGTTTAAAAATTCCTACAATATAGAACTGCAAAAAGGTTTCAGAACTAAGTTGTAAAGCGCACTACACTCTTACACATGCCGATACTATGACACATTGGTACAGGGGAGAGGAAAATGAGTTGATAAATTACATCAATCAACCAAATGGTTCTGCTAAGATGAGGTGTGTGCTCTAAGCTCTCTTTCTGAAGTGCTTTTAAATGGTATGAGAAATTATTTTTAAAAGAAACACTTTATTCAACAGGTGACAGTATTTAGATAACTCAGAGGAAAAATTAGATGGTAGACTGCTTGATCATTTCAGAAAGAAGATTCAAGAAGAGGGAACTTAATTTCTGCCAAAAAAAGGTGATGAAACAAGATTTCAATATCAAACTGATTACAACAGTGCATTGCACAAATACAGCAAAACACAACATAAAGTCTCTAATGAAATTTTTTAGAAAATACTTTGCATTAGTCACATAAACAATTCTGCTGAAAGCACTCTCCAAATTTCCAGTGCCTTTCAAAAATACTAGGGCTATGAATGCAGTGTACATAACTTGGCATTAACACATTTGGTTTTCTAGTTTTCCCAGCAGGTGTCATGCAGTTTGATCTTATCTAGTTTTATTTATGCTTCTTCCAAATAAAATGACAAAGTGTTTCAAACAAGAAGTGTATACTTACCCAGTTCGTGACTGTCCAACTTTATCACAAATATCTAAGATGAGCCCCCAGTCTTCAGCAGTATTCATTTCACTAGTTGCTTTTTCTAAGTGAAACAAAAATGCCTGGAGTGAACTTTACCAAGTAAGTGAAACTTCAGTATCAACTCTAAATAGAAATGCATCAAAACTGATATGGTCATCCTACTCTGAATTATGTTGACACATTCCTAGATGCAGCCCTAATGCAGCATTGTATGAAATTCAGTTGAAAGAAAACAATATATGAACTCTGAAGAAAACATAGCACACTTGTAGTTCTGAGGGTGTGAACATGTTCAATAGCGGCATCTCATTACTCAAGACATTAGCACATTGGTTTGTCAAGTCAACACATTTCTGCTGCAGCCGCGCCAGTAGATCCTGCAAGCCAATAATAATCATCTACACTATCATGTACTTGCTTGAACTTTGCCTTGAAATGTAGCTCAAAAACACCATTCCTCTGACTTATAGTCAGACCCAAAGGTGGGGCTAGGAAGATCTGAAACAAGTTAGAACAGGCCAATTCAGATTGGGCTTTACCACCTCACCACCCACTGTGTAATACCTCTGCTGCTACCAGCCCTTCCTTCTTTCCAGATCTAACCTTTACAACAGAGTTGAAGAACCTGTGGCCCTCCAGATGTTGGGACTCCCACCATTTCTGGCTCCGGCTTATGAGAATTAAGAGTTACTCAACATCTGGTGGACCACAGGGTCTCCATCGCTGCCTTACAAGCAGGGACAGTAATGGGAAGCAGCTCTTAGCATTGGAGGCCTCAGGCAAGGCTTGAAACTCTCTACTTCCAGGAGTCCTCCATACTGTTGTTCTCCTTCCTAAGGATATGTTTGGAGAAAGGGGAATGACAAATCTATCATCTTTCATATCAGTGCTGCAATGGAGGAATGGAATTGGTCCCAGAGGCAGTAGCAATGAGCAAAACCTTCAGTTCACGGTTTCATTCCTGTTTCTGAAATTCAGTAATATCACTACTCCCAACTGTTTCAACATTTTATAACTGATTGGATAATCCCGTGCTATCGTTAGCTGGCCAGTTTGCTAATTCAGCCTCTAAATACATACAGTTCTAGGGGGGAAAAGAAAACAGTTTTCCTCCAAGTCACAACACTTGGCTGTACATAATGAATACATATGCTATGGCATCCCACATAGCTACAAGTGGAATGAAACTACCAAAAATAAACCATTTGCTGTATGTCCTGGAGTAGCATTAAAGTTGTAAAACCTAAGTTTGTTATATACCCAATATACAATCCTAAATATGCATTAAAAACAGAATTAAGGTGATAATAGCTAATGTAAAGGTTTGATTTGCATAATAAACTCAAATTTTCATGTCTTTCTACAAAGAAATCAAAGATCTGGCATCAGTATAATGTTAGTGCTGCTTCTGCAATGAGCAAGACTATTTTTATGAATTCATTGACAGATTTATTTTTTTGTAATGTCAGCTGGCTAGAATGCTTTCCAAACAATCTTGGACACAGTCTTATATGGCTCTGGTTCTTCAAGAAACCTCTGGTTGACAGCTATGAACACACATAATATTTTCCTTCCCAAACCAATTCCCTCCTACTAGCACACAGCCAGATGAAGCTACATCTCTACTAAAAATTAAACTACACCCCCATCCACCCCACCCAAAAAAATATGGGAAGAAGACAAGTCAGAAAGCTGTCTTATGACTTGTTAGAACTTCCAAGACTGATAATCTGAAGAATGTATTTCAGTTTGTAGCCTGCCTTATTTCCAAGATATAGAGCAGACTGAACAGTATTATAGGCACAAGAGACATGTGGGGTCTTGGCAGGGGCTGGGTTGAATTAGACTGCTTTCTTATCATTACTGTTCCTTCCCTTGCAAGTCTGCTGAGGCAGCTGAGACCGTTCTGCACATCCTGCTCTGCCAGGAAACCAGCAATTCAGCACTATGGCAGTTGGGCACATGCTTTCATTCTCATGTATCTTTCACAAGCTTATCATTCTTTTGCTTAATCTTTCAATATAATATTTCACACACAACAAAGTTAAAAATATTTTAAATAAATATTAGTACATGATTTATTAAACTAAACCATTTTGTACTATGTGCTAGGGTCTTCGATAACTTTAATATCCAATACAGCTTTTGCATCTAAATATCATCATGGCTTGCCCAAAGACAGACATTATCGCCATTTAAGTTAAAGTAAATACTCACTAAACAAAAATGCTTACCTCCCTCAACCAGGACTAATGACAGAAAACAGCATTTCTGCCTTTGAAAGTTTCCAGACTATAGTAAACCTGCAAGATGCTAATACTGCTATCAGACCAGACTGGCTCACTCCTCTAGTAGGAGAGGAAGAACAAAGCACTGTCCTGTCTACCAACACTAATACATATCCAACAGTAATTAGGTCAAGCACCAGCTGTCCACAATAAACAAACCTGTAACAAAATTAATCCTTGCAATAAAAAGCCACCTTAAGTATTCTAACTGCAAGTTAAAACCTATACATTTTTTTTAAAATGTAAGATAGCATTCAAGGACCCAGGAATAAGGCATGTGAGCCTTGTGGGTTTAATAGCATTTGACTGCCATCACAGGCCTGAAGTGCGTGAACACCAAAAAAGACCAGAAGCCCAATGGTGGTATAACTAAAAATATGTAATATTGCATCATTTCTATAATCCCTGGTATTAGTAATTTAAAAAATAATAAATGCTGTATACTATGGTAACACCAACACATTATTCAAAGCAGCACTAAATTAATTTGTGGTTTTATTTTATTTAATTAAAATAATTACATTAAAAAGGATCAAACTCTGCCCACAGGCTTGTGATCTAAACTAGAGGTGGGAAGACTTCAGGCCTGTTGGACCTACTTTGTTTGTTTTACTTCCACACAAGGATCTACCAGTGCCACATGCAAAATATATACAGTGATAATTAAATAACAAGGTGCATTTCTGAATACCTTTTGGGCTTTGAACTTTATTTTCACTACCAGAACTGAACTCCCAGTCCTTTCATATGAAACCCCAATCCCAGTCAACTTTCTTTATTAAAGCAGCCTAATATAGGTGGAAAAGACATTTTGTTCTTGCAATTAACAACCAAGTAAGGAATCCTTGCCAATCTTGCAAATCCTGATCTACTTTCTACCCTCTTCTAACCTAAACAACTGTATTTTTTTCCACTGATCAGATTTCCTGGTTTAGCCCAGTTCGCAAACAGCAACTTTCTCTGGTAAGAAAGCAATGGCTACCGCACGGCCACCACCACAATGCTGTTTCAGTTGAAGAAAAAGATAGTCATATTGAAGCTACATGACTTCTCTTCTAGCTCCTCCATGGAATTCATTCTCAGGAATACAATCTGCAGTGTTGCTTCCCAAACAAAATTAAATACTTACTATTAATGCAAGATGCAGCCTTTTACTATGAATGTTTACTCAAAAGTAAGGCCCACCATGTTTACTAGAACACACACAAATTTGTGTGTATTCAGTTGCAACCCAAGTTTTGACTGTGCTGTAGTTAGCTTTTTTAGTTCAGTGACTGTGCTTGCAAAGTAATGTTAAAAACTATGGTGGAAATGAAGTACAGTGGTGCCTCGCAAGACGAAATTAATCTGTTCAGCGAGTGTCTTCGTCTAGCGGTTTTTTCGTCTTGCGAAGCAACCCTATTAGCGGATTAGCGGATTAGCGCTATTAGCGGTTTAGCGGCTATTAAAGGCTTATCGGCTTAACGGATTAGCTGCTAAAAGGCTATTAAAGGCTTAGCGGCTTAGAAAAGGGGGGGGGCGGAAAAAAAATCTCAAGACTCGCAAGACATTTTCGTCTTGCGAAGCAAGCCCATAGGGAAATTCGTCCTGCGAAGCAACTCAAAAACGGAAAACCCTTTCGTCTAGCGGGTTTTCCGTCTTGCGAGGCATTCGTCTTGTGGGGCACCACTGTATCCTTTTCAAAGAATGTTGGCTTCTCACGTTGTTTGAACAATGAATGCTGACAGGTTAATTACGTAAGTCACCTTTGCAACCAATGGTTTGAAGCAGGCTTGTTTTAGAAACTTACTAGAGTTTATCATAAACTGTGTTTTTTAGCATGTGTAACAGAACAAGCAAAAATTATCTGAAAGGGAAACAAATCTCTGAAAAGTGAGATGGATGAAACCTTGTAGGGCCAATGCTTTGCTTGGACTCACTGAAGTTCATCCATACAGCACTACACAGTGTGGGACAGAGGGAGAGAAGGAATTCAATGAAGCACCGTGTAAGCTCTGATAAAAACAAACATTATGTTTTTACATGTCATCAGTTTCTTCTACCTTCAATTCAAACATTACTAGAGTGCTGGACAACTTCATTAGTGAGCTACTCCAGATATACTAAACAAATCCAATGCATTTTATGGTAGTGCACAATCCTTCATTGCAATCCATGATGAATCAGCCATTACATCCATCACACCTCATTTCTGAGGTTCACAGCAGCATCTGGTTGACCACTTCCTGGGCCTATCTGGACATCCCTTTGACACATATTGTGAAACTGGAAGGTCTCAAGGCCTGTGTAAACATATTCACTCCCTCTCCCTGCTTCTCTGTACTGTGGGAGAAACAAACATTTGAACCTTAAAATTCCAGTTCTTTTAACACAGGAGCTCCCCTGATGCTGGCACATTAATCTTCCCCTGTGGGAGGAAAGTGCAGGACAGGCAGGAAAGTTACTATATGAACTTGTCTGTTCCCAATCTTTCCCCAGGGAAATCTTGATACAAAAATAACATCTGAATAAGACTGTGTGCTCAGCTATCCAGCGGCCCCTCTTTGGTGTGACAGAACAAGGAAGTTCTTATTTGCTGGACATTCTATGCTCAGTCTCTTCAGAAACAACCGTTTTCCTTGGATTTCTGCATCTAAAGACATAATACAAAAGCTGCATTTTGCATTCATACTTTGTTTCAGCTACCCTCAGACTATCCCACATTAACAGGTGTGGCCTTGTGACAAATATCCACATGTTTTTATGAATCAGTGATGACTCTACATAAATACTGAAGTCAGCCAGTCATGAGCTGAATGAATTCCAACTTACAACTGACAACAATCTTGCTAAAGCTCTGTTGTCATCAAACTACGACTGCAAAAGCTGCTACCTCTCTACATATTATATAGCTGCCTCCAACATATTAATGTCTTTAGTGTTAGGGTCAATACTACACAGAACTTATCTACCCCAAGCCTTTTGGCCTTTAGTTCCCCTTTCTCTTACCAAAAAGAAAAGATGTTTTAGAGATAAGCCAAATATGAATGGGTGACAATTCAGAGTGTGTGGCTCATTTTAAACAATTCCTACAATGAAGACATGGGACAGAGGTGGCGCTGTGGGTTAAACCACAGAGCCTAGGACTTGCCGATCAGAAGGTCAGCAGTTTGAATCCCTGTGATGGGGTGAGCTCCCCTTGTTCGGTCCCTGCTCCTGCCAACCTAGCAGTTCGAAAGCATGTCAAATTGCAAGTAGATAAATAGGTACCGCTCCTGCGGGAAGGTAAACAGCGTTTCCGAGCGCTGCTCTGGTTCGCCAGAAGCGGCTTAGTCATGCTGGCCACATGACCCGGAAGCTGTCTGCGGACAAACGCCGGCTCCCTTGGCCAATAAAGCGAGATGAGCGCCGCAACCCCAGAGTCGGGCACGACTGGACCTAATGGTCAGGGGTCCCTTTACCTTTACCTTTACAATGAAGACACTGTAGGAAAGATTATGAATGTACCATACAGACCATAACATACAATGATCCTGTGTATGTGGGAAAGGGAGCTGGCCATATATATACATATACACACTGGTAGGTCACAGATGGCTGTAACTTCCAAGTGCATAGCCAACCCTATCCATGACAAGTAATTTTAATCAGATGGTAAGGATTTTATAACCCACAAGACCTTCTACAAAACAGTTTACAACAGCAAATACCGCCTGGCAAACCACTAGAACTGGAAGCCGCACACAGTTAAAGCTCATTGCTTCCCCTTTGGCGGACCTTGGGAACCATAGTTTGTTGAGGATGCTGAGAACCACACCTGTGCATGAAGCAAACTGCAGTTCCCAGGATTCTCCCCTCTCCCAGGAGGGGTGTCAGGGCTTTAAATGTATGATGTGTATGCAGCCTATCTAAAAACCCCATCCATCTTATTACAGGAATTCTGAAGCAGCCCCAACAACAACAAAAAGTTACTGGATAGGCACTCAATGAGGAATTACTTTAGTGGGAGAAGAGGAGATAGAAACGGCTGAGAGCTACCAAGTGTAACCAACTTATTTAAAGAAAGAACGCATAACTTGTGAATGTACTGTGGTACCTCGGGGTAAAAACTTAATTCGTTCTGGAGGTCCGTTCTTAACAAGAAACTGTTCTTAACCTGAAGCACCACTTTAGCTAATGGGGCCTCCTGCTGTCGCTGCACTGCCGCTGCACAATTTCTGTTCTCATCCTGAAGCAAAGTTCTTAACCCGAGGTACTATTTCTGGGTTAGCGGAGTCTGTAACCTGAAGCGTCTGTAACCTGAAGCGTCTGCAACCCGAGGTGCCACTGTACTTATCTTTGGGCAAGTCACACTCTGTCAACTTAAGTTACCTCCTAAGATTTGCTGCAGCGATAAAAGGAGAACCAACCTACACGTTTCCTGAGCTCTGGGGCGGATTTTAACCTTAATTAAAAAAACAAAAAATCTGGAAAATAAAGAAGTGTGGCGTGGTGGGGTGGGGAAGAGACCCCTTGTCCTCTCTTAGCTCCTAACAGCTTTAAAAGATGGAAATAAAGGCGATGGAAAGACACATGACGCGCCTTTCAAGAGCTAAGCCCCACCCTGCCTGACATATGGGAAAGGGAACTTGACAAAGGCGAGGCGGGACCCTCGTGCAGGGAGAAGAAAGGCAGGTGGGAGGCGGGTCGACCTCCGAGGGGAGATGAGGAGGGGGTCGCACCCAGGACGGAGGAGGGAAGGAAGGGCTGGCGAGGGGGCAGGAGGGCGGCGGGGGGAATCTGTGGGTCGGGCCCAGACTGAGGCGGCTGACTGCCCGGGCCTCCTTCCTGACTCACCCACATCCTGGTCGAAGGGGTTGCTGGTGAAGAGCGGCATCTTCCCAGGGCGGCGGGGGGGGGGAGCGGCGGCGGCGGCTGAGCGAGGCGAGATTCCCTGCCGCCCCTCCTGGGCGGAAAACAACAAACAGCCACAGACGCCTCAGCGCAGCGACTGACGGAGCGAGGCCCCGCGGCGGCTTAGGCTCCGCCCCCCACTCCCCCTCCTCCTCCTCTTCCTCGCGCTCCCTCTGTCCGCTTGGTTCTCCTCAGTCGCCGACGCTTCCGGGCGCGCGGTGCATGACGGGGAGCGGCGGGGAAAAAGAGGTGTCCACCGCACTTGCCTGACGGCGAGGCGGGCGCAGCGCGGCTTCCCCACGGGAAGCGCCTGGGAAAGAGCAGTCGTTTTTCTCTCTCCCCCGTCCCAAGTTTCCCAACCCTGCTTCTGATTGCCAGACAGGGTTGTGTGGATGGGTCAATGGAGAAAAAGGCCCTTCAGGCGCGCTTAGGAAAGCCGCTTGCGTCCCCCTCCAATGAGATCTCCTGGGTTCTAGGTGTGTAAGGATGCCTGGTCTGCCAGGTGAGGATGCGGAGGCTGCACGAGGCAAGTGGGAGCCGAGTCAATGTATAGCAAACCTGTATGCACACGCTCTCTCTCAACAATCAGGAGAAACTAAGACATCAGGGACAGCCACCACCCGCAAAGAAAATGGGCTAAATGAATATATTATATGATATTCCACTATTGGGCAAAGCAAACTCTGGCTGGGCTAGGCAAGAAGGAAGCATGGAAACTCCACCCCCGTCCCTGGCACAAGCTAGTGGCCAGCATTTCGAAAGCTGCAGCACCTGACATTTCTGGGAGCTGTCCAGCATGCCTGAGCCTCAGGGATACAGCCAGACAGCAGCTTACATTGTTGCCCACAGTGCTGCTGGATCATGGACCAAGGAACGGGTGAGAGACACTGTAGCCTTGCTGTTATAGGATATTGAGAGGGAGGGCATAACTCTCGCATGGAGGTCACAGCTGACTTGGGTTCAGCTTACTCAGGACAGGACAGGTATATCCTTCTCCTCCCTCTTTCTCTTTACTTTAGCAGTGGGTACTCTGGCATATTGTCACACTCACTCTTCAGGCTTTAGGGTAGTTAGGGATCCTATACTTTCATAATTAAGGTGTGTGCTGAATGATTTGCTACCTGCCCTTCTTATTGGGCATAAGCTTAAGGGAAGAAACACATGTTCAATGAGACAGAAGAGTGCCAATTTCATTTTTCAGCAAGGATGTCTGAATGGTCACTCCTGGAAATACTATAGGAAAGGAACTTTAGGATGAGCCAGAAACAAAAAATCATGAATCTGTTTTATATTAGGATTACTTTGCACATTAAAAAAGAGTATTTGACACATGTTCAGTCTCTCTGGGTGCACATGTATTCCCCAGCTGTGGTCCCTTATCTTAATTCAGGTGAACTGTGGCATGCTGATATTATATTAATTTATAAATGGATCTGTATTCCTTTTTTATTTCTCATATTGCATTTTATTGTAGTAAAATTTGAATTCTATGGAATCTAAACCTAAGACAATAAAATTTAAGAAACAGAAGAAGCAATAAAAATACAGTTAAAAATCATAAAGCACCTATCCCAGCACATTACAATTGCAGAAGAACCAGTGTGTGGTCTGCCAAGACCATCAAGTGATTTTCAAGAGGTCCATGGGGGGAAATGGTTTGGCAACCATTGCATTAGGAACAAAAAAAGGGTCCTGCTGGTCCAACCAAAGGCCCGTCCTATATGTTGCATTCTCACAGTGGCCAACCATATGCATGTGAGAAACCTTGATATTTCATATGAGTTAGTAATTTATAAATATTGTGTGTTTGGGAGATTCCATTGTTGAAGGAGCCAGGCAAGTTTCTTGGTGAGTTAATCACCCTAAGTAATGGTCCTTAGTATAAGAAAGGAAGTTGCTTTCTACTGGATGGCCAATGGGTGGCTGGTAGTGAGAAGGACAAAAGCCAGAGTTGAGTTCAGTGAGAAAGCTGGGCTACAGACAGGCAGAAACCGGGGAGTGAGAGCCATGCCTAATTTCTGCTTGAATCCAAAGCTGTGACTATGGGAGAAGCAAGACCTTCTGGGATGTGAATGCTGTGAACCATCGCAAGTTGTATACATGTGTAAATAAACCATATATCCTAAAGACAACACAGTCTCTACTGTCCCTCATTGCAAGGAAACCAAACGCTGGGCGTGCAACAATATGTTTTATTTAAAAAATAATAATTTAAAGTAAAATAAATGTATATTTCCACCACACTTGTCAAGGAGGATGGTCCAAGAGGACGTTCCTGCTAGAGCGAAAGAGCAACGCGGCGCGGGGAAGGTGCGGACGAAGCCCAGCTTGAGAGGCGAGTCTCGTCATCGTGGCGCACAGAGGCGGCCGGGTCTCTGGTATCCTCTGGAGCCCCTGCGCGGCAGGGAGGGGGCCGGGCGAAGCCTCCGAGCAGCTGTCCAAGCAGCAGCTGCCGCGGGGCTCAGCGAAGACGGCTGGGGCGAACGCCAGAGCCAGCTGCCTGCCTGCCTGCCTGCGCGCCCGACTCCGCCTCCGCCTCGCCTCCGCCTCCTCCGGCCGCCCCCCACGTGTGTCCGTCTGTCTCCGCCTGGCCTCTGGGGAGGGAAAGCATGGCGTCCAGCGAAGAGGACGGCGGAGCCGGCAACGGCTCGCTGGAGGAGAAGGAGAGCGGCAAGGCGGCCGCCCCTCGGCGCCGCGGCTCCGTCACCACCGCCTGGCTCATCTTCTACAACATCACCATGACGGCGGGGTGAGTGAGGGAGAGCGCGCGCCCGGCGGGGCTGGCCGAGCGGCGGGGCCGGGGCTCTGTCGCCGGCCGCTCTCTCGCTCGCCCGGGGAGGAGAGAGGGGCAGCCGGGGCGCCCTCGGACAAGGGGGGCGGCGGGCGGCACAGAAGGGCGGCGGCCGCGGGGGGCGAAGCTCTGGCTTGCCTGCATTTCCTAATACGGTGCAGCCTCCCAGCGAGGCGAGCACGTCATGCCTCTAACCCGCCGCAGAGGTTAAGTATAGCCCCAGCCCGGAATGCCGGGCGGGGGTGCACTGGGGCGGCGGCGGCGGCGGCTGCATGGGGCAGACTGCTTCCCTCGGCATAATTTACTGCGGCTGCCGCGCAGGGCGCATCCCCGCTCGGCCACTGGCGGCCGCTTGCTTCCCCTGGCGAGCCGCGCTCCCCTCCCACTCTCGCAGGAGCGCAGGCTGCTGGGCTCTGCGAAGAACACCTGCCCGCCGTGCCAGAAGCTGAGCGGGGACAGACTGCGGGTTACGCCACAAGCCAACCCTCAGCCACCCTCCAAAACAGAAGAGCCGTGTGCCACCTTGAAGTGTGCCACCCAGCTTTCGACGTGGACTCAAATCAAAGAGCAGAGCGGTGGCAAAGCTCTCTTGTTCTATGGGCAGCTTCTTCCCAAGCCAACTAGACGAGGCTGCTGCACTAAGGATTCTGCTGCGCCCCCCACCCCGGCCCTGTTAAATGTAAAGATATACATTAACACCTTTGTGGTATAGTGGTTAAGGATTGGGACCTTGGAGAGCCAGGTTCAACCACGAAGCAGCCAGCGCACTGGGCGACCCTGAGCCCCTGTCCCTCAGTCTAACCTAACCTGCCTCACAAGGTTGTTGCCGCCATAAAATGGGAAGGGTGATCTCCTTGGAAGAAAAAGTGGGATGTAAATAAGTGGAATAATAAATGCACGGCTAGTCTGGCACTTCCACAAGCCGTGCATATGCTAAACGTGTCTTGCATGAGACTTACCAACACAGGGGTTCACAGTGTGCATTTTTTTCCTACTTGAAAGTGCTCTTCATATACTGTAGGCAATGTGGCATGAAATTAATGAAAGTGTAGTTTTTCAGTATGTGTGTATTGTGAGGAGTTTCAAAGGATCTGAGTGAATAAGGCATTAAAATTGCAAATGTGGCTTAATGTAAGCAAATGTAATGTGATGCACATAGGGACAAAAATAAACAAATCATTACTTCGCATCATAATGGATTCTGAACTGGTGGTGACTGACCACCAGAAAAGAGAACTTGGGGTGAAGAGTTCTTAGCAAATAGTGTGATGAAAATGTCAGCCCTTTGCAGCTGTGAATAAGGTGAATTCTGTGTTGCAGATCATTAGGAAAGCAATTGATAGGGGCAGTAGGAAACTACCAGTAACATACCGTAATACTGTTATACAAATCTGTGGTGCAACTACACATGAAATACTTTATGAGTTCTAATCCCTGCACCTCAGAAACAATAGAGTTGAACTGGGGAAGGTATGGAAAAGGGTAACCAAAATGACCAATGAAGAAAGGTTTCGACCTTTGGGGCTTTTTAAGTTTAAGGGGAAAACAGTGAGTGAAAGAAAGGCTTGATAGAGGTGTTTAAAATTATGCATGGTATGGGGTAAAACAGAAATAGTTTTTCTCTCACTTTCCCACTGGGTCATCCAATGAATCCGAATATTGGAATATTCAGGATAGACAAAAGGAAGTAAAATGCCTAGTTAAACTATGGAATTCACTGACTGAGGGTGTAGTGATGGCCACCAACCTAGGTGGCTTTAAAAGGGATTAGACAAATTCATGAGTGATAAGGCTGTCACTGACAACTAGTCATGATGGCTAAGGACCAACGTCAGTATCCAAGGTAGTAAGCCTCTGAAAACCAGTTGCTAAGGGTCACAAGTGGGAGAGGGCTCTTGCGCTCATGTCCTGCTTCTTGGCTTCCTGTAGGCATCTGATTGTCCACTGTGAGACCAGAATGCTGGATGAGTCTCTCTGGTTGGGGCTCTTATTTCGTTCTTTTGTAACCAGGAGGACTAGGGGAACATGCTGGTGCCTTTCACCTGGCACATCTTCAGTGTCTGTAGGTGCTGGTCCATCTGTGCTATGTCAGCTAGTAAGCAACAGCATTCTCAGAAGCGCCTCCCACATGCAGATCACAATACCAAGAGGGCTGTGTATGTGAAATTTCAGCCTGAAGAGGAACTACACTATCCAGGGTAGTGGGTATAGAAGTGCCATAGACATTCATCATTGTGGAACAAGGTGTCTTGTATTTGCTTTTTGTTTTGATCATGGACCTTCTGAATGCACACCACACTCCTGGTAAAGAACAGCTGCCTTAGCAGGATGGAACTTGAAATCCTATTGCACGCTTATCATAGGAAAATTGAAATGGAAGAGTGGCTCTTTGTGTCGGATTGGCCATGGGAATTTGAGCAAACCCTGGCCTCAACATCTTATATTCCAGAACTAGAGTAAAAAGCCCTGGTTGGACTTTGGAGTGGGGTTGAGACCATGGTTTCTAGATGTTTCGCAGGGAAACCTACATGTAGAATGAATGCTTTTTTAAAATGGTGGCAAATACGATAGCTCTTTTTGGGTGCCCAGATGAACACGTGTAGGTCTAAAAGACGGGGGAGTTATACTCACAAGCCTCGCCCCTCAATGTCCACACATGTTCTAGCTCTGCTTTCAGCATGTGAAGGTCTGAAGGGGGATTTCAGATGTTTTGGGTTGAAGGTGCTTAGAATCCTCATTGGAATCAGGAATTCTGCATAGTCAGGCTTCCCCATTCAAGGGTGGGTTCTAACTATATTCAACAAAGCACAGGTCAGGAGAGGTGTGGCCAGGGCTGGTACGCACATAGATGTCCAGCACAGACCCAGTACAACCTCCTACATGTCTGAGCACTCACACATTCCTTTGAACACCTAAGGGGTCTTATATCAGCTATGGAAGGAATTTCTAATTAAAATATACATTATTACATTTATATCCCACCTTTCATTCAGTAGTGCAACATATAATTATCCAACAAACCTGTGAGATAGGTGAGCCCAGGGCTGTTTTCCAGGAGGAACTCACAGGAACTCAGTTCCGGCACCTCTCAGGTGGGCACCATTGCCATTCTAAGAGAATGAGGGAGGCGTTCATGGTGAGTTCTGGCACCTCTTTTTTTGAGAAAAATAGCACTGGGTGAGGCTAAGAGAGTGTGTGCCTGGCTCAAGGCTGTCCAGTGAGCTCTATGGCTAATCTCCCTTTCTGCAGCCTTCCTTTGCGCACAGACGCCCTCCATGGTAACCTCTTACATTTCCCTCCTATGACACATAGCAACAACTAAACACCCTTTTCATCTTCTGTCCAATTATAAAGCCACTGTTCCCTCCTAATCTGCAGCCCCTTTTGTACCCCTGCTTTCATCTCTGCCTCCCTTTTCATGCTTCCTGCTCCCTCCTTTTTGCAGCTGCCTTTGCACCCCCCCCATTTTCACCTTTACTTTCTGTTTTCTCCATCTTGCCTTTTCTCAACTCCCTCCCTCTTGCCTACAGACCCCGCTCCTCACTATTTACATGCCTCTTCCTCTCTTCGATTATACAGTCTCCTTTGCACACCCACCCACTGTTATGTTACTGTATCTTTAAGATGAATACCATCTTAAGAGCAAGAGTTAGAGATGGAGAAGGTTCAGTTCAGTTGATGGATGCTGTGCATATACAGGTGCTTGCTTGGTAATAATTCCTACAATGAATCTGGAACTTCATGTTGGACAACACATGGTATTGGGTCTGAAAGTACTATGGAATATTTGAGGGTTCTTAATCTTTTATCTCCCTCATGTGAGGCAACTAAGGAATGGAAGTTTGAGTACAGCAAAAAGGAAGTGACATTGAAATAGTCCCCTTTATTTTTTTCCAGTGCCCCCTTTCACTCCTCCACAGCACTGCACATGTCCCTTTTAATTCAATTCACTTCCATCTGCCCCCTCTCCAATTTTGGTTCTCCAGTTTTCTTCTCCCCATCACCAAAGCCTTAAAACTCTCTTCTCTCACACCTCCCTCCCCTACCTCTCATATTATCCCACATTCCTCCAAATGCCGCGTTTACCTCCACTCTGTTCTACCTGCCCCTGCTCCAATTCCTCTTTTCTCTTCTCTCAGTGACCAGAGGTCTAAAACTGTCACACACAGAGACAGTCTTTTCTCCACAAGGCATTCTCTTCACCCCTGAATCAAACCATTTACTACAGACACAAGTCCACTCCTTTTTCTTCCTGCCTGCTCCTTCTTCCCTTGCCTCTACTTTCAATCCTTGGGAAACAGCAAATAAAAACAGTGTGATGACAGACCAGTGCAAATACAGTACAGAAAGAAAGAATTTTGCTGAACAGAGTTCTTGAATCCGCCCCCCCCCTTCTTCTGAGGCACATTGGGGTTCTAATCCTACCACAAACTATGTGGGTGAGCCTAAGTATGTGTGAGGAAACTTTTGTAATTGTAGCAGTTCTATTAAATGTGGTAAATGTCAGCTGAGGTAGATGAGATTTTGTGTCAAGGGTGCAGTGAGGTAATTTACACTCTGAACTTAGTGGAGTTTATAGGGGAGCTGCTGTTTAGATGGCAACATATTTTATGTCATTTACTTCAAAATGTGGTAAGCCAAAAAGTTTGGGAGGCCATTCTGCTCATGCTTTGGAATGGGGTGCTGGACTCCTGCCTCAAAGGCCTGACTGGAAAGTAGTGCTGCTTGGTAGAAGGTCTGGTAAGAAATAAGTTAACTGCACAAATTCATTATTCATTAAGAATACTGTTTCTTCTCTTTCTAGGTGGCTGGTTTTGGCTATTGCCATGGTGCGGTTTTACATGGAAAAAGGAACACACAAAGGCTTATACAAAAACATTCAAAAGACACTTAAATTTTTCCAGACTTTTGCTTTGCTTGAGGTAAGTTTTTTAAGCGATACATTTTTTAAAAATGGGACAGTGGTGGTCTGGGAAAATACTTTCAATGAAACATTAACGGACCCAAAGAAGTTTAGTCTGTTGTCAAGCTAACAGAAGTTCCCATACCTTCAGCCAGAGGGAATGGTTCTCATAAATTAGGCAGCCTAAATTAACTGTCTCTGGACTGCTGAGTTTGAGGTCAGAAGCTCCATACATGGAGACGCGACCAGCCCCTATCCTGGCAGCTACCAGTCCGTGTGACATGTTGACTCTAGGCCTGTATGGAGGTGCCGTTTGTATCAATGGGTGCCTCCTCATGGAGGCTGTATTTGTAGCTCATGGAGTATGATTTGTATGGTTGCGGCGATCCTTTATCTGAGCTGTCATCATTATGCAACTTTATTATTCATTTATTTCATACACACACACCCCGACACCACTTTTCTGCCACGACATCCAAGATGGCTTACAGTTTTAAGATATTAAAGCATGCTCTGATGGCACTCAGTGTGGTTGGTTGGCTGCCAGCTAATATGAACCAGGTCATACAGATTTATTCTTGACACAAAGCTAGCATACAGATTTGCTAAACATTATTTAAACATAATGAATGTCTAAATAATTTAGAGTGATTATGAGTGCTTTGTGAAAGAGCTTGCAAACTATGCAGAATTTGGAAGAAAGGCACTTTAATTTGGGCTTTTTGTAAATCACCAGTCTTTCGAGTTTCCCACTGATTTGAAATTGAATTTTAAGTTTCTCACCCTCTTTTTCGCATAGTTTGCTGCCATTTATTCATGGAACCCCTGCTGTTTTTCTATATCTGTTGCCCACACTTTGTGTGTGACTTCAGCTCCATGAGTTCCCAAGGTGGTGTTGGAGTTGCCTCCCCATGCTGTGATTCTTTCCCATAGTATGATCCTGGGCGTGAATATGCTTTACAGGCCCAATGCTGTGTTCATCAGCTAGCTGAGAGGGAGAGAATTAAAGTGCACCACGCAATGGCATTTGTCCCCAATAGGGGTGGGTAGCTACACCCACCTACACTTCTCCTGACATTATATATGACATCAGGTGTGGGGCAGTCAAAGTGGGGCTTTGCAGGCACCGCTGATTGGCACTGCCTGCAAAGCCCCATGCACAGCACTTCCAAAGTGCTGATCGTTGGTGGTTGGAAAGCTCTGCACACAGTTTTTTGCCTGCATGGATTGATATCAAACTGTGCAGGATAGAAGGAGCCACCTTATATTAAAGTCATACCTCGGGTTACAGACGCTTCAGGTTGCGCGTCTTTGGGTTGCACACCGTGCTGAACCTGGAAGTACTGGAATGGGTTACCTCTGGGTTTCGGCGCATGCGCAGAAGCACTGAATTGCGACCCGTGCATGCACAGACACAGCGCTGCGGGTTGTGAATGCTGCGAGTTGTGAACATGCCTCCCACACGGATCATGTTCGCAACCCGAGCGTCCACTGTATTGTGATGAATGATTGGCAGGTGAGTGACACCACCCACCTGTCAAACATGGCTCAGTGTGTGTGTGTGTGTGTGTGTGTGTGGACATAAGAATCTGCCCCACTGGCCAGAACCAGTTTTCTTCCTCAGGCGTGCAACATTGTACAGTACAGGCAATGTATGTCGTACAGCTTGCATGCATTTGATCTCAGACTTGCTCCAGCCCTCCTAACCTCCCTGGAGTTTGGAGGATGGTAATTTTTTAGGAAACCTCATAGACCCAGATGTGGCCCACCAGCCATTCACTGTTAGTCCCATGTACAATGTTTATTTAGTTGTACCATTATTTTCAGAGACACTCTCTTGTGTTTTTGAAACCATAGAATTTTTATTTTATTTTTTTAAATCTCACTTCCTCATTTGGAAATCCTGTTTCCAAAATAGGACACCAAAATAAAATTCTGACATCGTCCCCCAGGGTTCCATTTTGTCCCCCATGCTATTTAACATCCATAGGAACCCCCTGCGAGCTGTCACCAGGAGATTTCAGGTGAAGTGTCATCCATATGCAGATGACATCCAGCTCTATCTCTTTTCCATCTGAAGCAGGAGAGGTGAGAGTTGAGGTGTTAGACAGGGGCTTAGAGGCAGTGATGGGTTAGATGTGGGCCAACAAACAGAAGCTGAATCCCGAAAAGACAGAGGTGTTGTATGTCTAAAGCAGGCTTCCTCAACCTCGGCCCTCCAGATGTTTTTGGCCTACAACTCCCATGATCCCTAGCTAGCAGGACCATGGTCAGGGATGATGGGAATTGTAGTCTCAAAACATCTGGAGGGCCGAGGTAGAGGAAGCCTGGTCTAAAGTCTTCATAGGCAGGAGGTAGGAAGATGGTCTGCCCTGGATAGGGTTGAACTTCATTGGAAAGAGCAGGTCTGCAGTTTGGAGGTGCTCCTGGATTCAGTACTGTCACTAGAGGCTCAGGTGGCCTTAGTGGCTTGGGGTGCTTTTTTCCAGCTCTGGCTGGTTCGCCAGATGTGGCGGCGGTTCGAATCCCCATGACGGGGTGAACTCCTGTTGCTCGGTCCCTGCTCCTGCCAACCTAGCAGTTCAAAAGCATGTCAAAGTGCAAGTAGATAAATAGGTACCGCTCCGGCAGGAAGGTAAATGGCGTTTCCGTGCACTGCTCTGGTTCACCAGAAGTGGCTTAGTCATGCTGGCCACATGACCCGGAAGCTGTGTGCCGGCTCCCTCGGCCAGTAAAGTGAGATGAGCGCCGCAACCCCAGAATCAACTGGACCTAACAGTCAGGGGTCCCTTTACCTAATATTGTAATATCCTCTATGTGGGGCTGCCCTTGAAGAAGAAACTTCAACTGGTCCAAAATGCAGCAGCCAGATTACTGGCTGGGGATCCACTTAGATCTCACATAACCCCTGCTTTAAAACAGCCTCACTGGTTGCAAGTTTGTTTCCAGGCCTAACTTCCAGACCATTGATTTCAGTGGTTCTATAGAGAATATGACTTGTGTTGCATATACAACCCAATTTAAACAACTTGAGGCAGCAATCAAAATTTGAAATTGAGTTACAAGCCCCTTTAACATTGCAAATGTAGTGAGCTGTTTGGCTTCTGGGTTCTACTGCCATGGCTGGTGAAGGGATGCATGACTGTACATGTAACAGCAGCCAGTTCGCGGTCATAGAAATGTATTGAGATAAATAGCAGAACATGGTACAACCCAAATAGTGCAGCTAATAATTCAAGTAAAAAAAAAATTATGCGGGTGGCACTATGGGTTAAACCACAGAGCCTAGGACTTGCCGATCAGAAGGTCAGCGGTTCGAATCCCCGCGACGGGGTGAGCTCCCGTTGCTCGGTCCCTACTCCTGCCAACCTAGCAGTTCAAAAGCACGTCAAGTGCAAGTTGATAAATAGGTACCGCTCCGGCGGGAAGGTAAACGGCGTTTCCGTGCGCTGCTCTGGTTTGCCAGAAGCGGCTTAGTCATGCTGGCCACATGACCCGGAAGCTGTACGCCGGCTCTCTCGGCCAATAAAGCAAGATGAGCACCACAACCCCAGAGTCAGCCACGACTGGACCTAATGGTCAGGGCTCCCTTTACCTTTACCTTTACTTAACAAAGTGCATATGCTGCTTAATTATAAGGAAACCTCTAAGGAGGTTATACTATTAGCACTTAGGTGCTCATTATATTCCAAGCCTTATGCTTTCCAGTGGAGAGGTGGAAACAGTTGCCAGATGTTTTACCTCTCCTGCCCCTACATGTGCAACTTTAAAAAAAAATATTTTTATTGTTTTGCTGTTTATGAAGTGCCTAGTTTTGCAACAGGGTGGTGGTATTCTCCATGCTGTCATGTGCCCACCTGCCAGTAGAGTCATGTCCTGATGCTCATTCCTCCATGAGTCTTCTATAGTTTGTATTTTCCATGTTAAATTCTATCCCAGCCTAGAAGTTCCATTTCTGTGTTTTATTTCTCACATGACTATGATGCTAATAGACTTGTTACGGTTTTGCTTTTGAAATACTCAGTTGTTCATCCTCCCCATCTCTCTCTCTTTAAATTTACAGATAATCCACTGTGCATTTGGTGAGTCATGGTTTCAGTTTCTCAGTTAACTAAACAAAATCCTGCCCTGTGAGACAAAGGTGACCTGTTTCTCTTTTTAAGGAGTAGTGCACACTTCTATGCTTGTGACGGGGGTCCAAGTGAGTTCCAGAATCTTCATGGTGTGGTTTATTACACATAGTGTAAAGCAGGTAAGTGTCATGAAACTGTTTGTCTCTTCAACTCTGCGTGTTTTTTGTGTGACAATTCGCAGTCTTCTAAAAGTCAGCGGAGATGTGTCTTCAGCAAGGCTGAAGGAACCTTCAGAGGGCTGAGGCTGACTTGTAACAGCACACAGCTCTGCAGGCAGAACTTAAAAGTTCCTCATTTGTGTCTGCCTTACGCTTGGGAGATGAGGACTTAAAGGCCATTGGAGATGGATATCTGAGCTAGGTTGGCCTCCTGCCTGGTTTGCTCTCTCTATGAAACAAGATCAAAGGCTGACACATCTCTTTGGCAACCGATTCACCAAGCTGTCGGGCTGTCCCTGTTTCGGAGAGGACTTAAAATTAGCACATGTTGAATGGACTAAGTGAAAGTAAGCCTTAAGCTAAACGCATGTGAATTAATCTTTCATGCAGGTGTTTTCCTAGTTAGCATTAATGTCATTGTTCTTAGGTATGTGCAGTAAGTGCTTATAATAGGTATAAGGAAAGACTCCTACCATTTCTTTATAAGCTCCCAGGGGAAATTAGCTGAGGCTGATGAGGTGTATATTACAAAGTTAAATTGGACCAGAGTGGTTTTATGTGAAAGCCTAGTGCCTGATGTTAATTACCACTAACTAACATCATACTGATTTCCATTGGGGTAAATGTTAAGGATGTGCTTCCATTGGAAATTTGTGCAGGAATCCTAAGCGTTCCTACTAGGAAGGCAAATCGCACTCAACCAAACTCAGACTTAACTTCTGCTTAGGATTGCCCTGGAAAGTGTGGCGTGGTGGCTGGACAGTGCCCAATCTTTCACGGAGTATAGAATGTGCTTTACAATAGTTCATAATTTCAGGCTGCGATAGTTGCTCCACAATTCAGTTTTCTTTTGAATATCTTAATGGTTACAACCAAAATTAATCCTAGCTTTTTTTTCATTTCATTTCTATACTCATTTGCTGAAAAGGGCCCAGCCATTAAACTGTATCACCAGCAGGTGGCAGTTTTGACTATCTGCTTATAGTCATGAACGGCATAATTTCTTCATTCCTTTTTATGTTTGTTTTAAACATGCTTGCAGGTGAGAACTCTTGGGCTGATTATTTTTAAAAATTTGTATCCCAAACTGTGCGGTTTGCTCAGAACCACAACAGCTTGCTTTTAAATGATAGAACAGGTTTAACATTTATACTCATTTTTCTTTATTTTTATGCCTTGGTACAAATGTTTTCCATTTTTTCCTAAGATGCCATGTCCGCATTTGAGGAGAAGGAGGAACTAGATTCATGCAGTCATTGGCATATATCAGTGAGTTTGGGAAGAGGCCCTGCCTAGTAGGAAGTTCCCCCTAAGTAAAGGTAAAGATAAAGGGACCCTGACCATTAGGTCCAGTCGTGACCGACTCTGGGATTGCGGCGCTCATCTCACTTTATTGGCTGAGGGAGCCAGTGTACAGCTTCCGGGTCATGTGGCCAGCATGACTAAGCCGCTTCTTGCAAACAAGAGCAACGCACGGAAACGCCGTTTACCTTCCCGCCGGAGCGGTACCTATTTATCTACTTGCACTGCTTTCAAACTGCTAGATTGGCAGGAGCAGGGACCGAGCGACAGGAGCTCACCCCGTCGCAGGGATTCAAACCGACGACCTTCTGATCGGCAAGTCCAGGCTCTGTGGTTTAACCCACATCGCCACCTGCATCCCATCCCCCTAAGTAACAGTCATATAATACATTTACTAGCACAACTGAAAAGCAGCCTTTTGAGATAATTTAAACCTGTGGTGGAGAACCTCTAGGCCACACACCAAATAAGGTCTGCCGGGACTCAGAGGCTTGGTCCATCAGGCCATCTGGGGCCAACCACGCCAACCCTTCCTCGGTCTCACATCCTATTTGAACTCAAGCCAGGGATGCAAAGGATTCTCCTTTGCAGATGTGACTTGCACTCCAGCAGGGGATGCAAACAAAGAATCTCCCTTTGAAGCCATCTTGAATTTTGAATCACCTGGTGTCATATGACACCAGGTGACTGACAGGTGGACAACTTAGCCCACCCATCAGAGTGGTCTGTGGAGGGTGGCCAAGTTTGAGGTATGGCCAGCATCAGAATCTACTTCTGCACTCCTGATCTAAGCTCTTAAGAGGCTGGATTTTAAAGCAAAAATAAACCATGATTAAGGTCTAACATAAAATAAAGAAAGAAAACAAGGTAAGATAAATAATAATAATGTCGCTAGGTATGATGAATAAGTCCCAGTCTGCAACTGATAATTAAAATGAAGGAGGGAAGGTGTTATTCAAATGCAATTAACTTCGATTGTGCTAGATGTAAAAATGGATTTTTGACTGTACCAAGAGCAACATAAAAGACATGAAACATAAAAGACAGCAATTCTGTTCTGCATCTAGCACTAATCGAAACGCAGGGGTGTCTTGTAGGGCAGGGCACAGAATCTGCTTTTTTGCTCACAGGGAACTGCATTTTTCCTCTTGCAGGAGGGAAACCAGCCAGTCTGTCCAAAATAAGCTGATAACATTGGCATTGTAGAAAGAAGTGTACTGTATCTGCATTTCTGCATCTTTGCCATGTTTTGTATTTTGCTAGGATATTGGTCCACATGCTTTATGCTAAGCCATTAATTTTCTGGTGCAGCGAGTTGTGGGCTGTGGCTACATATGAGCTTAAGCTCAAATGCTTAACTGTAACTGGATTGCTAACAGAACTATTATCAAGCTCATCATCCATATAAACTGTCAGCTTGCTCTCTTTTTGTAACAGAATGCATAAAATCCAAAAGATTAGATCCCCACACATACCTCCTGTGGATAAGACATTGCAAAGAATCCTCCCGAAAACCAATGCTCATCAATTTGCTGAGAATGGAAACTCTTTGAACAAGCGCGGAGTTTGAGCAGTCAAGGTTTTAAATCAATTTTTGTATATATTAGCTTGTTAAGGCTGCTCTTTCTTCAGAATTTCAGGTGGGCAATAGCACATTAAAAATAGAAAGCTGTGTATAAACTGTTAAAAAACAACAACACTAGACTGCAATTTTGTGCACACTTACCTGGGAATAAACCCTTTACTGAACAGAGTAGGACTTGCTGCTGAGTAAGCATGCATAATACATTTTTCTTTTATTTTGTTTTAGGGATTTACAAAGTACAGCCACCTTTTAATCAAGTCTGCTTTAGACGCATTGCCATTCCTCTTACGAACCAAATTAGTTTGTCCATTTCTGCTAATTCTAAGCATTTCAGAAACCATTCACATGTAGATAGAACATAAGGATATTTCCATTTTCTGGCCTGCACTACTCTGGGTGTGATTAACAAGATTTTCACTAAAGAATCTGTTCTGCAGACACATCATCCCCAATCTTACCAACATTGGAGAAAGACTAAAATCTGCTCCTATCGTCAATGTAATCTGTTGCATAATATGTTTCCAAAACCCATTGGCAAGTTGACATTCCCACCAGTATGTTGGGTGAACATTAATACAAAACATTTGAAGAGCAACAGTAAACACTTGGTGCTACTCCTTGACCTCATGTGGTACTTGAGATGCTCACCTGTCTGAAAACTTCACGGTCTTCGGATTTTGTCAAGTAGTTGAGCACGGGATCCCCTTCTGGTCTTGTAACAAAATCTGTGTTGCTTTATCTTATTTCACAGACACCCACGGAGCTTTTATTAGTTTTCAGGCACTTTAACGGAAAAGAAAAATACTATCTGTAATTCCTCTTCTCAGAATGCAGTAAAAGAGATCCCTGCCCCTCCTTTGCAGAGTTAGAAATTAATCTGTTGTTGCTTGTTTCAGCAGCTCTGGGTAGCCTCTGATATCTTGAAGTGGTTGGTAGATGTCCAGCACCTGCAAAGACAGTAGAATGACTTGGTTGTTGACCAAGCTGCAGATGAGCATATAGTCAGCTACAGTGCCTAGTTCCTTGCGCCATGTTGTACATTTGGAGATCTTACTGCCTAAGTGATCCTCTTGTAGAAATGATTCCAGCCAGCATTCTGGCATTGGGTTCTTTTTGCAGCCTCTAGCCTCCTTTTGATTACACAAGACAAAGTGAAATTATCTTAATTTATTGGAAAATAAAACATGTGGAGAGGAAAATGCTGCAACAGACAGGCCTGGCACCAGATAATGGGAATATTAGGCCTGGAAAGGCCAGGGCCCCGGAACCAGCAGAGGGCTTATCATGGGCACAGTGGTACCACCTCTACTTATCCTAGAAGGTCAGATGCAGCCTAAGAGAGTTCTCACTTCTGTATGTCCAGCCCTTTTTTCTGATTAGGGTCGCCCAAGGGCCCCCTCCATCAACTCTTAGATCAAGCACTGTAAAGAGGAGACTATAGAAGGCTTCCTATACTAGACGAGGCACGAAGGTCAAAAAGGATGTGGAAGCAAAATAGTAGCTGGGTTGAAAACAGATGTGTTTTGTCAGTGATGTGCCCCTTCAGATGTTGTCAGATTCCATCTTCCATCTGTCCCAGCCAGCATGGCCAATGGTTCGGAGTTATCAGAAAAGTAGTTCAGCAACATTTGAAGAATAACAGGCCAAAGAAGAATTATTTGGGAAGGTAACTAAAAAGGTTGTGGGGCAGGTGGGAAGAGAACCATGTGCATACGTGAATTTGCTATACAGTATTTAGTTATTGCTCTGTTCCATAGGCAATCTCTCAGTTTGGTGCAGGATGTTTAGCATAACATGCATTCTTCTTAAAAACATTGATTTGGGTGTACTGCCTTGCCATTCTGTTGCCAGCTTTCTTTACAATTTAAGGATGCAGAAAATGTTGGTTCTTTATACTTCTACAGATCCAGAATGAGGACAGCGTTATTCTTTTTCTGGTCGTATGGACTGTGACAGAGATTACTCGATATTCCTTCTACACATTCAATATGCTCAACCACTTGCCATACTTCATAAAATGGGCCAGGTGGAGAATGCCTTGCAGTTTAGTCTCTCATTGTTCTGTGCATGCTAATTTTCATGCATGCTGAATCGGCAAGGAAATAAACAGTGTGTGGTTTGTTTTTAAAGCTGAGAAGTTGTGTTTGTACTTTTGGATCTGCTTTTAATGCAGAGTTTGCTGGTTTTAAAAAAATAACCTGTCCTGTGTTCATGCCATTAATATTTCTAGAGAGTTCTTATGTGTCATTTGAAAATTGCATATTGAATAAGCTAGAAAAAATGTTTGTTCACAGGTGCTTTGCTTTTGCTTGGATAATATGCTATTTTGGGATTCCCTATAGATAAACAAGGCCTTTTATAAGTGAAAGTACAAAAGCTTGCAAAATGCAACACCTGTGCGAGTCTTTCTGTTATGTCAATTTGGGGATATAATTCTGCTGCAATTCAATGCAAAAGTAGACTAGGTAAAAGAAATACAAGGGATGCAGTTTGGGGGAAGGCAGCTGCAACCTTAACTGAAAATCTTCCTACCCCAGGGGTGAGGAACCAGTGGCCTTCCAAGTATTGTTGGACCAACTCCCTCCCTGATACATTGGTCATGCGAGCTGGAGAGTTGGAATCCGTTGGCAACTGCGGTTCTAGCCTTTTGCCATGTTGCTGCTGTTGGCCAGTGTGCTTGTATTGTAAACATTGACCCAAGTATTTTGAGTCAATCATAGACATATTTACTTGGAAGTAAGGTTCGTGTGTGTCTTCAGTGGGCTTCTCCCTGGTAAATGCATATTATTGGCAGTTTCAGTGGCTGGTGCTGTCACCATTTTGTTTAACAGCTTGCGTCAACTGAAGCAGACACTTTCAACTGCACTCTGGTGGTGAGCATGTGGTAGTTTAGAGACCCAGTCATATTCACATACATGGCAAAAGCTTCTGCAATTGCAACACCTGCAGCTCTTTTCTCTCAGGATAGATATTTTTCCTTTTTAAATAAAAAAATACAGCTGGATAAGTGATCAGATTTCACTGATCTAGAGTTCTTTTCTAAACTGAGCATTCAGTTTTATACATGGCATGTTTAATGTTACGCAATGTGTATGCCAAATGATAACAAACTAGTGTTAGGACAGTATATTTCTCCTTTTAGCCCAGCATCATATACTCTTGACTAGCAGTCACTATCCAGTGTCTTGCTTGAGCTCCTTCCCATCACTTGCTACTTTTAAAGTGGAGATGCTAGGGCTTGATCCAGTATTTTCTGCATACAAAGCATGAGCTCCATCACTGAGTTTTGGTACCTCCCCCCCACACCTGCTGCGAAAACACTACAAAGCAAAGCAGACAACCATATTCTGATTCCACCGCCCCCCTCCATTGTGTATTATCTCTTAAATGAGATTTCAGAATTCAAAGGAACTCATTTAGCACCCTGCCTTTCAGCGCATTAAAAAAATGTGACAAACTATTATTCCGTACTTCTTTGTAATAGTTTGGGATTTTCTAATCCTCTTGTGTTTGCTGCCAGAGGAGCTTTGCCGCTTTGTGCATAGGAGAATATGTCCAGCTTAGCTATATGAAAACTCTCCTTTCATTAATTGGCTTCTGATGTGCCTAGGCAGTATCATTGAGTTCTCTTTCTTTCTTTTTGCATGCCGCTAATGTGTTTGGTTCTCTTGTGCACCCCATACAGTCTACTTGAGTTGAGTTCTTTTGAGGGTTTCGGGTTCCCTGGCTGCACCTGTTTTGGTCATGGAATGCACATGGTGCATTTCCTTCTGACCCTGGGAGCAAACCATCTTTGCCTTTTGCAGCCTGAGTTCAAGAGGCTGGTTCTTTATGAATTGCTGCATTTGTATGCTTTTACCTTGTGCAAAAAACAACAACTCTGTCAAAGTATTTATAGCTTTAAGTGTCTGGCGTGTAAGGTGACAAATATAAAAAAAGATAATGTCATGTTTATTAAAGCCACTAGTTTTTTGGGTGTGTGTAAAAAATGAGGTGCAGATACCTGTATATTGATAAAAGTGCCAAAGGTAAAAGTGCTCAAAATTGCTTCCATGGCTAGCAGGAAAAAAGAGGTTCTACCAGTGAATACTTTCCCCCCCAAAATGCTCTGAATAAAGCAGTTGCGCCTTTCAAGACCAGTGTTTTTTATATTTCGGAATTGAGCATGGGCTCTGCCAAATGTCCATAGTACATTCACATATTTCAAAAGGATAGTTCCCAACTTCATTATTTTTCAGTTATTTTTGAACACAGTTGTACTATTAACTATAAAGCAAGCCAGATGAGTACACTAGGGTAGAATCTAGTTAGCTATGGATGCCTTCTCAAGAGGATTTTTTGCCAATTCACCCTTCCCCTTGCATCCCTCAGTGACTTCCAAAAACCAGTCCCAGAGACTTGGGAGACCCTCCAGAACAGGATGGAAGGTGGCTGGGGGCTTGAAAGACTGCAGGGGGAATAGGCAAAAATCACTTTGCTCCCTTTTCCATTTTGGAGGCATCTACTTGATCAAAAGTTCTTTCGTGAGCACAAGCACACCAGTTGAATCACACCACTGTATGCTGCTCCTTTGTCCAAACAGCAGCAGCCGTTGTAGACACAAGTGCATTGGCTGATATTCCTCTACTTAGGATGTGTGTGTTTTTAGTATCTTCAGGGTAAACGTTTAAAGTCTGATCTTCAGGGCCAAAGTTTAAATTCAGATCTTGATCGAACATGTCCATGTTCAATAAATAAAAGTTCTGACTCTGCCAATGAAATGAAATACCGTATTTTTCGCCCCATAGGACGCACTTTTCCCCCTCCAAAAATGAAGGGAAAATGTGTGTGCTTCCTATGGGGCGAATGCAGGCATTTGCTGAAGCCTGGAGAGTGAGAGGGGTCAGTGCGCACCGACCCCTCTCGCTCTCCAGGCTTCGCGCAGATCTCTGCAAGCCGTGGGAGCCCGCACCGGGCTCCTGCAGCTTGCGGAGAGTTGCCTGCATGCCGAAGGCTGGGCGCGCTGACCTCAGCATGCTCAGACTTCGCGTGGCTCTCCGCAAGGCGCGGGAGCCCTGCGCTGGGCTCCCACGGCTTGCGGAGAGTTGCCTGTTCTGGGGGCTGGGGTCGGGGGAAGCTCGGGCTTCCCCCGCCCCAGCCCCGCACCTGGGGGAAAAATAATTCCCCCCCTTTATTCCCCCCCCAAAAAAACCTAGGTGCGCCTTATGGGACGGTGCGTCCTATAGGGCGAAAAATACGGTACTAGGCAAATCAGACCATCTTTCCCAATTGCAGGCTTAGGTAAACCTGATTGCAAAGGACATAATATATTAATAACGCCCCCACCAAGGAATTCTTCATGGGGATTAAAAACTCCATCCCAAAATGGAGTTGTTCCATTGTTCCCTGGCGATTGCTGACAGCCAACACAATTGAGGAAGACAGTAGGGAGACCTATGGCTGCCCACAGTTGACTGAAGTGTGTATTCAGTTGGCTGGCTCATTCACCCGAGTTTACAGCTTTTGAGGAATTTACAGCATTTTGCTCAACCAGAACACATGGGCAGCAAGCATGATAAGTTCCATTGCATCTAGGGGAGCTTACTCCCAGGTAAGTGTTGTAATCCAAAGCAGAAAATCAGGACGATAATGGTTGGAGTGATTTGTTTAGATATATTGTTTCTTCCAGGTACAATTTTTTCATCATCTTATATCCCGTTGGAGTCATCGGTGAGCTTTTAACCATTTATGCTGCCTTACCTTACGTGAAGAGATCGGGGATGTTTTCAGTGAGACTTCCCAACAAGTATAATGTCTCTTTTGACTACTACTATTTCCTCCTCATCGTCATGGCATCCTACGTACCACGTAGGTATCGATAGATGCATGTGGAAACATTTGTCTTTTAAAAGTGCCATTCAAAAGCTTATCCTATCTTCTTTTATTACTCGGTTACCTTACCTTGCATCTTTCCATAACCAAGTAATATGTAATAAACCCAAGCCATCCCCATTCTTCCAAATTTGATCACGCTAACCACCCTGTGCTTTCTGCCTTCATCTTGTGCCCTGCTTAGCAACATTCCCAAACAATGAATTGCTCAGGATGAAACACGGCTTTGGGCTACATGTTCTTTCGGCTTATTTTCATTGAGAACTTTTCTCTTTACGATTGCTCTTTTTAGAAATTGTTTCCATCATTCTCTGGTGGAGGTTTTAAGACTGCTGCTTTAGGACTTGGCTGATGTATACATTTAAAAATTATTGTAGGATTATTTGTAAGCTGTCTTGAATCCTTAAAAAAGAAGAAGCTGGGGCATATGGCTGAAATTCAGACTTTGAGTGGGGTGGGGCCGTTCCTCCACCCCATGGAGCGATGCCCCAGTCCCTCTGTGATTCCCTGTTCTGTCCCTATAAGAAATGCTGTGGTTGGATCCCTGAAACTGGGCATTCCAGGTATGGGGACAGACTGAGCCAGCCCCACTACCACCTCTGATTTGCCTGGCCCTTCCCTGCCTTGCTTCCTGACAAATATGAACAGCAAGGCAATGGTGACCCTACTGCAGCCATGGTGGGGGGTTTGGATGACATAAAATACCCAATTCTGTTTGCTTCAGTTACACATCTCTGCTTTTTCTTTTCTTCCCTAATAGTGTTTCCACAACTGTACTTCCACATGCTTCGTCAAAGAAGAAAAGTGCTTCACGGCGAAGTGATTGTAGAAAAGGACGATTAAAAACAAGCCCTTTTAACCATGGTGCTTTTTCAGAGTAACAAACCAAAATCCAGAACGTGTTGCACGAGTCCAAGTGTGAAATCATGGAACCAGAATAACCAGTGCACAAAACCAACATAGATCATATTATTTAGTAACGCTAATATTTTTCGGACTTCAAGTCTGCATTAATTTTTGGTACTGTCTCCACCCCCACTCGTCAAATTTAGGGGACTTTTCATATGTTCATAACACTGCATGTATACTTGGAGGGGGCTCCTGCAGAAGGGTCCTAGCCATTAGGAGAGCTTTTCAGGGGAATGCAGGAATGCTGTTGGGAGGGGAGCTGTAGAAAACCACACACATCCCTTGGGATCCTGGCCTGCGTCATCATAGGTCTATCAGATTTCCCACCTGTTAATATCTTATCGGAGAATTAATAAAATGTACCTTTTATCTGTGTACATATAATAAATTAGAAACTTAAGACCATTTCAGTGGCTGCAAAAACGAAAACCTGAATGGTTTTCAAAAGCATCTCCTTGAAACTGATGCCAAGTGGGCTGTTCACTGTAAATGGAGATGGGAATGAGCTCAGTCTTAAATGCTGCAATTTTTTTTTTTTTAAGCTCCTGGAAGGCAGTTGTCCTATTTAAAGGAATTCATTACTAGATACCTGCAATATGTTCTACACAAAAAGATCAGATCAAAAATTCAGCTGTCCAGATAATTTAAGGACAAAGGGGTATTTTTGTTCATTTTGAGAAATGTTTATGTGCCAAAATACAATCAAAAAGAGAAAAGTGTATGTTTGCCCTCTGCACATTGGCAATCTATGATACATGAAATTTTGGTTTACTTTGGTTTACATGACTGTTTAGCAGTTTGCTCAGTAGACAGGATCCAAAGAACCGCACAACTAATATACCCATGGGACCTTCGGGCTTTTATTTTTCAAAAGGCAGTCCTCTATGTAATATAGAAAACCAGTTTTGAAGCTGAAGGTTTTCTGCTCAAAAACTGGTGGGGTGGAGTCAAATGATTGCATGTGCATTATGCAGATCTTTAGATCCCAGCCTTTGTGCCTTATTGTAAAAGAATGTAAAATCGTGATAAAGAAAGTACAGTGGTATCTCGGGTTAAGTATTTAATTTGTTCCGGAGGTCCATTCTTAACCTGAAACTGTTCTTAACCGGAAGCACCACTTTAGCTAATGGGGCCTCCTGCTGCTGCCGTGCCGCCAGAGCCCGATTTCTGTTCTTATCCTGAAGCAAAGTTCTTAACCCGAGGTACTATTTCTGGGTTAGCAGAGTCTGTAACCTGAAGTGTCGGTAACCTAAAGCATATGTAACCCGAGGTACCACTGTACAAGTAAAGGAAATTCAGGGAAAGAAAAACACTGGATATCTCCACCCAGCACCTGCAGTCTAGTCTCACACATCCTGAAATCTGACTCAAGGGTCAGGGGATTGTACAGAGCACCTGACCTTGGGAAGCTGCCAATAGGGGTGTGTGATCCCTTTCTGCTTCCTGCTTGTGCTGTAGGATCTTTGGATCCAAGCCGTGATGTGATTAGAGCTTGTGGTGAACTCTTTCTTCAAATATACTTGAGTTTATGTGTCTAGTCCTTTCAAATTGTGTATTAGCAAGGTTTTAGCTGAGGGGAGGGGGGTGCAGCTCTTTACTGTACACTTTTTACTGTAAGTGCTTTTCCGGCAATATAACAATTTTATTTTGGGGGTGGGGCCTCTGCAATTTAAAAAAACACACAAAGGTGCTCTAACCATTTTTCATGTTATGTAAAGCTTTTAAAATATAGTATCACAAAATCATTCAGCTGTGTTTAGATTAAAGGGTTTCAAGTTGCATCAATTATATTTTTGCAGTTACTGTTTAAGCCTGATTTTTTTTCCTTTTAAAAACGTCAAACTATTTCTTAAAAAATATCCAGGCAGCTCTTTGGTATGTTTTGAATTAGTACGGAGAAGAACTATGTGAGAAGATCTATTTTTTCAATGGTTAATACGGTTACCTTTTCTAGCATTTTAACTTCTTAATGCCTAAGTATATTATGTGCCTCATCCTGTAATTCTTGCTGATCTAAATTGGATTTTCTGCAGCTGTTCTTTGAGTAGAAATATTTGGTTCTCATGTATGCTGTCGTTAAACCTGAGGATGTTGTCATACAGTAAACAAGGAAATATTGTAGGTATTTTTTTACCATTTTGTACATCCAATATTAAAATAATACAATTTCTTGCAATCATGATTTCTGATTTTCCACAGAGGAGCCATGTAGTATCCCTGGGTTATATTTTAAGGAAGAAAACATTTTAAGGTGATTTTACTCTGCTAATACTCTGCAAAATTGCACTTCAAATAAACTATTAAATCCACACCCAAATGTTTTTATAGTTCTGCAGTTTCCAGATGTATAGAATATAAAGGTTTTTCAGTGCAGGGCTGATGTGATATTGTCACTAATATGTTATTAGCTTCAAACATAATAATATTTCTAACACACCACCCACCTGACTGGGTTGCCCCAGCCATTCTGGGCGGCTTCCAACAAAAATACAGGAAAAACAAGAACACTTTGTGTTTCCAGATTGACTAGGAAATTATGGATTCAATACATCCTAGATAATCTGGAGACCTCTGTAAATAGTTCCATTTACATAGAATGTATTGCTTAATTTTGGCAACAGATCCAACCAAGAAAATATGATAAATGTAAACAATGTTTGGTTGCATTCACGCAATATTATTCTCATAACTGTCTCATTGTCTTAGTTCTGAGCACTGAATGTATGTGGGGTTACTCTAGTTATAGAATCCCTTTAGGCTGTGGTTGTTCGCCATTTGTGAGAATCAGGTCCCCAAGTTGAGTGGCAGGGCTGTGAACTTGAATAAAATATGGGTGGGGGCAGATAACCCCCGACCCGCATAACCAATCACAAGACACTGCGCACACACACTGTTTGAATGGCAATGCCCATCAACTTTGCCCCCCCCCAAATATTTTATTGGGTGGGGGTGAAGGGACCTTAGCCCCTAGGAGTTGGCTCCTATGCTAAGTGTCCTGTATTGAGTATATTTTGTGGCTTGATAACAAGTGATTTCCCCCTTTTTTCAGAGGTCTTCTGCTTAGATGTAATCCAGTCATTTCATGTACAGGTATTTCATGCTGTAAACATAACTCAGCCTATAAACTTGAAGTTCACCAAGGTGTATTTCCCCAAATACTGTTGTACAATGTAAGTTCTCAAAATGGGGTGGTTGCTTTTTTGAGAAAAGCAGAAAAACTGAACTTTTAAACAAGTTAATTTCACAATGTTTACATAGCACCATTTTTGGGATTTGGCTGCATACTAGCCCGCAAGCTAAAGCATATTGTTTCTGGTACTGTGGCTAATTAAGTTAACAATTCAGTAAAAATTTGTGCTTCCTGTTAATTTGGATATGTCTGCTTTTACCAAGCATTGACCAAAGGGCACCGGTCGGTTTATGCAGCTGAAGTTTTTCAGAAGGTCATAGCAGTCATTGCATGGATACAAATATTATGTTTCCATAACCAGGATTACTGCACACTCAAGTTCACCTTGAGATCCTAACTGCAATAAATTACAGCACACTTTTTGGCACATATCCATCTTGTATCCTTCCTCCAATATCCTTCCCCTTTAAATTCAGATATTACCTTATTTAGCAAATAGAGCTTATATTTGTGTAGCCTTTAAACACACACACACAAACTTGGAAAGACTAGTTTGCTGCTAAACCTTGTTGATAACGATTTATTTGTTTACTAACTACCTAGGGACTTACACATGAGTCCGATCCTGCAATGTGCTGCTGCGTGTGTTAAATACCAAGCACATTCCAGTGCTACAGATTTCAGGAGCTCTCAAGAACGATCCCGTCCTCCAGTAGTAACATTTGCATGTTTGATACAACCTTCACTTAATGGGCCATGAATATTTATCTTCCTTTCCTCAAATAAAGATCTCTCATGTGTTTTGATCTGTAAATTAGTCTTCAACCAGTCATTTTGCTGTGTATGTATCTAAGTCTGTCTCTCTCCCATTCCTGTTTTGTAACTAAACATAGGTCCAAGTCTTTCTCAGCATAATCCTATACATGTCTTGGTTCAGCGGGCTTGCTCTCCGGAACTGAGTAGAGCATTGGAGCCTCAGTTTCTCTACACTTAAAGGTAAAGGGACCCCTGACCATTAGGTCCAGTCATGGCCGACTCTGGGGTTGTGGCGCTCATCTCACTTTATTGGTCGAGGGAGCCGACGTACAGCTTCCGGGTCATGTGGCCAGCATGACTAAGCCGCTTCTGGCGAACCAGAGCAGCACACGGAAACGCCGTTTACCTTCCCGCTGGAGCGGTACCTATTTATCTACTTGCACTTTGGCGTGCTTTTGAACTGCTAGGTTGGCAGGAGCAGGGACCGAGCCACGGGAGTTCACCCCGTTGCAGGGATTTGAACCACCAACCTTCTGATCGGCAAGTCTACACTTATAGAGTGACTATTCCCCCATTTCTTAGAATGCATCCAGTCATACTTGATAATATGTTCTACACAGGTTGCATCCCTCTACAGTCATATGTAAGATTTCTATCCAACTCACTTTTCAAGTTGTTCTTCCAATGTTTCATCTAGGAATGATGCCTTTGCTTGTTGGAGTCCCAAAGAATAAATTGAAATCTAATAAATCAGCTGTAGGAACCTGTTCTATACCACAGAGGATGCTAAATCCTTTCCCACCCCAAAGAATAGGTTTATAGCAACTCCTAGGATACAGTCCTCAGGTTAGGGGCTACTGCTACTTGGGGTAACAAAAGGATGTGGCTGAACCTCAGAGGTGGAAGACTGTACCTAGGAGGAGAAAAGACTTTGCATCTTGAGATCCTTCTGATTCAAAGTACAGGCAAGGTGGGCAACCACAACAAGCACCTACCTTCAGCAGCAGCATCTGTGAACTTTAATGTGGCAGTTGGGAGGCCAGTCAAGGAGCCCAGATGGGTTTAGAGAAGAGAGCTAAGAACTACATTTCTGAGAACATAGATGAGGTCACATGGTGTTTACACCAGCAGGAAATCAGGATGGCTGGAATCCAGATTCTACTGAAACCCACAGCAGAGCTTGGAAGGGGTGCTGATGTCATGATGGGTATTCTTTACCCATATAGGTTCTGATCTATAGAGCAGGAGATTGCTGCTTCAGTTATAAGATCTCTGATGGCTTGTTTGATAGTTCTATAATCAAGTTGGGAGCCACTTCAGTTAAATGGCCAGCTAGGTGACACTGTGCTAACATTACTGTGATCCAGCTAAGTGGCAACCATCCCATGGATGTTTTGTAGGAAGTGGGTCGGGCAGAATGAGCAATATATAACTTTGAAATCAAATATATGCTTCTGCTTATTAGTTCAGCAAAGGAGGAAACACTTGGGCCCACACACCTACAGAAATAATCTCAAAATGCAATCCTCTACGAGGCATCCAAGTCTAAGGACACATCCTATTAAAAATAGGCAGTGCCGTCCAAGCCTCAGCTGCTGTGACGTTCCCAGCTTGGAATGCTGTACCTAGTTAACCTCCTTAATTTTCTCTCACTGATCTCTCCTCATGCCATTCCAACATAATGGCATTTTGCCTGTCCTGAAGGCAGTGCTCCCAGCTACAGGATGTAGCAGATGGCAAGTTACAGAGGAGAATGCAGACAGAATCTGCTGACCAGTGGTTTTTCACCTTCAAACTTCTGCCCACCAAGTATACAATATTATCATCAAATGCTCCCCAAGTCATGAGCAAACAAAACTAAGTAGTATTAGGACTACCACTGCTTTTGCTCCCAAGGCTGACAATGGTAGAGAATCAGGGATCAAGGTGGGTCTAAGGACAGGGGAGGCATCTCTGAACTGGGGCTCTTCAAGGTGGCTTTGGGCTGGTGCAGCTTCCTTTATGTCTTCAGAGCTAGATAGGTTCTTCTTGAGGGCCCAAGTTTTCCCAAGGTCTCTCCAGGAGATTGGCCAGGATCTTGGCAGGTGTTGGCTATTGTTTTCAAGCTGGAGTGGCAGAGCACGGGCATGGAGAGTGTGGAAGGAAGTAAGGCTGGATGGATGGTCATGTAATTGTTCTTTCAGGTGTTATCAAATATATATATATATATATATATATATACACACACAAAAACATAAATACATATACACACACACACACGATATATATATATATATATATATATATATATATATATATATATATATATATAACATACTATTACATATACATTATACTTGCAAATTCACATTTTTCATTTCATTACATAGCAACATTTAGTCATTTCTTACTTGCATTTCATCTTTTCCCTATGTCTTAACCCTGTGTCTTCCCTCCATCCGTGCATGACTTCCTAATTTTTATATTATAACTTTATTATTGTGATTGTACTCTTATATCTTAATAATTTAAACATACATTCTTGTATTTCTGTTTATATTAACTTTGTGAGATCATTCTATGCATATAGATAAATTTTTGTTGGAGCATCTTTTAACCATGTATTCGTCTACACACTTCCATTCCTGTTTGAGATTTTGTTTAGATTACATTCTAATTGTTGCCGTCAGTTTTGTTTCAGATGTTGTTGGAATAAAGCTTCCATCCTCCCTGACCATGCTGGCTGAGGAAGATGGGATCTGGAGTCCAACATCTGAATGGTTCCAGGTTCATCATCCCTGTCTCAAGCGGTAGAACAGAGAGGTGGCAGACTCTGGTAGATTATACAAATGGAGAAACACTCTCAATTTTTTAATTTTTTAATTTGCTAATTTTTACCTGAGCCTAACTGGATTGAATTAGTCTCAGAAGCAAAAAGGCAGCTAATGTAATTCTTCAGGGATTGATATAAAATGCCAGCACTTCCCAGAAGAACTGACAAGGGCCTTATACATAACTGAGCTGCTGTGGTTAAAGAGCACTTCATGTTGACATTGTTATCTTGCCAAGATAGGCCCCAGTGTCGTGAGGTGAGCAAGCTCATCTCCCCCATCCCACTAATTGCCAGCATCTCTGCAAGACGACATTAGAAAGACTAACGCAGGGCTATGAGGTACAGTGCTGCACAGAGACTTCACCCCCACCTCACATCTCTGCATGACCTTTCTTCCTTTCCTCTCTAGACTCTCTCAGAGCAGAAGCTTCAGGGATGAGCCAGGTACCAGGTTGTCCGTGAGAAAGTGGACTGCTGCTCCCCTCCCTTCCCTCATGGTTAGTTAGTTAGCTTCAGTATATGCTTCCTATAGAATATCTCAAAGCCATTTAACTACAGAAACTACAACAATATAAAGCACAAAACCATTTCAGATGTAAAACCAATTGAATCAATTTCATCAGTAAAAACAATTTCAAACCTAATCCTGATACAGATTGGGGTAAGAAGAAGAAAAATACACCCACTTAAAAGGCTTGTTGAAAGAGGAAGGACATCAGTAGGTACCAAAAAGTAACTTATCTGATGTGTAACAGGAGGGAGTTTCAAGGGGCAGGTGCCACCACACTAAAGGCCCACTTCCTGCACTGTACAGGTCAACTCTGCATGAGATGGAACTCTTAATGAGACGGAAATGGAAGGCCGGGAAGGATAAGGAAATAGGTTTGGTTCTCACTTCAATACAAACCTACCCAGTGCATGCCTCCCAAAGCAATATGTGAACCAAAAGAAATCCTACCCTTTCCTGAATTTTGCAAAGCATTTCTCCAATCCAAAAACTATGTACAAAAGCATGCATCATAGGGGACAGTGGGCATAAAAATGCACATATTGTTGAAAATAGCATTTAAACGCATTATATGCTAAAATGTGCATATTAGGCAAACTTGCATACAAAAATGAGGACATCAGGAGCAGTGTGCACTAAAATGCTGACCAATTTCTGTTAGGACCTTTAAAAATAAAAATAAAAAATTGCAGACTGATGCAGAAATGTGACAAATTGCACTTAAGACTGGAAAACAGAGAAACCTGCATTGACAGAATCATCCATCCCTAATCCCGGACTAGGCAAGTCAGAAATAAATTGCACAATAGCTCTCATCATGACCTTGAATAACAATTCAGAGTCTTCTTTTGGAATATTTTCAGCGATTGTCTTTTGTCCTGGCATTCATTCATTCTGCACATTAAGGCTGAGGGCAAAAATAAAGTAGATTGGCAGAGCGGATTGGAGATATGATAATGGAAAGCCTATTAGAGGAGCTCTTGCGGAATTTGAGAGATCTTGCTAATGTCTTGTCATTGCTAGCTCTTAACATATGATGTAGTTATACATATTCTAATGCATTTGCTCTGCATAAAGAGAGGCTACAAACAAGTTGTTTTTAATGAAAGCAAATTGTTACACATTAAAGCAGCAAATGATGTTTCCCAATTTGTTTTAGTTTTTACCAACACAGTGCACAGGAGGGGCATTCTGGGAAGCATTTTGTAGACAAGAGTGAGGAACTAGAAATGGCCACACGGTACAGGGGTTGCCAGATATTTTGAGCCAGTGTGGGCACATTTTGAGAAAGTGTCACGGGCACCAGTCTCAAAATTACCACCAAGGAATTGTGGCTTAATGCAAAATGACTGCTATTGAGGTATGTAATAATGCAAAATGGTTGGCATGATGGCGTAGCAGAAGGTCCCATGTAAAAGAAGAGGAAAAGAGGCAGGGGCATAAAATGTCATAGGCATGGCTGTCGTCAGCTCCTCACATCAATGGGGTAAAGGCCCTGTTAGCCAGCACTGCATTTGCTCATAAAGGTAAAGGGACCCCTGACCACTAGGTCCAGTCGTGACCGATTCTAGGGTTGTGGCGCTCATCTCGCTTTATTGGCCTAGGGAGCCGGTGTACAGTGCACGGAAACGCCGTTTACCTTCCCACCAGAGCGGTACCTATTTATCTACTTGCACTTTGATGTGCTTTCGAACTGCTAGGTTGGCAGGAGCAGGGACCGAGCAACGGGAACTC